GATTGCATGGTTGAGCCAGTCAGATCATCACTCTACCAAGTTTCACTATAAAAGACAACCACCATATACCGTATTTTTCTGTGACTAGGTTTTTCTGTGACTAGGTTTTCCCCCTAACAAATAATGTCAAAAATTAGGGGGCGTCTTATACACGGATACTTCTCCCCCCATTTTCTTAAATCTGAGTCCCCCAAAATAGGGGGTGTTTTATAGATGGAAAATATGGTATTTCTCACCACCCCCTGTACAGTATAGCAGTCTCATGTCTAAAGCAGACATCTTTAATTGACCTCTGGATTCTACTCCTGTTGGCATTCTGGTCTAGAAAGCATATTCCAATAGACCACTCACATTTTTTTTTTATCTTGCTTATTATTAAACCAGGACTTTGAGATAGTTCAGGTTTGTCCAAAGCAGCTTGTCCAAATGACTTGTTTCGGTAGGGATTTAAGTCTCACATAGTGAATGCCCACACTGCATTTACTGCATCACACCTGTCTTCTTGATGCAATCAAGACAGCCTCTGTAGTTCCTTTTCCCAACTTATCAAATGCATGCGGTAGTGATACATTCCTTGATCTGTTCTGGGGGGGAGGGGGAGGTTATGTTTCAGAAGTCAATCCACGTATCTGAAGATAGGGTCACATGTGTGCATGCATACACCTGGGAAGGCAGAACTATACAAGTGCTGTCATGTTTAGAGAAGAATGGGGGTGGAACAGTGAACTGCAGCTGCTCTTATTTCAAAACCTATCAGTTAATTGGCTCAGAATCACCCCAACTGTATGCTGATACATGCAAAGTTTTCACAAATTTCTCCCACTGTGGACCAACTGCAGATGGGGGCAAGTTCACCTTTAGCACAGCCATTGGGAGTAATCTCACAAGTCAGATCAAAATTATGACTTGTTGCATCAATCCTTCAAACACGACACTTTTGATCACGGGGTTTGCTGCCATTGATAGGGCCGCAAGTCACGGAACCAACAAAAGGCAAGCCAAGATCTGATGGGTATACGATGACCAGGCGGTGAGAGCAATAGTTTGAAACCATGGTTCTGTTCCTTCTCCTTTGTCAGTCCAACCTTAGGCTTTACATGCATCTTCATGACATTTGGATGAGAACTCTGAAGCTGTCAGCAGGGTTGCTCTTTTCATAGTAGGAGAAAAGGAACCTCTGGGCTGCCTGCCTCTGTGCCTTGCAACTCACCCAGCACTGAACAAACGCTATGCAAGAAACACATGCTTGGTTATGTTAGCACACTCAGCTCTATTTTTTCTCACTCCTTTCGGGCGGTATGTTGTTTGCAAACTGCTGTTAACTCTGGTACATTTACCAAGTTTGGATTAACTGGGACCCCACTGCGGAGTGTGTTGGATTAACCCACCTAAGCCGTCTGGATTTTCATTCTTGGTTTTGCTGGGCTGGGCCAGTTTAAAAGACCACCACCCACCTTCCAGAATTAAACAGAAGGAATTTGTCTACCATGATTGGGTAGATTTTGTCTGAGTCTCTCTCCCTTAAACCCCCATCTTATTGCACTAGGACTGTGGCAGCAGCCAGAAAACAACACGCAATCATCAGGGGTGATGAAATCACGTCCCCCACCCCTCCTACCCTCCCCTCCCCCTCAGGGCTGCAGCAAGCAGGAATGTGAATTTCCAACCCCCTTTTTTGAATTACAAATTGGAGCCTCTCCAAGCTGCTCCTTTTGTTCCTCTTTCTATTTAGTATTATTCTCCAGTGTGGCTGATCAAAGGAAGCCAGGGAGCAAGTGCTCCCAGTCAGATGGATGGAAGGCCCATGGCCATTGAAAGACTGCTCCTGCCTCTCTGGGTACCAGCTGCTCTTTCATGTGCAAAAAAAAGTCCATGGGGGGGAGAGGGAGGGGTTCAAAACCAGCTATAGATTTAATAAGATCAATACTTTGAGGAACATGAGCATTTACGAAACTTTGTAAGAAATCCTCTACGGGCTTCTCCTTCTTGTAGGCCAGGCTGAATCTTTCTTTTAATTAAATGTAATACTTTGCAGATTTGTTTAGGAGGCTTTTCCAGGTAAATACTAACCAGGTAGAGGAGCCAGAAATATTTACATAATGAGAAAATGACACACCATTGTAACCCGTAATCCAAATTCACTTCAGCTTTCTTGCTTGTGGTGTAAGGCAAGAAATGCAGAGTTATAAGTACCCAGAGGGTAGGAGCTATGGCAGAAGGGGACATTCAGTTCTAGAGTAATGCTCTAACAGGTATCTTTTTAAAAAAGAAAAAGAAAAAGAAAAATTCATCCAGCTGAAAAGGCTTCTCAAAACAAAAAAATCTTTGATTTGTTTCCAGAAAGTAGAAATAGTGAGTGCTATTCAAAATATTCACCCCCACCTTTCCTTATATAGTTCATGACAGCTTATGCATGTAGTGAAACAGCAGTATATAAAAAAATAAAAGCCAACAATAAAACAGTATGAAGCAACTACAGTAAGAAATGCCATAAAACATCATAATAAGCCAGGGTGAAAAACCAGAAAGACTGGGTATAAATATAGGCGCAATGAGGCACTATAATCACTCTCATAGATGCATATAACAATCTCTGCTATAGAGTTCTTTGCAAATTCACAAACTATTTCATATTGCTGTTAAGCAACACTCCAGCACTCCATTCACTAACTGCAGTCAAATATACTATCCATTCTTTCATATAAACCCACGCAAGAGGGGCTCCACTCTACCTCTCACTTACTTTAGAGACGTTATTATACAAACATACGGTATATACCTGCATGCTACTGTGCTTGGAAAACTGCTGCACTTCTCCAGGTAAATTTCTTTGCTGAAATGGGATATTTCGCTATTGTTGTTGTTTAATCATTTAGTCGTGTCCGACTCTTCGTGACCCCATGGACCAGAGCATGCCAGGCACTCGTGTCTTCTACTGCCTCCCAGTTTGGTCAAACTCATGTTAGTAGCCTCAAGAACACTGTCCAACCATCTCGTCCTCCGTCATCCCCTTCTCCTTGTGCCCTCAATCTTTCCCAACATCTATAGCCATCTTGAGGGCTGTCATATGGAAGAGGGAACAAGTTTGTTTTCTCCTGCTTTGAAGGACAGGACTCAAACCAATGGATTCAAGTTACAAGAGAGGAGATTCCAACTAAACATCAGGGGAAACTTTCTGACAGTTAAGAGCTGTTTGACAGTGGAACAGTCTCCCTCAAGAGGTTGTGGACTCTCCTTCCTTGGAGATTTTGAAGGAAAGGCTGGATGGCCATTTGTCATGGATGCTTTAGTTGAGGTTCCTGCATAGCAGGGAGTTGGACTAGATGACTCTTGGGACACCTTCCAACTCTAAAATTCTATGATTCCACTATTTCTCTTCTGTTTTTTCAATCTAGGAAACTATTTAAGAAACTGTATTTTTTCTGCTCATCAGCAGCATGACTAGGCACGAACAGGCTGCATCCTACACTGATTTACCTGGGAGGAAATCCTACTGAATTAAGTTGGACTTAGCAAGTAAACTGCAACTTTAGTATTTCCTCTTACTTTAATCTTAAGACCATGACTAAATGCAGACTTTGTGGGTACAACATCAATCAGGGGTACCCTTTCCCCTCTCACTGCACGAGTTTAACAGCTCATCTATTAGAGTGTTATTGGAGAGCTAGCTATATTGTGACATACTGGTTGGTCCTGATAAACATCTGACGTCTGACTCTAGGCTTCCCCTCCTTATCAACCAACAGGGATTTCTTTGCCTTTTGTACGAAAGGGAAAGCACCAATGATGGAGAAATCGTGTCTCTATTGCCACCAGCTGGTAAGACGAAAGCATGCCTCTCAAACTTACTTATAGGGGAAAATTCTGGCCCTTTTGCAGCCTCTTCCCTAAAAAGACATGGGTTGTCTCCAACAATGTTCTGCTTAGGTAGGTAGCCGTGTTGGTCTAATGCAGTCGAAAAAAATTGTCCAGTAGCACCTTACGACATCAACTAAGTTTGTTCTGGGTTTAAGCTTTTGTGTCCATGCACACTTCTTCAGATACTCAAGAGTAGATGTAATTGGATTAATGGACCAAATTTCCCCTGGGTAGCTCAAAAAGGTCCCTCCTACTCTTGATCTGATAACTTCTTTCAGGTTACTGAAAAGGCTACATTAAAGGAAAGAAAATCCTTGATGATTTTTTTAAGTGCACTGGAGTGGAAGGAGTGTTTTGTTGGTCACCAGTGATGTCAGATATGGATAGGTCAACACAACCCAAAGATACATAAAAAAGGAATGGAAGTTTGGAGATGGTAGGAAATTTTCCCAGCAAGGAAATTGCTGTTTGAAGCTTGTAAAATGCTGTTTCTTCACCTCTGATATGAATGGAAGATGCCTGGACATTCCACCTTCTCCAGATAACTGCTTAGTGTTTGGTCAGCTAATTGCTCAACTCCTATTTACCTTTGTGTCTTCTCTCCAAAGAGGAACCCTGTGCAATCTCATATAGGTAACCTGAACAGTTACGAGGGTAGGATTGAAATTCCAGACTGATAAAGAGCTGGCCAGGAAATACTCATCTATGTTAGATGAGTTCAAATCTTCAGAACCAGATTAATTGCATCTTAGGGTGCTAAAAGCTTGGTGACATGCACTCTCAATTTCTATCTTTCATCTGATATGGGACTCCTTTTTGCTATGCAAATTCCACAGATATTATTAAATATTACAATTTGATTGAATTAAATATCCAGAAAATTACAGATAACTGAGGTAAATGGAAGATACAGGCCAAGTTATTATGCTGCCATGAAAGTACTGCACAAATGTATTTGAAGGCATACTGCTAATAGGCCAGTACTAACACAAAACAAAAAGTTGGGTTCTGTTAATCTGCATTTCATATTTGCAAACTATGGCCACTTACACATCTGTGTAAAACAGTCTGCTTCATATGTGAGCAGATACAAGCAATGTTGTTAAAGGAATCCAAGAAATACAGAAGTCATAAAATACAACTGAGAAAAGCATCATGTTTTTCAATGCTTGTTTATTCACCGAGTGCCACCATATCAGGTAAAATCCTATGACTAAGCAAAGACTGTCTTTACAGTAAAACGCCACATGCCTATACTTATTTTCCCTTTTGATCTTTGCTTTATCCCAGTGTTGCTTCTGCTCAGCAGAGATTTTCAGCAAATAAACATGATATAGCAGTTTGTTCCCTCTGCTTGGATTTGCAACTAGGGGTTTGAATAGAAACTGTTTCCATGGATAATTAACATAATGTAAGACATACAGACTTCTGGGGAACTGGTCAGCACCTCTAGTGCTTTCCACATTCAATGTGAAAACAAACACCAGTGGATCCTCAGAGCCAGCATGGGAAGGAGCATCTTCCCAGGCTACAGAGGGTGGAAGCCGAGATGGAAAAAAGTAACTTGCCCATGGTGACAGGAGGGATGAGAGAAAGCAGGAATTCATATCCAGGACCCCCTGCAACTTTATGCACTAAACGGTGCAATCTCAGAAAAAGTAACACATAGATCCCTTTAGGGACTGTTCACATCCATGTTCTGCATCTTTCCTTCCAGTGCACAGTCCCCACCAGCCGATTTCTTTTTGCTTCCCTCATGCTGTTTCTTCTGCTTCTTGGAAAGTTCCTGATCAATAGGAGCAGGTTTTACAAATTTTATCATTTCTTTCAAGCCTAAAAGGAGGAAGAAGGCAGAGCAAGATAACAGAGTGAACACACCAGGGCCAAACGTCTACAAAGGAAGTATCAACAAGAATCCTCCGTCTGTTCTCACACATCACACCAATCTTACACACCAAGTCACCTTGATTAATTTGCCCCATGTCCTTGAACAAAGTAAAGTAGACAGTGTTAGGGACAGCACATCTGAGCTTGCCCACCCTTTTCCAGCCAAGGACCAGAGAGACCCACCTGCATCCTCTTACATACTGCTCCTTTTGAAATGTTATGGGTCAGTAAAAATAGCAACTGTAATGAATTCTCTTTGTTTAGATATAACCCTTTACTCTAGACAGGTGGAAATTGTCACAATTGTTTTATGAGTTGAGGAGAGTTATTAGGCTCAGACAACAAGGACGATTAGACGGTATAAAATACATAATTATGGATGGCTATGGGGAGGGCAACAAGCATTTTCTTTTTATTACCTGGCGGCATGAAGTCCCTTAATTTCTCTGGTACAATGATTCCTTCCTCTGTCTGGTAATTCTCAAGGATGGCACATATAGCACGTGTTGTAGCACACATCGTGGCATTGAGCATATGCACAAACTCCACCTATGAGGGCAGAACATTTCATGTTCTCAGTAAGTAAAAGCAAGTAAAAGCAGCAGCAAGAAAACACATTTTTGAAGAGGATAAATACCATCTCCAAAATAACCATTCCAATAAACCTAATCTGTCATTCTGTTACTCAGTCATCTGAAAAGACAGAGCCTTCAGTCTAATAAATAGTTGTTCCAATTTAGGAACACTACAACTAACATTTTCTAGCTTAGCTTAACCAATCATTTTGCAACAGACTTCCTTATCTAAACATTTTAGAAGCAGCAAGGTAGATTGCACTGTTAGTTGAACTAGATAACATCCTCCTTTTCTGTGATAATTGTGAGAATGAAAATAACTGAGCTTTGCCTTTAAATGTGTTTGTATGAATGTTGGTTTGTTTACTAATGTCCAATATCTGAACACCAAGTAACTATTAGGGGTTGTTTGACTTCACTGGATACAACCTCTTTCAAATTAAAAAAAAATCTAAAAAAGAAAAGGAAAGCCCAATGATTATTCATTCTTCAGGTTTCCATTTCTACACTCTTCATGATTTTAAGGGATTACATTTTTTACTTTTTTCAAGAAAGCAATCCTAGGGCTCCTTGGTAGCAGTCAGTTAATTCTCAACTGGCAAGTGGACCATTCTCAAACTGGTCACTTCCATGGCAGCATCACAGAAGAAGTAGTGAGACAAAATGACAGGCAGAAAACCTGGATCTTTATGGGAAATTACGGAAATTAACAGGGCCTTTCCAACTTTTGCTAGATCTCCAGAATCAACATTACTGCCAACTTGTCTCCCTAGCAAGGACTCAAAGCTGCAACCTATTGGGACAATCAACTCAGATGGCGAATAGAAAAAACTTATCAGACTAAAGCAAAAAGGCAGATGTTTTCCTGAAGGCTACATGGGTAAACAGCAGGACCTTCTTAAGAACCCAAATAATTATTTAACTAGAACACCAGTATATTGTAAATGATGCACTGGGAGAATTGTATATGTAAAATATACAAAGCAACCTACTTTGTCCATCATCTTCTTGGTTTGTCCATAACGGATCCGCAGCCGACGTGCCTGGTAGTCAGTGCAGTTCGAACAAGAAACAAGTTCACGGAAAGCTCCTGAACCTGGGAACCACGCCTCCAAGTCCAACTTCTTACTGGCAGCATGATTCAAGGAACCTGTAACAACATGAGGTGGCATTTAGGTAGTGATTCAGTGTTCTAATAATGGGAATTGAAAGATGTGCCTTTCTCACCCCTCTCATAGTTTTGGAGATACAGAATGAAACCAAGAGTAACAAGGAGATCTATGGTCATTTCCCTCAATTAGAATGTGTGCTAGTCTGGACAATAAACATGAGTACCTGGCTGCATGCTGAGATACTACAGGTCTTACAATTAAAGCAAATAAATCCTGATACAAACAACCAGAGATTACTGCCTGCCAGGTGCAATTGTTTGCACACTTTCTAGGGTGCAGGCCACATCGAACACTGAAAGATTTAACTTTGAGAAACCAAACATAGATTAGGCTGCAAATTATTTGGGGGGTATATACATACCTGAGACAATATTCACAATATGGTAAGGGATGCCCAGAGATTGATAGAACTCTTCAGCAGTTGCAATCATCTCATCAAACATCTCCCAAGACTTGTTATCATGAGGTGATGCGTAGACAAATTGCTCAATCTGGAAAGGGTCAAAAGCAGAAACATCAGAGCAGGAAACAAAAAACAAAAGAAAGTAGAAATCCTTCATAGACACGAAGAGGAATTTGAATCCCAGAATATAATAATTTTACTGTTCTGTGTCTTCTGTGACTTAACATCAACCCCTAAAATCAGTTCCTTTGGGAACAATGCTGGATTCCCAAGCTTTTGACAGCATGAAAAGTCAGGGGGAGGGAAACCCTGCAAATTTTACTAAAGATAACCTTACCAAGAAAAAACAATGAAATAAAACTGAACACAATCATAAAATGGAGGTGAATGTAACTCAACAGCCTAATGCAACCAAACACAACTTTCAGTTCCCAAACATAAACCAGCTTCTAAGTACTACTGAGACAGAGAAAAATAGCTATCGGCCTCCTACTGAATACAAACAACACTTTCAGTTGCCATAAACTGTTACAGAGGAACACCAATTTCATTTCAATTGCCCAATACATTTCAACAATGCAAACTTCTTCAACGGCACATCGCTGAAAAACACACACCATCTGGGGACTGACTCAAACTAAGTCATTGAGTGAGTGCAACAACTTCTGTTCAGGCAACTTAACTTTCCTCCCTTCTCCTTCCCCACCCTCAAATCTGATCTGGAGGGGAGCGGGGGTTGGGGGAGTAAGAGAAGAAGGGGAAGTTCTGTTGTGTGAACAGAAATTGTCTCGTTTGTGAAATGAGTAATACAACCCTGGATTAATAACTTTTGCAGCTGCAATACCTTTTCAAATTGGTGAACACGGAAAATGCCTCTGGTATCACGGCCATGTGAACCAACTTCCTGGCGGAAGCAGGTAGACAGCCCAGCGTATTTGATGGGCAGGTCCTCTGGCTTCAGCCATTCATCCCTGTGCAATGCTGCAATTGGCTGTTCAGATGTAGCAATCAGGTATTTCTCATCAATAGTGTTATCATCGCTCTTCTCACTGCCTTTGCCAAGTACCTGAGAAGTAGAAAAAGTTAGTCCATTAGACCAGTGTAGCAAGATGTCATGTACATAGACAAAGCTTCAGTGGACCTTTCCAATGAAAGCCCTTGTGGGCTAAATTACTGGTTCACCGAATCATATAATTTCTTCTATGATTGTTTTTCTAAGTTGTTGCTTAGCTACAACTTAGCTACATTAATTACCGTATTTTTCGCTCTATAGGACACACCTGACCATAGGACACACCTTGTTTCAGAAAGGGAGAACAAGAAAAAAATTCTCCCCCTCTCTGCTCAGCGCCCCTTCAGCAAAGCGGCAGGGGAAACGAAGCCCCTTCCATTTCTCCTCCCGCTTCGCTGAAGGGGCGCTGCGCAGAGGGAAAGCTATGCAACGCCTCTCCAGCGAAGCGAAGCCAGGAGAGCAAGAGGGATCGGTGCGCACCAATCCCTCTTGCTCTCCTGGTTTCAGCGAAGCAACCCAAAGCCTCCGGTTTCAGGTGGCTATCCCTGAAGCCTGGAGGCTTCAGGTTCCTTTCGCTGAAGCCAGGAGAGTCTTGCTCTCCTGGCTTAAGCGAAAGCAAACTGAAGCCTCCGGTGCGCGGAGGGAGCACTCCCTCTGCACTTTGGAGGCTTCGCGTTGCTATCGCTGAAGCCAAGGAGCCAGCATTCGCTCCATAAGACGCACACACATTTCCCCTTAATTTTTTTTTGGGGGGGGGTGCATCTTATAGAGCGAAAAATACGGTACCTTTCATATGGAAACATCACTAACCATTCTGACCCCCCAATGACAAACAGTTAAGTACTTGTGGATCAGAAAATGGGGAAGACATGGCACAATGCCTGTGATGATTAGAAACAATGTTAACAAAACCTTTAACCTATCAACCCAACATTCCTTTTCATTATCATAAATTATTAGCACTGACTGTGGCTGATGGTAGAAACGCTTCCTAAAGAAGCGTGCAGCAATTTGAAATGAAGGACAAATATTGAAATAGTCAATTATCTGACTGAAAGTTTACCAGCAGTATTTGAAAAATTCCACATGGCTCCAGGGACAATGTGATTACACATTAAGGGAAGCAACACAAAACTTTCCTAGAAGCTTCTATAGTTTGCTACTAAAACAGTAATTTTACCCTTCCCACCTTACCTTGTAGAGCTCTTCATCAAACTGGCTTAGCTGGGCCACTTCCTGCATCACCTCTTTTCTCATGAAGAAAGGGGTATAAACAGGGGTGTAACCTTTGCTAAGCAGTGTCTGCAGGGCATACTGGATGAGAGCTTGCTCTAGAAAAACCAGGGCACCCTATAGAACAACAAAGAAGAAAGTAGGTAAGTGAATATTCTGCTCCCGAGAACCCACATTTTGAAACGGCACTGGCAGGATCGTTGTATTCTGACAGTCTTCTACAGCTTAGATATTAAACAAACCACTTTGTGAAGGTGGTGTTTTGGCTTTGAAAAGCAAGGTACAATTTTCAAAATAAGTTTTCTTCTGGGATCCCAATTCTCCCAGTCCTATAAATAGCAATGATTAAGAAGTTAAGTTCTCACCTTTAGAAAGTATCCTCTGCTTCCTGCAACAATGGCTCCCTTTTCTCCCTCATAGCCATCCACCATGACAACCAAGTCCACATGAGAATACTTCTTCCTCACTGTGCAGTCTCCCCATAGCCTCTCCACTTTGTTATCTGCATCCTACCCATGTGATAAAAAGGGAGAAAGTTTTGTTCTAGGCCTTTGAACATCCCAATAGAAACAATATCAATCCAATTATCTGATTATCTCATCCATGATTTAATTGTATGTGTTCACATGCACAATCCTGGCTAGTATTTGTTTGCACAGTAGCACTTACAATTGCCAGAAGCTTCCTGCACTGCATTTGCTCTCTACTTGTGGCATGCTGCCATCTGCATCCTATAGGCTGACTGAAGAGAAGATGGTGTGTGGGTTTGCTCTGCCCTGGAGAAGGGGCTGAGATGCAGAGGAAGCAAGGAATAGATCTGATGGTCTTTTAGTCTCCTGCAGAGCTGTCACAGAAGCACCCAGCAACTCTCTTAAGTGCTTTCAAAATTACTACTTGCCAACAACTGGAATGAGTAATGACGTCTCCATAGCAACACTCTTAGGCAATTATTCCAATGCAAAATCCAACCAGCCCAGTATTGTATCAGACTCACTTAATAGTATTATTAAACAAAATATTGTCTTGTTGGACAAATGGTTGGTCCCAAGCCACACATCATGGGTAGGATTCACCTAAGGGGCCCTGCCAGTGGAAGCCCAATGCAGGGACTTTCACTTGCACAACGGGCCTTCCTGTTGCATGAGACCTGCACCCCCCGAAATTGTCTCAGGGGGTGGATGGGTGTTGGGAGAACCACCAGAATAGCACACGGGGGAGGGGAGACTGTTCCACCTGGCAGGTTGATATGCTTGCACAGGTGCGACATTTGTAATACCATGATGTTGAATTCCAGCCTAAGTCTGTTTCCCATACATTTCCTAAACAAGATCAGGGTTTTGTGCTTATTTGGGATTTTTTTTTCATTTGTGACTTTCTTTTCTATGGGGAACACTGTTTTAGAATACAAATTGCATAAACTTCTCAACCTCCTCACCTAGGATGTACTGTCTCACACCCTCAGGACTTTATACTTTCAGCTTGCCGTCTCCCCACCCTACCAGCAGGACAGTTTAATAGTGATGCACAAGGCTGTAACAACCAAACCACACACTGTCTTTCGTGCACATTTATATAAAAGTGTGGAATTTGCTCCTACCTCATCATTACTGATTGGCACAGAGGGATGAAGGAGATTTCCAATTTCTCTGAGGTTTTCAAACCGCTCTGCCTCCAGCTTCAAGCGCTCCTCATCACAGTTCAGTATTGCTTCATCAATTAGAAGACGAACTTTCTTTATTTGGCTTACTTGAAGACCCTGAAACACAAAAGTGGGCCTAATATAAGAAATATAAGAAAAGAATAATATCTTGTGAAAATAGACACATCCATTTTTTGGAAACCGTAATTCTATCAACTACAGTTTCACATTTCAGCCGGTAGTCTAGCATCACCAAGAACCAATGTTGGTTCTATGGGACTCAGAGTAAAAGGCAATACCTGGTTTACTACCAGCAGAAGCTCAGATAAAATCTTTGGCTCACACATAGAAAGCCTCATCAAGGACTAGCTTTGCATTATGCATTACAGACATGTAAGTCTTAGAGTGGCACAAATTAGGGGCCAAAGGACAAGCCAATGGTTGATTGATGAAGTTTCTGATCCAAAACTCATGTCAGCACAGTATCCTGTGCAAGAATGCTTTGTGCTACTGCTCAGTTTTTATTATCATAACAGAAGATTGGGCTCCGCAATAAAATACCATACGGTGGAGGGCTTCTGTTCAGGACCACAGCAAGCCAGCCATGTCTTTTTCCAAGATACTCTATTCCACTGCCACCCTGCTAACTGTCAGCATTTTGTGCCCACCGAACAAGCTTGGTCCTCACTGGGATGCTCTGGGGTTCCTTCCCATACATCCCGTCCTGCCCTGCCCTCACTTTTTGAGACATCTGGAAACCTTGGTGTTTTCCAAAGCCTGCTGATGCTTCTCTCTTGTGCATGGACAATGCTGTTTTGGCTGTATAAGTACCTACACTCAGAAAGCATGTTTGCTATTAGTATATACAGGATCTTTCTCACTTCAGAGTGTGCTTGCTAACAAAAGGTGCCAATTGGCATATGAAGCCCTCTACCTATCTTCTTCACCATTTTTCTGCTTTTATGGCAAAATGAGTAATGCAACAAGAAGCATGGCAAATAGTTTACTTATTAAATTCCTCTACCAACACATTTTATTCCTATTGTCAGGGTGGCTTACTAGTCAAACACAAAATAAAGCAATAATTAAAATGACGTAACCAACGAATATCAGCAGAAAAACAACAATCCAAAACAACAACCCTATAAAAAAACCCAGAGGTATAAAATACTTTGGCTTGTTGCTGAAAGGAATAAAACGAGGAAGCAAGTTCTAGGGCAGAGGTCCGCTATCACAGTATAGTAGAGCTGAACATACAATAGATGGTAAATTAACTGCTCTCGGATATACAGCTTTTATAGTATCTGTAGTAGCAGCTGCAAGGCTGCAGTGTGAGGGAGAAATTCTGTGACTTGTGGAGTTATCAAAACGGCAGAAGCTGTATGCCCAGCAGCTGGTGCCTGGACAAACGATTGTGCAAGGCAGGAGGCTTAGCTTCTTATTCTTTTTTTTACTACAGCTGCACAGACAGTGCAAGCTGTGCTTCCTACTGAATCTCTGCATTGGCTTATTCTATATCCAGAGAAGCAGCTGCTTCTGGGACAATAGCAAGTATGAAATCTCTGTGATGATCTATTGCTCGATAGTAAACACACATCCTTTAAAAAAAATATTGTTACACTTATATCCAGCTTTTCTCTAAGGACCACCAGGTGGTGTACATGTTTCTCCTTCACCATTTTATATTCAAAACAACCCTATGAAATAGGTTATACTGTGAGATAGTGGTGGCCCAAAGTCACCCCACTATAAATTGTTTCAGTAGCATAAGAGGACTTATTGTTTTTCGCTCAGTGCTCACACTTTAAGTGCTTTTCACATGACAGTCGAATATAATCCAACATCTTCCCAATGTAATTTTAGAATTAATTTGAGGCACCCAGAAAAACATTTTTAGGTTTCTCTGGACCACCAGCATAACAACTGTACTGAATACAGGTTAACAGTTCAACAAAATGTGTCTGGCTATATATGGAAGCATAAGTATAGTATACACAACAGATTCAGTCCTCAATCAGTCAGAAACAAAGTTAAGTAATAAATATGTTCCAAAAATCCTTAATTTTTTTATTATAAACTTATTTATTACAACTTAATTATCATCGATACAAACATTCTGATACATAATAAAACCTTAATGGGCCAAATCCTAGACGACATAAGGAAGACACAATACTTCTCTTTAAACTACAATAGCAAACAACTGTCCTGAATAAACAATTTGTTATTCATCAATATAGCTATTAATACAAACTTTTCTAGGCCAATTAATAAAACCAAAATTCTTTATCTTTTTTCCTACAGATTCAAAGCTCCTGGTGTATGTGCATACACTCATACAGGGATCCTATATACTTTCCATCCTGGGGCAAACAGGAGCTTTGGGGAGGAGAGCGAGAATTTAGTTAGGAAAGGGTGCAGAGGGAAATGGTTAAACAATTTCCTTTAGCATTGTTTCCACAATCAAATTCCTTCCACAGACTCCTTTGATAAAAAAAAATGCATCAGGAGACCCACTGCAGATCTCCTGACATCTTATCTAGTTTGGTCCTTAATCTAACATAGGCTCCTACATTTTCACTCACTATGCAAGGGTAAATTAGCCGTCACTGTTGGCAAGTATAGTGACCCGAGTTTTATTCACAGGTTGACATGTGGGGGTCATCCCAGCAGTTATGCAGCAAATCCACCCCTTCCTTAGCTCCAAGACTTGGAGGAACGCTGGGAATAGTTTGGCTCCAATGCTGCCAAGCCAAATGGTCCACACAGAGCTGAACCAGCCATGCCACTCCCCTCTGTTCTACAGCAGGAAGGGGAGATGAGGAGCTTCCTAAACCTCAGCATCCATAGCCGCTTGACTGAGCAGTGGACAACAGGCAAGCCTCACAGTTCTCTTGCCCATGAGAAAAGGATGAACTAGCAGAGTGAGGGGCAAATTATAGATCCACCCCTCCTCACAAAACTGTAGTTCAGCTCAGGGTATAAGAGAGGTGAAAAAACACACTTTAAAAACCACTAGCTAACCTGCATAGGGAGAGAATTACCACAGCTCCAACATTAGAGACCAGTGGGTAACTGAACAATTAATATAGCGCAAGGGAACAAAAGAATCAGAATGCAATTAACATATTTTCTTGTTCACACACGCTCCTCACCCAATCTGAAGCTGCTCAAGTGAAATGTGTGAGGCGAAAAGCAAACACCAGAGTATATTTCACAGATACAATACACTGTAAACCAGTGAATGGTCAAGTAAGAAACTAGTTGAAAATAACTTACTGCTAAGATGTCTGCTGTAAGTTCATCGAGATTTTGTGCATTTTCTGGTATGTGGTCATCATTTCCTACTGGCTCTTTTTTCTATATATGTAGAAATTAAAGAAAAGCAATCAATTGGCAAATAAAAAAGCGATAGAACAAAAATATTCTACAAATGCACCTTGTATTTGTACAAATACCTACACAAATATTGTACAAATGCAGACCTGCCTAGATCACTGGTTTCCATTTCCTAGTAAAGATTATAAAATATCCATCATACATATCATCGCCATGTTCTCTCTCAGCAATTCCTGGAGTGCTCTAATGTGGGTGAGGAGAACAGAATGACCCCTTCAAAGTTCCACTTGGTCATGACTAAACTAAGGGCTCTGTGCAAGGAAGCCCCCCTTCATATACACAATTCCACTTTTGTCACCATCAGAGTGCTCTGAAACAGGTGGAATATTACAATCTGCTCTTCATGGCAGTGCAAAGGACTTTGTGTAGAGGCAGTCTCTGATGCCATCATTTCCATTCTAAAGCCCTGCAAGCTTGAGGAGTAAAACTGGAGAGAGGATAGGGGTGGGGGAGGAAATAAATAGTTCCAATGGATGTTATTGGTCTCTGTGTGTGGCGTATGTGTGTCCTGCATGCCTGTGCAAGGATGATGGTGTACATGTTCATTTTAGCCACACCCACTTTTACTTTGGCCATGCTGACCTTGCAGGCATGGTCAAAAGGTAATGCAGCCTTTGGGCAGAAGAGGGTAGCCACCCCTGCAGTAAACAAACAAATCTGGTATCACCCTTTATTTTTTCAACACAGTATCAATTGGAAAAACATCTGAAACAGTACTCTTTCAGAAGTGTTAAATTAATAATTTGGAGATACTAAATCCACTTCATAAGTAAAAGAGAAGGCCTGTCTCCTGATCCTGCCAACACGTGTGGGCCCTCACTGTCATTACATGCCCATTTGTGGAACTCCTTCTCATTAGAGGCAATGTTATCCCACTCTTTACTTAAAATGCAATTCTTTTCTCAGGGATTGAGCTGCAAGGATTAAAGTCTTGGTATCTGTATTTTACAACTGCTACTGAGGGCCCATAGGTTTGTCATTTTATTGTATTTTTACATATTTTGTACACTCCCCTCAGATTCTGTGTATGAAAGGCAGTTTGAAAGGCCAGTCAATAAATAAAACTCACTTTCCCCTCACCCAGTTCTAAGCGATTCTGTCTCATTGCTTGGTGGGAGGGAATCAGACTGTGATCCTAAGATGACAGTGGGCTCAATTCAGCTTGACAACTTCTTTGTGCTTTAGCGTTCCGTAATATTAAAATGGGCCGTGGGTGGCACTATGGGTTAAACCACAGAGCCTAGGACTTGCTGATCAGAAGGTCGGCGGTTCGAATCCCCGCAACGGGGTGAGCTCCCGTTGCTTGGTCCCAGCTCCTGCCAACCTAGCAGTTCGAAAGCACATCAAAGTGCAAGTAGATAAATAGGTACCGCTCCGGCAGGAAGGTAAACGGCGTTTCTGTGCGCTGCTCTGGTTCGCCAGAAGCGGCTTAAGTCATGCTGGCCACATGACCTGGAAGCTGTACGCCGGCTCCCTCGGCCAATAAAGCGAGATGAACGCCGCAACCCCAGAGTCGGTCATGACTGGACCTAATGATCAGGGGTCCCTTTACCTTTACCTTTAATATTAAAATGAATAGTATAGTTGAGCATGCTGCCTCATCATCATCCTCTCAGACATACCACTTTTCTTCTGGACAGCTCCCAATCTGTCAATCCTTTTATTTCCCTAATGGCGTTTTTCATGCCACTGATTGAACTCTACATGTTTTCTAGCACAGTTAATCACAAAACAAAATGGCATACATCATAGTGGTTTTGGTAACCAATCAGAAGCTGTGATTCCAATAAATCGCACCTTCATTTTCTCGCCTATAGTTTTGCTGCAAAGGTTCTTCAGTTTGTTCAGATTGTCTGCACGGAATCTGCCTGGAAGGAAAACATTTGAAAAAATGCTAAGAGGCGTCTACATTTAAAGGATAAGTTTCTACACAAAATCATAAGTCTATTGAACTATCTGGCTGCTGCTGCTGCTGCTGCTACTATGGGTGTAGCACAGATTAAAATACGTTCATTCTGTTAAACTGGAGATTTTATCTTATATTATGCATGATACTGCGCAAAAGTTACAATACCCAGGCAACCTCTGAGAAAGGATAGTAGTTTGTAAAGTATTATGGGAAGTGATGGCATATGCTTTTTCTCATTTAATATCAGCAAGAAGATGCAATTCAGAGGCCTGCAAATACAGAACACTCCCACTACCAAAGGAAGCAGCTTCCGATTCTGAACACTCATTATGATTTTTGCATGGTACAGTAAAATGAAGTTTAGCATAAATTGAATATCTCATTTTTATTTTAGCTGTTATTGTTGCTGGATATATATATTTCAAAGTATTCCTCATCCTACTTCCAAAATTTCCATATACAGACAGCAGAGGGGTTCAACGCTGTACTTGATGGCAATGCTTTACTTGAAAATTGTTAAAGGTCTTGGCAAATCACTTAATGATTTTTCTGCTCATTACAGCAACTAAAACACACTCTGCTAGATGCTGTATAACTTTTAATTCTATTTTGATGGCTTCTTTTACTTATTATATTTTGTATTTTATTGTATTACAATTTGAATTCTATATCATTTCATAGACTCTTCACCACCCGCATACTGGAGATATTGAAAATGAAGTCTAGGAGAGATGATTTGGGGCATAGGATCATATGGTGAACCTCCATCTGATTCTAAATGAGTAGCAGTGGTCTCAGGCACCTGACGTGACAGGCCCATTCCATTTCCCCCCACTCATTTTCTGGTTAGAGGTAATAAAGCACATCTTTCACCGCAGGCAATATTACCAACGCTTTGTCACAATGTAAAAGGCATTTAACACAAGTTATCAAAATCGCCGGCAAGGAAACATGCCCACAGAAAATGAAGCAGTGCTGCGGCTGATATGAGCTCTAGCGTGCCAGAGTCACTTTCTATGATGCTGGTTACAGCAGGATTGCATCAGACTAGGCAGCACCAATGCCTGAACAGCGTCCTGCCAAATCGCAAGCCCGTCCATTTAAAGGGCAATGCAGCTGTGAAACACCAGAGAAGACGGCGAAGAGGAAAACCCTAATTGGGAAATACAATTAAAACAACAACACCCTACACTTTGGGGGGGGGGTTGTCCAGAAGACAGATGGGAGCGCCCTGAAGCCCTCTGAAGGGATGACTTCCCCCCGATGTCTCAAAAGAGCCACTCCAAACCTGCCCTTCGACCGGGGCCTAGAAATAAAGCAGCAGCAGCAGCAAAGACCCCCCCCCCCGTTGGATCTCATGGCCGGGGGAGCGGGGAGTGAGAATGAGAGGTCTGTGTGCCCATTCACACGACGGCGGGGAGGGAAGAGACGGCCGTGAGGAGCCCCTTTCTTCTCACGGGCCTCACCCCTCATCCCACGCCGGACGCCACCGAGGCGAGGAGTTCAAACGCGGCTCCTCACAGAGGTAGCGTGAAAGAGGTTCAAGGAAGAAACGTGAGGATGGGGAGACACGTGTCGGGGTCGCAAAGGCCCCCTTAGGCTGCCTGCTGGGGCGTCGCTCTTTCTCTTCTCCCCCTTTCCTAACGACACCCCTACAGCCTTATCCGACACCCCACCCATCGCCCCACGTACATCTCCGCCAGGCCCCGTCGGCGGCCACCAGCGCGTCCACCAGCGCCGGGTCCTTGAAGCGCTTCCGCTGCGTCTCCCGCACCAGCTCAGGGTCTCCGCCTTTGTCGGCGCGGAAGAGGTCCAGGTCGAGCACCATGGCGCCGGAGGGCAGCGACTGGAAGCCGAGGGGCGAGGGAGCGGCGCCGGCTCAGGACGGAGGAAGACGCTCGACAGACAGCTAGCCCGCCCGGCGCAAAGCGACAGGAGAGCCCGGCGAGGCCACGCGTGCGCACTGCGAGCGCGGAGGGGCGTGGGAAAGGCGCTGCGCGTGCGCAGAAGATTCCGACGTAAAGGAGGAGGAGCCTCGCGCAGGGCGGGCGTTGGGTGTTTAGAGCGCCACCTAGAGGGCACGCGCTAAGCGTGGCGCATGCTCAGGCGGGCTGCGGGTCCTCTGCAGTGTGGAGCTGGGATGGTCCGGACAGGAGCAGCCTTGCAGGCTTCCGTGCCGAGGGCGGGCTCGTCAGGGTTACAAAGCAAGACTAGCGTACAGCGCAGAAGAGAAAGCGAGAAAAGGAGAGCTCGAGGGCGGGCTGGGTAACATTGTACTGCAGCAGCAATTGCTAACGCTGAAGATACATAGCTGTCAACTTTCCCCTTTTCTTGCGAGGAATCCTATTCGGAATAAGGGAATTTCCCTTTGAAAAAGGGAAACGTTGACAGCTATGTGAAGGTAAGAGCCCAGTGAGGACTTGGGAACCCCTAGCTGGCTGGTTTGAGCACTGTGAGTCAGCGAGCAAGTTAGGGACACAATTCCATTATTCAGTTGTAGTGGAGCAATAAAGACAAGTTTTACCCACTGTCTGGGGATAGGCAATTTGTAGTAAGAGCACAAATTTTATGGTCCTGTGTTGTTGTTTTTTAGTATACCTAAAATTATTTGCTTATTAGGGGCTGCCCCACATTTTCTTCAAATAAATTGCTTTGCACAGGTAACTACCATAGTTATCAAATTTTTCAAAAGTAGGGGGTCCATAACTTGGCTTTTTAAAAATAAGGGGTCATCAGTAATTAGCTAATTCAGAACCACTGGTTTAGACCACAGCACCACCATGTCCCGGTCCCTATTGGGTAAATACATCTGTTAGAAAGACACTGTTAGTCTCTAGCACTCAAGGGAAAACTCTCCTTCCTTTCAGGTTTTTAAGCAGATGCTGGGTGGCCATTTGTCAGGTATGATCCTGCATTGGAGGGGATTCAACTAGATAACCCTTAGGATCCCTTTCAATTCTACAATTCTATGAAATAAATAACGATAATCTGATCCTATGCTTTCCAACACATAGCTGGCCTGGATGGACAACAGTTGTTTTAATAATACTTGCACTCCCTGTTTCAGGGACAGCATTACTAGGTTTACTGCAATCTCATGGAGCTCAGTGATCCCGCCTTTCCTTCCAAAAGGGCCCAAATTCATCAGGTTGTCAGCTCTCCATTTAGGACATGTCTCAAGATGCTACAAATGCCTTGCAACTGTTTTGAATTTGTACAACTTGCAGCTTTGGTTGTTGCTAAAGCAAGAAGTGCTACATGTGTTTAATTTTTTAAAAAGGTAAAATGGTAGCATGCACAACATCCACAATCACAACAGCATTGAAAAAGCAGCCTTTTATGAAGCCTAATGGTTCTGCAAGCCACAGGCAAACATTAATAAAAAAGAACAGTTCTAGAATTTAAGCTAATTGCTCTTGACCCTTTTTTTTATCTAGAGGACCTGACTGTTTTATTGGATGTGCACAATGAAACAATTCTCTTCCATATCTCAAACCATTAACTGTTACAAGGTCTTGTTTCCACTTGTATAAATAGAAGACCTACCTTCAAAGCTATTTCCAAGAATGATGTTGAGTATTGTATACATAATAAACCAGTGGGTTAAATGTTAGTTGCTTGGCATGTAAAGGGGGAGAGATATCAATCCCTGGTATTTTCAGTAGGGCTGCAGAAGACTTCCTTTGGGCAGTGCTTGAGCCCACTGCCAATCCATGTAGACAGTACTGAACTCAGTTGAACATTGGCCTGACTGGGTACAATACAGCTTCTCACGTTTCTAATAAAACCAAGTTGCAAGTTCAGAGTGGGTTTCAATGAGAAGAGGCCTGTTGGTTGCTTTTGTGTGTTCTGCCAGAGTGCCTATTATCATGACCAAATTCATAATAGTATAAAAGGAGAATATTTCAAGACCCTTCAGCTTTAAGGTGCATACTAATACACAGCACACTTGTAAAAGCAATGGTTAAGCAAATTCATGCCCCATGCTTTTTTGTTTGTTTCACTTAAACGTTTCTTATTCTGTGAGACCAACAGAACTAACAATACAGAGAAAGGAGGCATTTAAGGACTGGCAGTATAGATGCATCTTTTGGTGGGACCATAACACAGTGGCAGAGCATGTGGTTTATAAGAATAGTGTCCCAGCTTCAAAACACACTACAGTATTTTCCATTAAACACAATCTCACATAGATGGGCCAGAAAAAAATTAAGATTCCACAACATGCTGCCAGTTAGCACAGCCAGAGATACTCAATAGTAGACCCATTTAAATCAATAGCAGACCCATTAAAATTGAGCTAGATGGGTAATACATCTTGATGTAAAGCAGATCCTATTTAATTTTTATGCTGTTTAATTGTTATAAATGATGCAATAGTGAGAGTTCTGCACCTTTACTTCATCTCCCTTATGTCACTCCAAGCAAGAGAGATCAGACGAGTTCAGAAGTGTTATTGTTTTTAACCCCAAAAATGTACATGCAATTCTTGCCTCTAGAAACTATTAAATTCTATTAAAATCATATATAAAAGGAACCCAGCCCATTTTGCATACAGAGCAAGTTAACCTGCAGTTTATCGTCACAAAGCTGAAAAAACACAGTTATATAAATATAATCCAATCAATTCTGTAACATACAGAGTTGCAAAAAATCATTGTCATCCATGTAAGAAAGGTATCATATTGTAGTCCCTGAATAGCACTTATAACCTAGTCCACACAAACAATGAAAGTCCTTGAAGATTGCTGCTAGGACAACAACATATCTGGTATGTCAATCAAATCTTACAGATATTGGTTTAATCCATAAATAGTTTCAAGCATATACAAAATATAGCAAAGACAAAAAGCCAGAATAATAAATCACAACTTCATACAAAAACAGAAGCAGTGATTCTATGAAAGTACCCTTCTGATTTCACTTGATGCTCTGAATTAAATTTAAGAGCAAGTCCAGAGAATTAGAGAAGGGCCACTGCTGTAAACTCATATAAATGGCACAGGTCAGAAAGTCTGGATACTTCCTACCCTCAATAATAAGTATAGGAGTTAAAGAAATAAAAACAAGCATTACTCTTGGATTAGCCCCCTTTGGGGAGCAAGTAATACAATCTGGGGTGAGAATGGCACTGAATCTTTTAAAGGTGTTGCTGCTAAAACTCCACATCCTCGCTGCACCTCCTGCTTACTGCTCAACGTGAATTTATTCAAAAGTTGGGGTACAAAATACCCACTGCCTGACCATAAGATTCTCTTCTCCACTCCCTGTTGCATCAGCCCCAATGGTATGAAGTGGTTGGATGTGTTTGACTAGGTGATGTTGCAGGACAGAACCAAGGAAAAGTTGCAAATGTGGTATTCTGGATGCCCAGTTGCTCTCCATGTCCCACCTCCACTGTCAGATGCTGTGTGTTGCTGGGAAACAACTGTTGTTGCTGTGCTTAGGTCCTGCTTGCAGGCTTCCTGGAAGCCTATAGTTTGGCCATGATGAGAACATGAAGCTGGAGGAGATGGGCCCTTGGTTTGACCCAGCAGGGCTGCTCTTATGTTTGCATGCCCAACCAAGTGAATTGTTGCCTTTACCACTCTGACAAAACATCTAATTTTCCAAACCAAAGATTTTGTGGGGGGTTTTTTGCACCACTTACATTCTTAATAAAATGTTTCCTGATCTTTAAGGTCTACCTTGCACCCTATTTAGATTGTGGCTGGTGCAAGTGCCCCTCTCCCTTGTCTCTCTTTCTCTCCCCCCCCCCCCCCTTACACTACTGAACAAATGACAGACATACAAACATTAAGTCTATGTGTTAACAAAGCCGCAGAATCATCCCAAAGGATTTGTTGCTGCTTTTGTTTCTTCTCTTTAGCATAAACAGCAGAGGGTGAAAATAAGCTTTTTCAGCTTGATGTGAGATGCTTAGGTAAGCTGACCTCTGCAATAAACTCTGGACTTGGTTTACACATCTCTTTATGGTATTCTTTCTGCCTAGTGCTAGCTCTGTGCTTCTGGTTCTGTTTGCATAAGAACTTATTTTGGAAACAGCCCTGAGTTTCTCTTAACCTTTCTTCCTAATTGTCGTAAGCAATGGGGAAGCTATCCATCAACACCTTCTTCACCACTGGCAATTTATCAACAGCTTATTACCCTAGCTCCTCTCCCCTATCCTGGGTCTTGACAACAGGGTGCCACTTTCCACAGTAGTAGTTTAACTATTCCTGGCTGTCCCTGAATATATCTTTCTTGTGTAAAACGATGGAACCAGAGCCCAGAGATTTTTCAGATGTGTCAATATATTAAAAAGGGCCAGTTTCTCTTTCGTGTCTCTTGAGGTCAGTTTTCTCATCCTCTGATGAGCATCTCAGGCTTCCTTAGGCCATAGCTTTGGAGTACTTTCCAAGTAAAATAAATCTATTTTCCTTCTGACTGAAAACAGGTAGCAGTGGCATTTAGCACTAGGAAAAGCTAGCTGCTGGATTGGTTTCATAGTCACATGATTCACTGGTGAAGAAATAAATCTACTCCTCTTCCAAGGAATAGCCTGAAATCTGACTGTAGAAAAGCTACATGGACATATATCAAAGTTTATGGTACGGTGACATTTCACTGTTGATATAAGCAGCATTATGCTAAGGGGAAAAACATCCACAAGCCTCCGCAGGGTAACTCACCAAGTAAAATGCAGCCCATCCACCATATATGGCAGCTCCTCAATTACTCCATTTCCCATAACCTATAATACTGCCCACCGCCATCTTTAATTTCTTCTCCTGAAGGAACAGCAACAGAATTACAAATCCCAATAAACTAAAGTCAACCTAAGCCAAGGTTAGCCCTCCTTACCTGCAGTTGTACGAATTCCTCCCAGCTGCTCTAAAGGTAAGTTGTTGTTGTTGTTGAACACTTGTACAATACAGATAGAAAAGTAGAGTGTGTGGTAATTGAGAAAGTTACTGAAAGCAGAATTAAGAGTAATGTCATTGGAATTAAAACTGAATGACTGAAAGGAGGAGCTGGATTTCTGTATTTTTCCTCATTGAAGTGCTTTATACTAAAGGCTATTTTAACCTGCCAAAACAAACAGAGAGATGAAATCAGTCAACATTGGCTTGGCAGTTGTCAGTAATGTTGACTGAATTCAGGAGCAGCCATTTGTAATGTATTCAGTGGCTGTGTTTGGATATAACACTGGCTATTAAAACCAAAACCTAATTATTTCTTCACTATTTGCCAAATAAAAAATCTGCATGCCTAGGCCTGCACAAAATTACATGAGGAAGAATTGTCAAAAAACAGCAACAGAGGGCTGTGCAGGGGTAGGAAGGGATATTTCTGGATAAAGATCAGGCAAGGAAATTGCATAAAATGATAAACATGTTACCTAGTTCCCCAGTGAAAGTTGAGGAGCTGGATTTGCTTTAAGCTAAATTCTGTAATTCATGGTCGAGAGCTTTTTTTCTAAAAGCTTTTCCACTCATCCTTGGGCCTGACAGGGAAATAATTGACTGTAATTCTCCGGCCTCTATTTGCCATGGCATACTTGATAATCACAGCCACAGATCTAGCACCTGTAATTCATATAACTTGAAAAGAAGTAAGTATTAATTCTTTTGGTGTTCATGCAGGATAATTGTGCTGGAAGATCCACCTGATTCTTGATATTGTGTAAAGTATTATACTTTTGCTTCTCCAAAGGAAAGTGTTCTAATGGGGCATGGACAATAGGCACACATTTTCCTGGATGGTAATTCTGAAGTCACATAAAAAATAACACCCCCTGCCCCAATATCCTAGGATCAGAGTTTTCAAGTATTGGAGAAAGTCAGCACAGGGATAAATGATTCCCTTATTGTTTTAAAACTAAAGGTCAACAAACAAGATGCAAGACTGCACAGCATTTCTCCATAAGTCATCGCTATACAAACAGACGAGGAAAATCCAGCTACTCTGGGCCATAATCCTTTCAATGTTTAAGTCATACCCTTTCTAAATGATTGAAGTATACTCCTTCCAGACTGGACCACATGCAGATTCTACTATGATGGAATTTAGGGAGCCTTTAATGGAATTGCCACTTGCAAAGTCATTGCAGACTGCTCTGGCGTAAGAAACAGTCAACCTATAAAAGTGAGACTGGTGGGCGGAGTGCAGAACTTTGCAATTTGAGCCCAATGCATTGTATCTCTTCTGAAGGGTTCTTAATGAGGCAGGCAAGCCTCACTACTGTTTGACAAAATACCGTTGCTGCTTTAGTACACAGAGAAAGTATTTTGAAAGTCAAGTTGGTGTTAAAATGAAACGAACATTTACAGAGCAGCTGTGTGCATATATACTTCCCCCAGGTAAGGATTGCAGCCTTAGGAGCCTGCCTCAATGGGCTGACTTAATTAATGGCAATGATACCTTGGGCTATTTTACACATTTCTGGTGTTAGGGGAGAGAGGAAATGCAGCTATTTTCACCAGCATAGAACAACTTTTGTTGAAAGGTAAAACCCAAAAGCATTACAGAAGAGTGGGTAGGGAGCGCAGGAAACATACAAATATATATCTACATATAATTTTAAAAGCACAGTTGTATTTGGCATGGTTTTCTTTCGGGAGGGAATGTTAAAATTTTCGGTTTTAAAAAAGTACAGTAAGAAGCTGAAGTTAAAAGTGTATCCAATAAGGCCACATGGCAAGTTCATCAAAGTGCAGGGATTAACCAAGGAGAACTCCCAAAGCATCCTGCAGGAAAGGCATGGGAGGTGGGCAATCCATTCCTAAAGATCCATGTCAGTGGTGCCAGAGGAGGTCTTCAGTGGGACCGAGTCAAAGCCATCAGATGTTCTCTAAAGACAACATAAAACGAAGTGTGAGTAGGACTATATAAAATGTCATTTGCATCTCTCAGAGCCCCCACCTTTCGTTTGAAGTAAGCCAGATTATGTCATACCCCAGCATTTAGTAACACGGAAAGAACAGAGAGTGCAATCCTGCACCCTATGCTCATGAAAGGGCAGTAGGGTGCAAGTGCATCTCCCACAAAACTATGATAACCAGCTGCCTCCATGCGTGGTCTTCTGACCCTGTCAGAATGACTATTGTAGGAGTGTTACGGGAAACACAGTGCTACGTAAGTGCTATATGGAACCACAGTTTAGTTCTACTTCCAGCCAACTGCAAAAAGCAACGTCTCTGGAGTACTTAAGGACCTTAGGATGGAAACAACCTGTGCTGGATAGCAGTGCATTCAGAAGAGACAGTTGGTGGAGAGGTGAGGGTTGTCAGTGAGCCTTGTGGGAGCCACTCAGCAACCAGCACCCAGAGAGGACTGAATTCAGAAGGATCCACCCTGTGGATAGGGTGCTGGACATGGTTCAAACTCCACTTCTGCAATAACCTCACCAGCAGCTTTGTGCAAAATAATTATTTCAGCCTCCATCTGCAAAATGGGGATAACAGTGATCGCAGCAGTTGCATCACGCTGGTTGTGAGGATAAGGAACTATTATGTTGCAAATAGAAATATATGCTAACAGCTAAATATTCATAACCTCTTGATTAAAGACCCTAATTCAAGCAAAGCAAGCCCATACACATGAGAATTCGCCAACATTTTAACAGAATGTATTTACTGGGTGGGGGCGGGAATAACTTTTGGGTCACAAGCAGAAAGGCCCAGTTTGCTTGTAATTTGCAGGGGAGTGGAGAAAACCCACCCACATTCTGTGTACAGTGTTCAGTTCCCATAATTTATTCCAGACATGGCATTTGAATCCCACAGGCCCAGATTTCCATGGCTCTGCCTTGGTTCTCCCCAGCTCCATCAAGTCAGAGCAGCCCTGACTCTGGCTCTCAAAAGATGAAACTGAGCAAAATATGACACAGAGCCAGTCATACATGATTCTGGACAGCACAACGAGTAGCAGCTACTTGTTCCAGAGACAAGCCAGGGCTCAAGGACCTTTCTGGGTAAGTTTAGCATCCTATACTTGCAGCCTGAATTAACACCCATTGGTGTGTCTCCAGCACACATTGGGCCTCCTTGCCTTCCTCCTCCAGGTTGTGGCACCGTCCCCCTTTGGGAAAGGAGAGGCTGCAGCTGTAGAAAGCTGGCAGCGTGGCTTGGATTTCCCAAGAATACCATACCGCGCTGGGTCCCAGTCAGATATCACAAGGCCATATTGTCATCCCATCCAATGCCATTTGGTTACTATACGCCCTCAGTCAGCTGGCTTGTTTTTAGACACAGGGGACACAAGACAATACCATCTACATTTGGTCTCTATCTACCTGGAAGACTCCTCCTCTTAGCTTATTGAGAACAGCCCTACACACAGACTCCTGCCATGCCTGACTGTACCTAAGAGAAGCCTACAGGAAAACAAATAGCCACATTAGGGGGGGAGGGATAAAATGAAAAATAAAAGCAGCGCACCATTAACCAGAACATCAGTCAGTAGAATAGGAAACACAGCAGCACGTGAATATAGACTCTGAGGCTGGAGAAAGCTCACAGATCTAGGATGAGGACTTTACTGTAATAATGACTTTTGATTGGTCCCTAGCCTGTAGCATCCTGGAAGGTTAGCTGTGTTTGATGTATTTGTTTGGAGAGAAAATGTCCTTTTCCTTTTGCTACTCTGTCAAGATTTTTAACAGGATAGAGGAGGAGAATGAAGCTTTAATCACTCTTCTCCCTCCCCGCAAACCCCTACTACAGCCTGGGTCTTGCACAGTCAGCAGCCCATGCTAGAAATCATTACTTCAAAAATAAAAGGATAGCGACTACTAGAGAAAGGCACACACACACCTCAGGGATACTGTACATATTAAGTGAATTGGGAAGCTGTCTATTCAGATGTGGCCTCACTAGTTCAACATGACATGTTAGACATCTGTCAGGTTAGATAAACACTGGAGCCAAGCCCAAGGCCTCTGTTGCTTCATTCTGGTGCATTACACATGCAGGCTGGGTCGCACTAAGCACCTTACCTTTGTGGTGAAAGCCCTTATTTTGCCAAAGAGAGAATTCTTGCTTGTGAATATCAGGTCATCCTCTGCGTCTTCCCCCTCCATAATGGCACAACTGTCAGCAGCTGGCAGCTCACTGTCCTTGGCACTGGAATTCATCACCAGCTTGGAATATTTATACTCCAACCTACGAAGATATAAGACAGACATAGAGAAAGCCAGATGGATGATGGATGAATATAGTTTGGGTCCCCAAAATGGGACACTTGCGGGGGGGGGATCACTTTAAAATCTGGAGATGATAAGCCCTGCTTCAGGCCACGTGAAAGGTGACTCTTACAGGTAGAAAAAGAAATGTTTTGTACATCCAAACAAGCACACACAGTCATACACATTCACAATGTGTATTTATTAGCTTAATCCTATGCATGCACTGCAAAGGTGGGATATTTTCCCTCCTGGAGAAAATTCAAAAGGAGCTTGAATTTCAGTTTCTCCAAAGAGGAAACAATTCTGCCTCCCTTCTCAGAATATTCAGCTGCTGATCTTTGCCAGCGAGCATTTCAGAGCCCCATCTGCTGCTTGGAAGTGGAGACCTCTTTCCTGGGTGCAGATAAGCAAGCAGCAAAGGCTTCTAATTCAAGTGGTGGTGGGACTGGTATCCTCTCTGCCGGCAGATACTTTCATATGTAAGCATCCAAAGGGGACACTTATCATAGCATAAATCCACTGGCAGCAGGTACATTCAAGCAACAGTAGACCTGATCCCCTATAGTTGTTGAGAAACTGATGGGTAAGAAACACTCTTCATTGAAGAGGTTTCATCACAACTACAGCTGGAATTGGATCACTGCTCAGCAAACTCCGCTCAATATTTGCTGGTAATGCCACCAGCTTTTTCTAGTGCATATGCTGGGAAACTAATTCACAGGATCCATCTGCAAATTTTGTAGCAATATGGTCAAGGGGTGACTCATAAAGGGCTGCGGCTTGTGAAAAGTCATAGGCAGTCCTAGCAAGTCAGCAACCCTGTAACTACACAATGCTAACCTGATGCCCTATGTCTCATATTGCCCACCAATAAAGAGGGGTTTTTTGGGGGGGGTTCTTCCCCTATATATCACTGCCCGTATGAAGATGTCTCATTTCACAAGCTGCACCCCTTTCACAAGGTGCTACTGAACAGGGCTATGGATGCACTGTTTGTGAGTGTGTTAAAGTTGCATGCACTTAACGCTTCTGGAAAATAAAAACTGGTTTGTTTTTGGTGAGTCTTTCTTGCTTTTTAGGCAGGGTTGAGAATGGGATGATAAGAAGGCAAACTGGGGAAGGCGAGAATGCCATCACTGACATGTAACAATGTATAAAAGATTGACATACAGTGGTGCCCCGCAAGACGAATGCCTCGCAAGACGGAAAACCCGCTAGACGAAAGGGTTTTCCGTTTTTGAGTTGCTTCGCAGGACGAATTTCCCTATGGGCTTGCTTCGCAAGACGAAAATGTCTTGCGAGTCTTGAGATTTTTTTTTTGCTTTTCCCCCCTTTATCTAAGCCGTTAAGCCTTTAATAGCCTTTTAGCAGCTAATCCGATAAGCCGATAAGCCTTTAATAGCCGCTAAACCGCTAATAGCGCTAATCCGTTAAGACGCTAATAGGGTTGCTTCACAAGACGAAAAAACCGCTAGACGAAGACTCTCGCGGAACGGATTAATTTCGTCTTGCGAGGCACCACTGTATTACTGAAGAGCTTGCTATCTTTGAACACAGACTCACCTATTTGCTTCTGCTGTGCTGTTCAAGGTTGCCATCTGATTTAAAGGGCAACCTTGAAAAAGGTCTCGGGCAGCTATGAAGCAAGCAAGCAAGCAAGCAAGCAAGCAAGCATAATGCGCAGGAACAGAAGCAGCTACTCACTTCTGGTTTTTCTTCCAGAAGTAGCAAGTCATTGCAGTCAGCAGGATAGCAGCACAAGTCCCTGCCGAGATGCCCACTTTGAGCCAGAAGTCCATGGCTTTGCAAATGCTGACTTTTTGATCTGGGAGTAAAATGCCTCCCGAACACAGCTTGGGCTCCCTCCATACATACGTGGTTCTCTGTGGAAGAAAAAGCAGGCATGGCCTTCTTTTAATCACATGCAGTCGCAGCTCATGTTGCATTTTTGTACTCTTTTTGATGCTGATGGTCTTACTGTACATTTCTGTTTTACCCTGTAGCACTTAGGAGAGATTTTACGCTAAGCTATATAGAAATGGTTTTCAGGGAAATAAACTGAAACCAATATAGAAATGTAGTGTTGATGCCACCTTATAGATTCGAAGCAACCATAATAGTTGTACCACCACCACCACCACCACTCTAGAGGGATCTTGAAGGGACATAATCCTCTTAACAAAAATAAATCGGTACATCATTGCTGAACCTGCTGCTGAAGCGGATTATTGTTGTGAAATCAGTAGAACTGACTTCAGGTAAGCATGTTTAAGATCAGACAAGTATGGTTTTGTGACAACTCCAGGGGGAAAAATAGTGGATTTCAATTTGGTGTCTCTGCCTGTCCTAACCGGCATGTTCACTAAATGATCATTGGGCTGCCGTAGCTGTCGATGACTTGTTTTAATGTTCATATAATAGTCACAAAAATGGGCAGCTCTCAGGCCCTGAAGATAAGAACTCAAAAGAAGCCATTCTGAGTCCCTACCTGAATCCCTCCAACACAGGCGCTGATGATAGCATGGTAGTCATCTGCAGAACAGAGGGGGCAGGCTTCAACAGTCTCCCACAGGAAATGGAAAGTGCATCCGTCACAGGTTCCTTCAGGGCACTTGCTGTTTGAAAAATTATAAAGTGCCATCTGAAATGGAGTCTATTCAGTGGCTCACCTCATGACCTAGCTGTTGTGGGTGTCAAGACCTGCCCTTGTCCCAGACCTGCCATGAAAGAGTCTGTCACCAGTGACTCCAGGGAACCAAAGCCATGCCTCATGTATGTAGCGCATGAACTCTGCTGCATGGAACACTTGTTCTTGCTGTAAATGCTATTTCTTTCATAATGTCAATAGGTCTTAGGCATTTCCTGTATCTGAGTTACACAGACCCCTTGGAGACCTGTGACATTCATGAAAGAATTTAAACCCTGCAAGGTTGAGATAGGCTCCATTGTTAGACCACTTCACCACCATTCTACTTTGACTATACCCAGTAGACCTCTGCATTTTAAAGAGGTAAAGAAGTTGTGTTGGTATGTGAAGGAACGGATATGGCAAAGCTTATGCTGATAGGTTAGGTCTGTAAATGTAAATGAGACTGAACTGGGTTCCAGAAGCGTGTCACAGTGATAAACGTCATATAAAGTTGGTGGCATATGAATGCAACTTGGTGTCTTTACGCTTTTTGCCAAAAAAATAGCTACACCTCCCAAACCAGACTGGGACTATAGTGCAGCACAATAAAATAGTTTTAGTATTCCTCCCCGTATCATTTTCCCCATGAAAATAACTCCACAGCAGGAAAATCATATGCACATTTCTATCATTTCCACTGCATCAGCAACAGTAGCCTTTTATTGGGGAGGGGTGTGGAGTGCCAGTGGGGAAATGGTGCAGAGTGGAAAGGGTCAATGTTAACACAACTTCATCTTGTGCTATAGGCCTGACCCAGACTGGAGCTGTTATAGCTAATATTGGGCGGGGGGGGGGGGGAGAAAGCTTTAAGCAGTGGAGATGCTTTCATGCATCTTTTAGTTTTGCCTTTAGAAGGGTTGTGAACACAGGAAGCTACCCTATGCCATGTCTGACCTCCAGCTACTCAGTACTGTTTACGTTGTCTGGAAGAGGCTCTCCAGGATTTCAGACAGGACATTCTCAGCCCTATCAGGAGATGCCAGCGAATGAACTAGAGACCTTCGGCATGCAAAGCAGATGCTCTACCACTGAGCTACAGTCTTTGCTAAATCATTATTCCTTAGTTCTCATTTAAAAAAGCAACTATTAAAATGCATAAACAAGATGAGCAGCCAGCTTGAAACATAGAAGCGGACAAAACTGAAATATAAATTACAACTGGAATTGGAAGCAATACACCCAATACAAAAGTAAGTGCTGTTCTCAGTGCGACTATTTTTACAGCATCGAAAGCATTTATTTTAATTTTTTTCTCCACCAGTTTTTCCAGTTTTTGCCCCACTGTAGAGTTTGGAGCAGAATGTAGTTTTAACAGGGCGCACCTGCTATTGAGACTGACTAACCTTTGAACTTACCTCGGCACAGAGAGCACTCCAGAGTGGGGTTTTAGAGGGTCACATCTCACTCTAATGGCAGTAGCTCTCCCAGCACTACAAGTCTGAGTCACATCACTGGATCTGCAACATATATGCATGTCATGAAATCCCTGCTAAAGCTGACGGCCCTGTCACTTACAAGGCTTCACGGCACTAGCATTTCTCACTAATACAGTTGTCACTCGGGGGCAACACAACGCTGTATCTCCCTTGTTTCTAGCATGTTTTCATAACTTTTTAAAAGTGGGAAACGCTTAAGACACATGTACTGTATCATTTTTCTTTTTCATACAAAGGACTGCTGCACAGCAGTACAAATGGCACTAAAAAAGGAAATCTGGCTCAAGGAAAAGGGAGGACAAATCACAAGGATATATTTTCCCAGGGTGTGGGAATACTAAAGATTTATTGAAAAGTTCCTTCAAATTAAGCATAGGAATGCACTGAAAAGTAGCATCCAAAAAATGATCCGACTTCCTTCCCGCACATTCAAGTCCCACTTGCCAGAGGCTAGAGGAGAGCTGAGAAGAAGGCGGGGAGAAAGGATGCCAAACTGGTTCTGCAGAATCAAAGCCACTCCTGCTGGTAACAGCAGTAATACTGTGGCTGGTTCACGTGCAAATCATGAGCAAGCAAGAAGCAGCGGAACCCAAGACCTTCCAGAGAATGATTTGACACAAGAGCCCTCTCTCCTCCTGTGGTTTCTAGAAACTGGTATTCAGAAGCACTGCTATCTCTGATTGTGGAGGCAGAGCACAGCCATCACAACTAGTAGCCATTGATAGCTTTATCCCTTCATGAATTTGTTCAATCCTCTTTGGAAGGTTCCAGAATGCCAAAGCCCCCAAATTCCCTGTGATGCTGAAATACTAAAAATGTTCCAAGACGTAGGAATAACCCAGAGTTTTCCACAGAAGACTGCTAAAACTGCCTTCATCTATGTTTGGCAGTCTTGTAGCTTACCTGTAAAAAAATATCACATCCGGTAAGCCCACATTCTCTGCAGGGAAATAGTCAGGAAAAGAAGTGATGTTGTCCAGAGTGGTCTCCCTTGTTACTCCTACAAGTTAGAAGCAAACCAGTGAGAAGGACAGTGCACTGAGAAGACAGTGGACGTTCCCAGGACCACCCCTCTCCCAAAACTGACTGTGCTAAAAAGCTTCACAGAGGAGAATCCCATTTCAATTCTCTCTTCACTGCTTCCAGAAAACAGGCTTGTCTTGTTCATTGCTTTCCTCACAAATGCTGATCAGGGTCAGAGAAACAAGTGAGGCCTGTTGTGCCTTTGGTTAGGCTCTGTTAGTGTGTGTGAGTGACCCAGGTTTAGCTATTGGATTGCAGGTCTTGAAAAAAATAAAAATAAAATGACAATATATAAAATAAAAGTAGATTGCCAAGTCCTGGAAATAAAATATACTTTATTTTATGGGCCTGGAGGTGGTGCCAGTGATTTGAGGTAGAACAGAACCCAGTGCAAAAAAAAAAAAGTATTTCTCTAGCTATATACTTTTTTTAAAAAAAAGAAGCAGCAAAAATTGGGAAATTGCTATGACTTTCCCTCCTTTGCTTTCCTGGGACCTGGACAGATAGCAAAAAACACAGCTGAGGAGTGGGGAACTAAAGTTTAGTGGCACTGAGTAGTGTAGGGTTTTCATCAAAGTTGACTTTGTTTTAGATGAAGGAGCCACACTGAACTCACTACTTTTCCATTCAGTTGTTTGACAGTGGAATGGACTCCCTTGGAACATGATGGACTCTCCTTCATTGGAGGTTTTTAAACAGATGTTGGATGGCCATCTGCCAGGGATTCCTTAGCTGTAATTCCTGCTTTGCAGGGAGTTGAGCTAGACAACCCTTTGGGTACCTTCCAGCTCTATGATTCTATGACTTATCTAGAAGGCATAATCAGGGATGTTCCTGCCACCTGAATCAGCACATGCAACTCCCCCAAAAGCCTTTATCAAACAGCAACCAGAGTCCTCTGTTCAAAGCACAGACTTATGCTCCCTGCAATTCTCACCTACAAAGCGGTCTGCCAGGCTCACGGGTTGGGAAGACACCACTGATTTGTAAGCCATCACATCAGAGGGGACAATGATGGACTGGCATACATAGGAGGAAGTTGATTTGGAGAACTCTGTCTCTTTGCCCAGGATGTGCATGTCTGTGACGTTATCCGTGCAGGTTGCCATTTTCCTTCCCTTCAGAGAATTGCAAGGGGGGTGGGGAGAGAGAGAGAGAGAGAGAGAGAGAGAGTTGGCTGGATCCTTGTCTTTATAAAACCTGAAGTTCTTTTTAAAGGAACCATAGTAAGAGGACTCTATTGCACTGAAAGCACGAGGAGGGTTTCAAAGCCTAGCACCAGCGCCTCTGATCACCGCATTTTCCATTACCCATGCATGTTGGAAGGGCGTCTATTTGTGTATCAATGTATGTGCGTAGAGCTCCCACATATAACAGGGGTGAGGAGTCTGGGATAAACGGACCCTGCTTTGCATGGAGAAGCTCTATGTACACACAAAGAGCCTATTCCGAAGAGTTCTGTATGCATGGGTAGGGTGTGTGGTCACCAGCTGTCATTGGTAGTGGGGATAAATCAATGATACTGTGACACACACACTTTCAGTGCACAGGGATCTATTAACACCCATCCTTTCACAGGAGAGAAGGGCAGTTGCATCACGATAGTAAAACGTTTCCCTTAAGTTACAGATAAGAGACCTTCAAGAATTTGAGCTGTTTTGTTGCGGTGGTTCAGCTAGAGTAGCCAGGAGGATGGGATTGTGCTAAGGAAACGTTCTGCGGCTCCGGGGTGAGCATGGGTGCCTAGAAACTCTCTTCACATCTGGGTGATTTGTACCATATAAGCCACTCTCACATGTTGGGGCCCTGCATAGAGGATGGGCTTCTCAGAAGCCTCGCCACGTACTTACATGATTCCCACAGAGGCTGATGTTGAAGTGGTGAAAATACTTTAGCCCTTTGGTGGTAAAACTGGGCCCCACCAAAAAGGATGTGCTATTAGACAGTGCTGAGAAGTCATACTCCAGAGTCCTGCCGTCCGTGATGACTGAGAGGTGACAGTCACTGTAACAAAGAGAATGGATCTGGGGAGCAGAACATTTTTTTACAGTCAATTTATTTCCTCATAGAGGAGCTCAGAAATTGTCAGTGTCTCCAGCACCATGTAAAACCCAAGTTTACTCTGAGAGGAAGGAACCCAAATGTGGCTGATTATTCTCAAGCTGGCCAGGTTTATAGTGCTCCAGAATCCCATAAGCTTCTGTTCACAGGAATCTCACTTGCCAATTTCCTCCAGGGAACCATGTGGATAATTACACAAAACAGAGTATGTGGAGATGAACCGCCTAGCTGTTCTAGTGCCATTTCCATTTTGGCAGGAAATAACTTAATATTTCTGAGGAAAGACAAGCTTGGGTTTTTTTTAAAGCAAAACTCTGGGATGCTTTGGTAAGGGAAGAATCCATTTCAGTCTACAGGTTCCACATTTTCAATAAGAAAAATGCAAAAGTTTGTTAAGACAAAGTTTTCAGTTATATATCTTCTTTTTTAAGGATCTGGCCTCATGCATATCATGTCAGCGGGCAGGCTTTGCTAACTGGGTGGGATCTTGCCTGCCACTTCAAGTGGAACCTTCTCCGGCCAACAGATCTGCAATTTCTTGTGCATGCAGATTCTGTCTGTAATTTTGGATGAGGGGCGGTATACTAGTACTAATATACTGATACTGCCCTACTGCTGCTTATAATGGAAAGCCCTCTGCCAACTAAATGATTTATAAACTTAATGGGGTGCTTTTATGTAGCTAACAGTGTAGATCATTGCAAATTGGCCAGAAACTATAGGCAGAAAGGAGGACAATATTACCGGGTTGTTTTTTGTGCCGGGACCACAAGGGATGCAGGCCTGGCTGCCATAGGGCTGGTGAGCTTTCAGGTACGTGTTTGCTGCACACGGGTAGCAGCCCCCAGAGCTTCTGTCGATGTAGTGGCCATGTGGGCAGGAAGTACAGGACGAGCCCGAGGATTCCAGAGCGCACACCCGGCAGTATGATGCTACGCCTTCGATGACGTTGGTCACATTGATAGAGTACAGCTTGGCAACATCGCTGGTGTATTTTCTTCCCTAGAACGAAACACAGAAAGTGTCCATAGGGCCTTGGAGAGGTAGAAGTGTTTGATAAAGGGGAGGTGGGATGCTGCAGACGAGGATGGCGTGCCTATTCCTTGCTGGGACATCTTTGATTAGCAAGACACTAGAGTATCTCTGATTCCTGGCAAGGAACTCCCCATAAAAGGGATAACTGAGGAGCTGGCTATGAACAGAAGGTTCCCCAGGAAGTGATAGTCCCTACCGGCTCATGATATGCTGTTCTTTGGAAGGCCCATGTGAAGCTCATGGTGGCGTTCTTTTCAATGATGTAGGTGTAGGATTGCTTTCCTTTCGAGCCAATCCAGGTTTCCACAGGCGTGTTGGTTCTGGAATTGACACCCTACCAGAGATAAAGCATGGGCCTAGTGAGTAAAGAGCAAGCAACGCTTTCTACCTAAATAATTCTTTATTATTACAGATACAGATATTTCCGTAACTTGAGTATAAGCAGGGAAATCATGCCAGGCAGATTGTGAGAGCCTTGGAATAGCCAACTGAAAAGAAGGGGAGGTGGGGCATTAGTGGGAAGGAAGCAGTTAAGAGGAAAGATGACACTGAAATTGGGGAAGAGAGGCTACAGTGACTTTTCTTTCGCGCCCATTGTAGCTCAAGAGAAGCTGATGTGGGCTGCAGATCAGAAAGCACAGGAAATTCAGAGCATCATTTGCAAAACCCAATAATACTCATTTTTTTAACATTTTCACAAGTCTTTTTCATTTTGCACTGTGCATGATGAGTGGCCTTGCTACCTGTCCAAAGTGTATCTCTGAACAAAATGTGCCTAGAATAGTTTTCCAGTTCTTACACTATTTTTATTAATAATATTAACGTTATCAATAATGCTGATTTTTTAACATACCAACGGGTGGTATACCTATATTTATTTTTCTCGCCGCCATGGTGGCATTTTGACACAGAGTCCTCACAGAGGTGTAACTACAGGATGCAAGTGGGCTATTGTACCTTTGAAAATATGCCCATAGGAACATATTGATTTCAGGTGAAAGTTTCCGGAATTGGGAAACAGCCAAGAGATTTGCCTCTTTTTCTAAACGCATCAACTACAGAGGAAGGAGGGGAATGTGCCTTCCACAGCCTGTTGTGCCTTGGGAGCACAAAACCCCAAGGCAAACCAAGCAAGAGAAAGCTTATCTGCTTTGGAGAGAGAAGAAGCTGGATCAACTTACCACCATGAAATAAAGCTCACAACTCATACTGCAGATCGTTTCAAAGACAAATGTGATTCTTGCAATCTCTTTACTTTCGGAGTCCTCCATCACCGATTGTGGGGAACTGCAAGAGAGCAAGCAAAACTCAGGGGGTATCTATTTGCTCAAGGTCTTGGTGAAAACACAGCAAGGACGGGAGATGGGAGTAGGAATGTCTGGAAACAGTCCACCTCAATTAGCAAGGCTTACTTCAGCAAGCCATGAATCTGAAAGTTTCCCTCAGCTTATGCTCTTGTTTAGAACACATTTGAAGAATCTGAGGATGGCCAGTCCAATAAAATCAGCACTCTAGTCACAGGCATACATTGAAAGCATGGCTGTTTCCAGGACATGGCAAAAATCTGGCAGCTGCTGAGAGCTCATATATGTTTCAAGGATTTGTTAAACTGAAAAGCCAACTCAATCCCTCATTCATTCTTTCTGTTATTGTTCACCAATGGTGAGTTAAGGATTGTGGAAGAAGTAATGCAAGCAGCACACTCTTAAAGGGGAGAAGGTCCCACTGCTTGGACTCAGTGCTCCTACTGTATTTTGGATGCATAGGCTTGCCATCGCCAGCTCAGCTACACACTCACCTGAACCCAGGAATCACCAGTGTCAGTATCATGAAGTCATTGTCAGAGGCTCCTGCTGCTGTGTAGATGTAGTCACCAGCTACTTCCCACCCTGAAATAGCAAACAGAACACCATCTCCATTCAGTGAAAGGGCATTACTTCAGTTGGATATCATTAAATACACAGCTCTATAAACGCTTACATACTTCTTAGAGACACAGGAAGTCCAGTTGCCTGAGGCCAGAACTAGACAATTTAGCATGACGGCCGCTGAAAGCAGGCAGCCCCGTGTCTCCCCTCTCTTTGATCTGGCAACATCTGACAGTACGAGTGGAATGAGAGTCACTGTGCTGTGAACTTCCCCACTGCTTGCAGGGGCAAGAGACCTCACAATATGACAGTGCCCACCCATGCAAGAACTGCCCCAACACCTCGGGTTAATATGTGCCCATGAAGATACCTGCCATTCCCTTATATTCAAAACTGGTTCCACTGAGGACCGTCGTCTCCATGTTTGCTGGCAGCGTGTTCCACCATTTGTATTCAAAGCCTAGAGCTGGTTCAGTCCCAACGGTGCAGTTGATGCAACCTGAGAACAGAAGGAAGCAACATTACAATGCTGGAACTCGGGAGGAGGAATGAACTCCCATGTGGAAGGCCGTCACTAGGTGGCTGGTGGGCGCTAGCAGCCCTTTCTGAAACAAAGAATGAGAATAACCTATATAGAGGCAGGCTTGGCAGCAACATGCTTCAGAGGTGTGCACATGTACATGCCTACTGAACATATACTGCACACATTTTTCAGGTGGAAAAATCCCCTTGGGCAGAGCTTTCCCACTTGATACTAAAGTGGCAAAATGGCCCGGTGTGGTCTAGCCACTATTTTGCGGTATCTTGAAATATGCTAGAAAAAAAGTGTTTTCCAGGACTTATACTGCTACCACAGGATAATATTACCTTGCAGGCCTTTACCAGGAGAGTCATTGCATATTGATTCTTCCATTTGCAAAAGTGGTTGGGTAAGCAAACCCTAAGAATAGGCTGGTAGCCGCCTCTGCAAATTACCAATGAATTTCCTGATAGAAGGGAGTGCCATATCATGCATTTTTGTTGTTGCTGTTTTTAATCAAGTATGTGACAAAGAGGAGCTTTCTGTGTAAGGACAAAGCAGCCAGTTCCATGAGCTGTATCCCACCTCACAATTCTGTTGCCATTGGCAAGAATGTGGAATTATCAGCAGCAACAAAGAATAGGAAAATGAAGAGCTCACACAAAGACTTGGCTCCTTTTTATGCCACCTCTGAACGCAGTAAGCATAAATAACATCAGCTCCAAATCAATAACTTCAGGTTCCCTGTATGCATCCCCACTGACACTGCACAGGTCCCTATTCATTGAAACATTTTAAAGAAAGTAATTCATGTGACAATTTGGCCAGCCAAGAAGGAAAGAACAGAACAGCATTACCAGACCCATTTGAATATGATCCGTATGGGCAGGGCTCGCAGGAACTGGTGTTTGTCTTGAAAAAACCAGGATTGCAAGGTGGGCATGTAGTTTTTATGCCAGAAGCAGGCAATTTTACAGAACCGGGGAGCTCCTCGCTGCAGATCTTTGGTTCAGCCCACTTATACATTAACTGAGTCTGTTGATATAAGAAAGAGATAGGAGCAAACATTTCTACACTTAAATCCGCAAAAAGCTGTGCAATGCCTAGATATCTCTTTACATGAACAACAATTACACAGGCTCTCTGCCCATCTGCAAAAAGCATTATGAGGATATTCCAGGAAAGAAGCCCTGACATATTAGCTCCTCCTCCTCTTACTCCCGGGTGTTCTGAGTTCCCTCCCCAAGTTTAGTAATATACTGTCAGTATGAAATGGTCCACATGGGGGTGCTCTTTGCACACGGCAGTGATAAGAAGAGCCTTGCTTGAATTGACCCAACTACCCCAACATTCTGCTTTCACAGTGACCAGGTGCCAGTGCCGGCGGGATACATTTTGCCCCAGAGGGCAGCAGACCCCAAAGTCTGTCACTGCAAGGAATCCTGCACAGGCTTCCTTCTCTGAGACAGGACACAAGGGGAGAAAGTGTTTCTCCCCTTTGTGTCCCATTTAGGCTTCCTTCTCTTGGTGGTGGCGGCATGATGGGAAGAACAAGTTTCTCTCCTTCGTCCCTACACACCACCACCAAGAGAAGGAAGCCTGCAGGTTCATGCCACATCCCGCTGTAGCCACTTCCCTCTTCCTGAGGTAGACAGGGAGGTGAGGCCTTTCCAAGGCCACACACCTCTTCTAATAAGGAGAAACCAGCAGCAGTGGGTTCTGCTTATTAAAAGAGGTGGGTAGGCTTAGCCAACCATGCCATCTTCAGGGCCTGACTCCTTTATATTCCTGCGTGCTCAGTGACTCCTTATGTCCCTGCTTATTAAAGCATGTACAATGCTTTGCAGTACAGTCTTTTCCGTTAAAGGTAAGCTCTATAGCTGTGTACGTCAAAAAGCTAAACAAGAAATTTTCACTATTTAAACACCACCATCACAAACAAGGAAATCCAGAAGGTGAATTACCTCTCCATTGGTATCACAGGCTGTATGAGTATAAAAATAATCCTTATCTGTGCAAGCTGGGCGTGGCTTGCATGATGCTGAACCTGGTTCTTTATTGAAAAGAGGAAACAATGGTTAAAACCACGTGAGCATGAAAGAATCAATCTAGCAACAACTCAGCAGGAACTTCAGAAAGGTGCCATGCCCATCTCACACACATGCCCATATTTTATCTCTGTGTAGCAGGTACTAATCACGGATACCATAAATCTATTCAGTATTTAACCGGAGCAATGAGAAGGGCAGTGTGTGCATGTTTGCAGATGTACAGGTCGTTTCAGGCTTCAGTTCCAACATTTGTTCTCCTAGAAATTGTTAGGAGCCATTTGCCTTATATTTGCTTAAGACAATTGAATTTGACGGGAACAAAGAACACATTTTTGTATCATGTTAAAGGAGCAGGCAGTTCCCAGCCCTTTTAGGGTAAGAAAAAGTGGCAGCAATTGATGAGAAAATTGCAGGGATTTTGCCCTGAAGATGGAGCATTTTGTCATTAAGTTGAATACTCTCTTCCCATGGAGGAAAGGGGAAACCCAAGGTCCACCATCTCCTCCTATAGTTTCCAGCAACCTGGTAAAATGCTTCAAGAATAAGGTTTTGAAGCTGATCAAGTCAAAGTCTTCCTGCACGACAGCAACCAATCAAAATGCTGCAGTCTGATGTGCCAGCTGCTGCCACTTCTTATAGGGGAACAGACAACACTGATATTGCACTCGCCAGATATGATGCAAGCCTGAGATAGTTAAGTCGGTAGAACATGAGACTCTTAATCTCAAGAGTCATGGGTTCAAGCCCCATGCTGGGCAAAAGATTGCTGCATTGCAGGGGGTTGGACTAAATGAACCCCGTGGTCCCTTCAAGCTCCACAATTCTGTGATTCTGTGATTCTAAGCAACCACAAAGAGGAATGAAATTGCTATGAGCTTGTAATTTGAGAGTAACTTTCCAAGTCTTTCTGCAAGGCAGAGTTCCATAGAACTGAGCAAATTATGCTCAAAACATGAAGGCCTTAACAAAACGTAACCCTCATTATGCAGAGAGCAATACATGAGAACGATGCCCCAAATCCAGCTGTGTAAAATTTCTCCAAAAACACAGAACTACAGATCAAAAATCTGCTTGAGACTTAGACCTACTTTCCATGGAGAGGATAAAAATGTGCCTACATTTAATGGGCTAGATCTTTCCAAACTTTCATTTGGAGAATTCTCTGAAAAAGCTCAAGATTTCCCCAGTAATTTTCCAAAGCTCATATAGATCCAGGCTGGGCTAATTTCTCCACCGTTGCTAGTAATCTTGCTTGCCAGTTCTCTCCCCTCCCCCCCAACTTTCTCAAACTTATCGGTGGAGGAAGATTGGAAGAAATTCAAAGACTATCTGCAGAAACATTGCAAAATTAAAGAATGCTAGAGTGATGTTGGATTGAAAATAAGTGGCTTCCAGCTGTACAGGATTTAAAGTTATATATAGATTAAGATTAAGGATTAGGATTAAAAAAGTTTAAGGAAATGGAAACTTGGTTTTTAAGAGGTAAAATTTTAATGTTATATTATATTAAGATTAAAGATTGGGATTAAAAAAGAGGGAAAGAAATTGCTGGACAAACAATTTGAACTGGAATACAAAAGAGGGAGGTATGAGGAGGTCCAGAAAATAAGTAAATTTAAAAATGGAGATGAAAAGGAGGTATTGTTTTTAACTGTTTTCTTTTTTGTCTTTTTTTTTGTTTTTTTCTTTTTCCTTTTTGGATTATGTATTGTGTATTTTTGAATTGTGTATTTCTTTTTTATGTTTTTATGTTTAATTTTTTTATTGATGTGCTCTTTTTATTGGAAATCTTAATAAATATCATTAAAAAAAAAAAAACTTTCTCAAACTTATCAAATGCCCAGGGAAGAAGGAAAATGGCACCCAAGTGGGCATGCAAATGCTGGTGGGCGGGGTTTCCCTATGCTTCCAGCTTGCAATAATAAATGCTTCTAAGCATGCCAACAACACCCTCCAACGATGAAGGGAATTTAAATAACTGCACTTTTAAATGCCTCGCTATCAATAAGGCAGGAGGAAGTTAAAACAATACTTCTTGGTGCTTGTGTTAATGGAAACTGCTTAGAAATAGCTTTTGGCAAGGATAGCTAATGGGCTGTCTCCCAGGAGCTCCCATCATCTTTGACCCACTGTCTATGCTGGTTTGGGCTGATTGAGGCTCATCTGGGTGGGCACTACACTGGCTACCCGAGGCTTTTGGTTTCATCTTCACTTACTGTTTTCCCTCCTCTCCCCTTCAGTTTCACATGCTTGTGAATGTTACTGGGAGAAAGAAAATGGTGTGTGTGTGTGTGTGTGAGAGAGAGAGAGAGAGAGAGAGAGAGAGAAAGAGAGAGAGAGAGAGATCAAAGGGTTGATGCCAAATCATTACAAGCAAAAGCAAAAGCAGTACCCAACACTGCAGACTTAGCCTCTTACAGAAACAGGGGAAAGAACATGGCTACATTAATTACATTTTTGAAGAGGAGAAAGGAGAGCAATTGGCTTTTCTTTGTCAGAGCAGGTGCAATGGGTTCTAAGCTGGCAGGAAGGTTTAGGTAGCATATTCAACTGAACTTGGAAGCTGGGCAAACAGCTGGGGATATGTGATACTTTTGCTAAGTAAAGCTATGGGAATAGACCACAGCTCAGTGGTACTGCCCCTGCCTTGCATATAGAAGGTCCCAAGTTCAATCCCCAGCATCCCCAGGTAGGGGATCCTCCCTGAAACCCTGGAGAGCCACTGCCAGTCAGTGTAGACAATATTGAGCAAGATGGACTCCATATAAAAGCAGCTTCCTATACTCCAAAGTCATAAATCAGCCTCCTTCATAGGTTTTCTGATAATTAGCTAAGGTGCTTACCTGAGTACATTGCTGGCTCGCACTGGTGGCAGGAAGTAGCTGTTTTGCTGGAGTAGGAGTTTGCTGGGCATGGCTGGCAGAAGGAAGAACCTAATTTGGCTGTGTAGGTGCCTGCCTTGCAGGGAAAGCATTCAGAAGTGAAGGCTACTCCTAGGGAACAGGGGGGAGGAAAGGGGTGAGGTTGGATAGCAGTGCAAGAGAGGAAAAAAAACATTTTAGCCGCTGCTGGGCACAATGACAGCTTGCATAGTGGCATCAGACCCGAGACATGCACCAACCAAACACAAACCTGTAATCTCAATGTTCCTCACCAACACAGGCTTGGGAGTTTTGGACCACACAGAGAAGGCTGTCGTTCTCCAAAACAGAACATTGTTGCCCTGACTCAGCTCCACCTGCAAATGTTCAAAGCACAGACAGTTCAAGTCCCAGCTGATACTGAAAGGCTGTACTGTTTGGGACTTCAGTACTGAGTCCCAGAAGCACACACAGGTCTCCTTCTCCAAGCCCCTGCTGGCCATAAGCACAGTTAAGGAGCTCTGTGCACTTACAGTGTGCGTCTCCCACCCTTTCTCTGTGGTTCTCATCCATCGTGACTCCTCTACAGTTGGCTGGCACTGGTCATTCTGAATCTGCAAGAAATGAGAACCTGGGATGAGGATGCACGGGGTAAATAAGTTGATTTGTAGTAGTCAGCTTAAGATATCATAGTAAAATTAACATTTTTGCTGCTGGAGGGCAAAACTCTTTTGTCGGACCAAGTTCTAATGCTGTAGTGTAGAGAGAATGTATGCATAGCTTTAAAGGCTGGAAAGATAAGCTGCTGTAGGTTTCTCTGGGCTCCTACACAGTACAAGGATGGAGAAAGTCCCCTAACTAATCCTCCAGCAGCAAATCTAAAGCACATTGTTCAGAGATTTTTAAGAAGTTAAATGGTTTTGTGTCCATTTTGGCACTCAAGGCAACCATTCCTGTATCTACCCACTTTCTTAAAGCAATGTATACACATATACCAACACAGTGGTATATGTTAATGGCCCTGGAGATGGTATAAATGTTGGAAAAGTCTTCTTGGCTACTGTATTGTAGTGAATAGGGAGGAGAGGAGATGCCAAAGTAATAATGCTGTTGTTTTAAATGAGCATCATTATCTTTGAAGCGCTAAAGAAGGGAAACCACTGTATCTTGAAAGGACTGCAAAAATAACTGCTGCCAAAATTCATTTGTCACCGGATGAAGTCCAAGAAGGAACAGTTCAGTGGGAGGCTAAATGAATTGCCAGCAACACAAAAACGAACCTCCTTCCATGTTTTCTGGTTTAAATACCAGGAATCCTTGTCCTTGACTGCAACAAGATGCAACACCCATTTTTCAGATAGGCCCCGAAAGTGAAAACTAGTGCAGAGGTGGTCATATAGGTAAAGACAGTGCCCAGAAGAAATCCTCCCTCACTTTGCATGCAATATTAGCAAGGTGGATTGAGTTATAGGAAACATACAAAGAACTCAAAGACGATGCTGCTGTCTTGGTAGATATACTCAAAGGAGACGGTGCCAGATTGCTTCAGATTAACAGCATACACCAGAGTGGCTGTGCACTCATCTGTGTTGGAGGCAATGTAATCTCCCTTAAGACTCCACGTTGACCTGGAACAGAACAAAGAGAAAAGCTCAGCCGTTAAGGGAATGCTACTGTACAGTTCCAGAGAACAGACACTCCCTAAACATTACAAGAGAGTTACATTAACAGGAGAGATGGGTAAGAAAGCTAAAAGCACAAATGCCAGATGTTATGTCTCCACTGAAATATGGGTGTAATATTTATGAAGGATTCGTTCCACCATTGTAGCTAATATGCAAAATTGCGCAAAAACTGCATGATCTCCAGATAAGTCTGTGCCAGTTTTGATTTTATCTGGAGATCAACAACACTTAAGCAGGCTGCACTTAGTTGAGCCATGTTGGCATTTTATACTGACGTATTCAAGTCTATTCCACAATGGTCAGTATATTCCCTGTATATCACACTCTCATTATATGCTAGGCCACAACATGAGGCTGCAGAATGATAGATGCAATTACAAGGGGACAAAGCACAGGTTCTGTTTTGTGCAATCATTTCTAAAGCAACTGAAGAAGAAAAAAGAAATGTACCCACCCTTATTTTACATCTGTTGTAATGTAAGGCAAAGGTGATTTAGGAATGTGGGGGGTCTTAACTAAAATGGAGACCCTTTGCCAATCTGGTTGAAATTTGGCAGGTCTTATAACCTGGGGGGGGGGGTAGCTGAATGTCCCCGTCATGCCATTCAAATAGAAACCCCAAATTTACAAGCTGGAGATGTGCAGTTTATTCTCTCATTAAAAGGAGTGGGAAAATGAAAATGACAGCAAGCAGAGGTAAGAACCAAAATGGACAGTTGTTAACCCAAAACTTCAATCTATATCCTTCACATGCTCCAAGACAGGGGCAGATGATGCATCTCTTGTGCGTCTTAGCCCAGTCCTAGTTCTCTTCCCTACCCTGTTTCTCTGCCTACTATGAAGTAAAATCAGAATCATAGCAAGAAGGGGAAAGGACGGGCAAAGCAGTCGGTGGAGGAACATGCAGAGTCTCAAACTTTAGAGGGGCAGACAGGATCTCAAGGTTGATGATACTGCCCTAAGGGAAACTTGGTTTAATTTCACACATCATCAGTTTACTTAATTCAAAAAGAAATAAAAGAAATTGTGGTGATTATCATCATGCTTGCTTCTAATGACAAACAGTGTCACTTTGGGTGATAAAACTGGATGGAGGTGGAAGCAGGAAAACACGGCCAAGAGTAGCGATGCTGATTTGCCCTGCACTGATGTGCAGACAGTAATGGGGTGAAGGTGGCTGTAAAGACTCCCGGAAATGAAAGGTAAGAGGCGCCTTTAGCTTCTCTGACAAATGACAAGCATGAAGGAGGGGCAGAGGAGAGAAAACCACGATGGGTGGTGGTGGTGAGAGGGGAAAGAACTATAAGTCTCTTTCTCTGTGTGTGTGTATTTGTGAGGTCCTCAATGTCATCTAGTTACACATGCCTCTCTTACCATCTGTTCTTCTTCAACCTCGTTCTCCCCCCCATATTATACCTGCCTATTTTCTTCCAGACTTAAGACAACCCTCCAGCCCCCAAAAATTACACTTCCTGATCAATCAGATGTGTTCCACAGCCTGTGAAGCCCATTCCTTCCCCTCAGCTCATCATTTTCAGTCTGAAAAAATATGCAAGGATCTTATTCACTTTGCAGCAGAAGAGAGATAAAAGCCAAAAATAAATACTATAAACTGCATACTTTGGGATTTCATACACATTTATGAAAACAAAAAGGCTACTTGCTCCTGTTCTTTTCAGCAAGAGGAACTCAGAACCTTTCACATGCATCGTTGCCACCACTCCATGAAAGGTATCCTGGATCTAAGGCAAACTGGAGGAATCAGACAGACCTTTACTTAATGAGACGAACCAGCAATGGTAATAATCTGCCCCTCTGCTTCTACAACTGTGCTTAGAAGTTTGATGAATAATTTAAGTGATATGAGAAGTAGGTTACATTTGCAAGTTGCACAAACACTTTTCAGCACCATGGTGTTAAGTTTTTTAGCAAAAAACACTCTTTAAAGGACGTCTTCTGCCTGACGAGTCTCCGCTAGCTTATCTTCAGCATCAAAATGATTAAAGCACCAGGCAGGAAAACAAGGTGGCAGTCCTGGGCTCCGCTGGTCGGGGCATTTGAGGCCAATGGACAGACTTAAAGCCCCAGAGCTTGTAAAGCAGAGCTAACACACTGTACCCCTTCAAATCCAGGCTTCACAAAATACCCTCACTAAAACAGTTTTAGGCTTAACATCCATTTTCCTATCAGGATTAAAAAGTACAAGTAATCTCAAAACAGGAATGACTCAACTCCAGGTGACTGGGCTATGGCAGAGATCAGCTAGTGCTACTGTGGCAGCTAGGACAGCTATCTAAATTGACGTCAAGGTGGTAGGTTGGCTTCCAATCTTCACTAATGGACCAGAACAGAGACTTCTGTTCTACTGACAACATAGGAAGCTACAGTATAGGCCTATCTTTGTGGAGTGCAATGTGTAGGAGGAGTCAGGAGTCAGCCCTGCCCAGACCGCAGACCTGGATTCTCTTCAAAAGAGTACCAGCATCTTTCAGAAGCTCTCCATATTGCCAGCGACCATGAAGAGCCATTGGATCTGGATATCCCTGCCTCAGAACTGGAGGCCCCCATACCAGTTCCCTTCTAAGCCTTCCTGACCTGGGGAGACAGACACAGGGGCAGGTTTGCATTGCCTCCTATTAACAGACTAGCAGCAAGGAAGAATATAGGCACGCCACATGAATTTTCCAAGATGCACAGTTTCTAATTAAATGCACTGGCAGGCTGCTCCAAAACAAAAGGTAAGGGTTAGGTTCCTCCTCCACATCACCTTACTCATATGCAGACATTAGCACACCCACATTACACACAGTATCTTTAGAAAGGCTTTGCAACATTGTGCTAATTATGTGAATGTGGGATCACTGTCAGTGCAGAAGAGAACACAGGAGAGAGGCACTGAAAGCCAACGTGGTTAAAAATCCAACCAGGACCAGGGAAATCCAGGTCCAAAGCCACACTCGACCATGAAGCTCCCTGGGTGGACCTTGCACAAGTCACTGTCTCAGCCTTAAGGGATAGTTGGGTAAAATGGGTGGTGGACAGCCATGTATGCTAACCTAAGCTCCTTGGGAAAAGGGTGGGGTGCAGATGCAATTAAGTAGAAAGAATTTTGGTGAGTATAGATCTGAAGATTTACATTCCAGCTGAAAAGCAAGTCAGGCAAAACAGCCCTCTTAAGCCTCATGTTCTGAAAGGAACAACTAAAACTCCAAGATAGTGACAAGGAATTTGAGAGGTATTATTGTTAGAGGAATATTGCATTTGAGGAGATGTGTTTCTGCAGGGGGAACACAAACACAGCAGGAGAAACTTTATTTATGATGGTCATGTAAGGAAAAGGAAAATCTGTACAGATTCACCAGACCTTAACAACCCTGCTTCATGATTTATATGCTTAATTCCTTGATCGAATGCTTGTTTGAAGTTGATCTGTAAGTTTGTAGCATCTTAGTCCACTCTTGATTCATCCAAATAAGCTATCTGTAGCCTCGTCCTCCAAAGCCACCTCCCATTCCTCCTGCATCCCTCACCTCCAGCAGACAATGACCCACCAACAATGCAGTATCCCCAAGACGAAGCCTGCTGTCACTGCTGATCACCCCTTTCCACTCCCTGTTGCTGCCCTCCAAAGACAAATCCTTAGCATTGGAGAGGGTACTGCCCCCATCATTCACCCCAACATTCCCTGGATTGGGCCTGCCCCCTCCCAAGCTGCTAGGAGTTTCATTGTTCTCCCACTCCCATATGAGGATCATCCTCTCCTCAGTCTCCTATGGTCCAGGTCCATAGGTGGCATAAGTGCTGGTCTCGGTCTGTTGGGTGGTTGAGGCAGTGGCATCTCAGGATCTTGTGCAGACCTACCCTGTTGAATGGCAGCCACAGCGTCCAGCAAGGCAGCAAGTGGGAGGCCAACCACCATGTCCATGAGGGCTACTGGGCCTCAGAGGAGCAGTATGCATGTGAGCAGAAGACAGCTCAAGTGCTGTCCATGGTGCTGATCTTTGTGCCTGGCAACTCTGCCGAGACATACTCACTGAAACCAGGGTGCAGAGAGGATGCAACTCATCCACAAAGAGAATGCACACTCACCTCTGGGAAACACTGGGGAGAGGCTGAGCTGGTTGGACAGCCTCCATAGCCACAGCCACAGCCACACCTTCCTCCACTGGTGCTGGCACTGCACCACCACCTCTCCCATCCCTGCAAGATCCTTGGGAATCGATGCCACTGATACATTACTGACATCACTCTGGCTGTTGTCCATGTCTTTGATGGGATATGGGCAAGGATCTTCTTACCTGCCCCCAAGGCTTTGTTCAAAGCCTCCATTAACATCACGCCAGAGCAGATTAGTTCCCAGGCTCATTTCCTGATGGCACCAAAGGTGTCATTCCATTGCTTGCTGGTGGAACCTGATATGCAGTGGTGGAGGCAGAGGGAGCCAATCCTCTCAAATGCACTTACGTGCCACTTTCTCTGTAACTCCAGATAGGCACTATTATAGGGCACACTGTACCACCCATGTGGTGATCAAATGGGTGTTCTGAAAGCTGACGATGAGACACCGGTGCTTCCATGACTTGATCCCATAAATGAGTCACCAAAGCAGTGCAACCCATCAGAAGCTGCCCATGGTGGAAGATGTTGCTGGGCAGAAACCCCTGCCAGGGCAGGGAGGATGATGGAGGCTGCACATGCAAGCAATTTTTCAGCCCAGAACATTAGCAAATCCTGCAGATTTCTGCAGCCTTCTGAATGCATCCCCAGCTATCAATCACTGTGGCTTTCCACCACTTCTCCTTTCTTCCTGTGGCTGGGCCCCTCCCAGCAACTCTTCCTCCCCTCCTCCAGCTACTTGCTCCCACCACAGTTCTACATCTTTCATCCCTTCATTAGCTCCTCTGCCTGCCCCATCAGCTGCTGTTTCCTAATGCTTGGTGCCCCTCTGGCACCCACCAGAACACTTACTCCCCTGGATGTGAACCCACTCATTCCCCCCCCCCCCACTAACATTGAGTTTTGCTCCCTGCAGTTTGCTGTGTTGATTTTCCTCCTTCCCATTACCTCTGGATTTGGTTTCGCTCCTAGCACTATTGAGCTTGGGTCCCTGCCTTCACCCCAGGTTGGTGTTTTTCCCCTCCCTTTCCACCACACCTCCTGTCTCCATTGCTGAGGGTAATCCTGCTCCCCGTTTTGGGGTTCTCCACAAAGTTAACTGCTGGTGGGTGCATTTTTACCTGCCCAGCAATCTGTGGGTGGGCAGATGTATTTCTGCTGGTGTGGAGTCCCGCCCCCCAAGCAATATAGGCAGTTTTTCACTGGGGGAGGCCTACTTATGTCTCATCCAAACCTTTCCCAGACAGGGAGATATATAGTGGTCTAGACTGCTTGAGCAGAGATCTCAGAGCAGAACGTAAAACAAGGCATGTGAAGAGAAATTAAAATAACTGACAACAAATCTTCTCTATATACTATTTGACTAATAGTATTCTTGATAATTAAAAAGATGCAAACTAGAAGTGACAGACAAAATTGGGGAAAAAATAATGTGCTCATTAAAATTGAATGGAGATTCATATTAAAAACCTGCAGTAGAAGTTATTTTTCCATCTTCCTTTACTGCTAAGAAGCAAAAACTGAAATTTCAAAGATGGCCTTTAAATGAAAGAAATAATACACAGCTCCCCTGGCACACATTTGCCTTTACATAAAGGCATCTAATGTTAAAATTATTCCATTTCCTTTAGCACTTTGTACCCATTTTGCAAAATATTGATTTCCCACCCCCTATAGTTTTGTCACTTCCAAGGGGGAGAAATTAGAATAGAAAATAAAGCTATTAAATACTGGTTTGAACTGATTTTACAAACTAACCACATTACAATACTTTAGGAAATTACTGAAAAATAATATGCTGGTACATTTCTGCAGTGAAGTCTGTTTAATTTTAAATGTTTTAAAAAACCCAATACTGCTGTGCACTATTCCTGGGGCTATAATTCATAAAGCAATAAAAATGTCAGAATCTAGTAATGTACTTTTTTATTTAGAAATTAAATGGCTGTCTGTTTTGTAAGCAAACAAATCCCTGGACTTAAAAATGAGAAAGTCACAATATCTGTTCCCTAGGTAAAAATTAGCAGGTCAAAATAACCCAGTGGGAGCAATGACAGAATCTGCTATTGCAATTAAAACTTAATCAACTGTCTGTATCTTACTACTGTGTGACCGTACCAGTCAGGACCCTGGGCTTTCCTTTTAAAAACCAAACCAAAGTGAGAGTCTAGTCTATATGGCTGCAAAATGAGTGAAATCTCAGGTGCAAAGGGGAAACAGAATTTCAGCTGGCAGGAAATGGGGATTCAGTGCATTATATATCCTCTTTGTCTCTTATGATTAGGGGAAGCAAACTGAATTATGCACAGTAAGTAAATATATGCAAAATGTATTTAATTTACTTAACTCTGGTGAAGAATTCTGGTCACATTGCGAGAATTTACACACTGTCACTCACACAGAGAGTGCCAAATGTCAGAAATGCTAGGGTGCTGGTGCACATGAACTTACCATTTCATCTATATACCAGAGCTGGCCCACCTATGAGGTAAGGTGAGGAAGCTGCCTCAGGTAGCAAGATCCACAAATGCAGCAAATCCAGCCTCAAAAAAATGCATTGTCCATTGCTGCTGCCATGGGGGCAGCAACAGCTATGACAGGCTACTTGGATGCTGGATCTGCATCCTCCTCCTCCTCCTCCTCCTCCTTCTCCTCCTCCTCCTCCTCAGCACCACCATGCTGCCTCCACTGCATGCTCTCAGCAAACAGGAGGTGCTGTTGGTGCCCTCCCACCCCTAGGAAGAAAATGGCAGGAACTGCCCTTTGGGATCTCCTGGTTCTGTGATTCAGTGTGGGCCTCTTTCCTCATGCAAGACCCCCCCCCCGACATACACACTTCCCCCTGCTGTAGATCATCACTCACCCCCTTGTACCCTGGCATGGGGAAGCACCATTTTGTGGTTCGCCTCCGATGCCAAAGCATCGGACCAGCCCTACTATAGACACAGTGCAACAACTGATCAAATTTAGGGAAGAGAGCATTTCCCTTTTCCATCCCATCCCATCGCTATTCTCTGGGGTTGCTCTGTTCCACATCCTGCTTTGCCTGCCTTTTGGTTTGGCTTGGAGAATTCTAAAGTTAGTTTTTTACTTGGCACATTGCGCAATTTGCAGTTCATGGCTCTTCCTCCCCGCCCCCTTAAAGTGACTAATGCACACCAGCACATATACATATTGATTAAATCACAGTTTAAAATTGAACCCTGATGCAACCACATCAGGATTCCTTTTTTGCACAGAGATTTAATCCATATGCATACATGCTGATGTGAATCACCTAGCTGTGAGGAGGGAGGGGAAGCTACAATTGAGAATGGCATCAACTGAGCACGTGCAGCAGTCTGGAAATCAAAGGCGGGAGACTAGCAAGATACTGCTCCAAAAACAAGACTGGGTAATTCAGACCCTCAGGATCTGTGGAGAAATTCACAAGCACCCCCACTTAAACAACGTGTTTAGCTTTTAGAATCAGCAGTCTATGTGATAATGATGTGCTCTAGCAGAAATGAGAGCAACAAGCTCACTCACATGCTGCAGTTTCCCAAGGACTCTGATAAGCTGTAATCAATTTCAAGGTTGGTTGCTTTGTTGTCAAAACCATGGGGCAGCTCATCCCACTCATCGAACCTGATGCCAGTGCCCAGAGAATATGTGCCCTCTGCACACGGCATGCATGACTGGTTCTTCATGTCCAAGAATTCGCCAGCTTTGCAGGAAAATGCTGAAATGCAGAAGAGAAAAACTGATCAGGGGAAAAAGACAAATGAAAACCAAACAGAGACTTCCTTGAGTGATTCCTAGATTTATATAACATGCTGCCCCAATGCATTTGCCCTGGCCAGACTGCACTCTGGGGATCTGTGGGTTGCCACTTAATAAGAATCGCAAGTTGGGAGAGTCCTACTGTGCTCATGTCCTGCTTCTGTTTCCCATACGCATCCAGTTCACCACTGGTGTAGCTTCTTATACAATTTCAAACCACAGTTCCCTACAACATCCAGACTCCAAGAATTGTGGTTTGCTTAAAATTCATTGAATGAGAACAAACCAAGATGTAACTATGGTTCCTAATCCTGGTTTGCTCATTAACTAGTCATAGGATCTGGCCCCTGTGGGAATCCGTGGGGCTTTGGATCCAACAGACTCACAGCCTCTGGTGCCCTGCAATGTCCCATTTCAAGGCTTTCTGTGGTTTACTGCCAATGGGAAAACCCACCAGCAGAAGCTTCCCACCTGTCAGAGAGAAGCTCAGGACCTCTGGCATAGCAGAGCACCATCAGCAATGGAGAGGCAATACTGCACCATCCTCCCACTCCCCCAGCCATTAACATTGGGGGGGTGGTGTCCAAATTTGTATCTAAGTGCATCATTACAAAATTTCAGCAACATGTCAATTTCAAGTCATGTATGCCAATGCTAACTTTATGTGTAGGAAGTTAACATACACAAAATACAGGCAACTCTCCACCTGTGTGGGGGTTGCGTTCCGGGTCACTGCACGTGTCAGCAGTCGCAAGTAAACCCGTTCCATCCCCTTCTGGGGCCAAAAGCAACACAGGCATTGGCGGTTGCACGGCAATCAGATGCACGAAAAATGGTCACCGCCTGCATTCAAGGATATTCTAAGCATGAAATTGGTATCTCTCTCTCTCTTCTGAATGTTCAACTATTAACAGGGGTAGACCTCATTTTAACACATTGCACGATGTGACATCTCGTGCCCCATGGCTCAACGTGGCTCTGGAGCCTCCAGTTGGCTGGAATAAACCATGTAAAGGGAAGGTGTGGTGACAGCAGTCATAGCTTACAGCATTTTGTGCCTTTGATGGGGTCTGGCAAGCCGGTGCAGAGTCCTGGGTTGTGCGGCACAGCTACTCTCCATCTGGAGCCTTGGCTGTTACATGCTGTGTATTCATAATGGTATTCAGACTGAAAGAGAAAGTGCAGGGGTGAAATAACACCGTGCGCATTTAGCACCAATGATAGATGCTTTCCCACTTATTATAGAAGATTGGCTCTCCACAGGACATCAGGTTATTATGCTCAGAGCCACAGAATTTTGCACAATAGGAACATGTAAACTAGATTTGGTGGCCCCAACATTGAGGTAGCACACTAAACGTGCCACGGGCTGGTCTATCCTATAGACACATGAAATTCTATTCTCTAGAGCAGCTACTTCTAATTTATACTAACTGAGAAAATAAACTGGACTTCTATAATCCTATGCATATGCCTACAAATTCCAGAATCAAGGCAGTTTTGAATAACTGTTCTGTTGATAACAAGCCAGACCTTAAAGCAGATGAGATTCCATTTACTAAGCACAAGCCCATTTCCAGAGAAGGTGTTCATGCCACTAGAAAGAAACTGTGCTGGTACTGTAGTTGTGCGGAGTATGAACAAATGTTATCCAAATCCATAGTAGAGCCAGGGTACATGAGAGCTCCAGTTACCTTACTACGTGCAGCAAAATCCTATTTCCCCGACTCCTGGCAGGTCTACATGTTAGAAGAAAAAACACAGGATTCACAACCCCATGTTTTCTTTATAAGGGAAATGCTAGATGGGTGGCATTTTCAAGCGAGAGAAAATAGGGAGCGCTCTTCCTATACCTATTGATTTGGCTTTGCGAAACATGAGATCACACACAAAGCCTGGTGCAGGGAAGGCATCCTTTGCTCCCTGCATCATTTCTGAGTTATGCAGAGCAAGGTGATAGAATCCAGGGGCAGGGATTGTTGTGGTTGCTGTTGTAGTTGTGGTTGTGGTTGATTTTACGAAGCATATTTATTCACAACTGCTCTAAATTCTCAGGGCTCCTCTAGATTCTAAATATTTAGCAAACAAAACTATGTTTATCCTAGCATTATTAGGGATTAGTGTAACAAAACTGGTTGTTCATTAAACAGGTTCCTGGAGAAACCCGGATATAAAGTGTTGCCTAAAAGGCAAAACAATATTTCTTTAGTTCTCTAAACAGATGGAGTACTGGAGTATTTGACCAGGGCCAGAGAGAACGGTTCTGGAAATGAGCCAAGTCCACCAATTCTCTCATGAGTCACCTGACCAAGTAATGCGCTCTCTGTTTCTTTGCGATGAAGGCATACAGGGCTGTTCTACATATTTATTCTGAGGCTGATCTACCGGTATATATTTATTTTGGCATTTCCTACTTGCTATGATGTAGCCATTCTCATTTTAGTAGAAAATGCAAACGTCATGTGTTTAATCTGTTTAATGGACTCTGTGTTCATTCTATACATTTCATATGTACCGTATTCAGTTCTGCTGTTAGCCACTAATATTAACTAACTTAATAAAGATTAATCAATCCTACTGGGCAACTGCTCTTCTTCCTCTCTTAACAGCGACTCTCCTTTTTGTGTCCAGCTTCAAACAGTAAATATACCTAATTTTCATTTATAAAAAGAAAAAGTTATTCCTTCGGAGGTAGTAAGATGCATTAAAATGTGTGGTATGTAGTACACAGCCTTAGCCTTGGTTTTCTGTTTGGTGCCAGGTGAGGACCTTTTTATTTGCCCAGGTCTTTCGGCTTGTTTGCGTTTCATCATGCTGGAATGTTGCCTTCTTTATTAGCAACATATTGTACAGCTTGATATTCACAGAATCGTAGACTTGTAGAGCTGGAAGGGACCCTGAGGGTCACCTTGTCCAACCCCCTGTGATGCAGGAATCTTTTGCCCAATATGGGGCTCGAACCCACAACTCTGAGATTAAGTCGCATGCTCTACTGGCTGAGCTATCACACTGTCATTGTATATTATTGTTTTAATTCTTATGAACTGCTCTGAGAGCCTTGGCCGAAGAGCAGCCAACACGCAAACAAATCAAATAAATCAAAAATCCTTCCCATAAAAACAATCTTGACTTTTGCTTGGGACAAAAATACAGCAAACTACCTTGTTTAGGATCTATCTTGCTTCAGAATCTAGATGCCGTAAGAGAGAAGCTTGTTCTGCTCCCCGACAAGAACAAAGGCCTGCTTGCAAATGCACTGGTAACTTTCTTAGGAACAAATGTAATTAATATCATACATTTGCTTAATAGCAAATGCAATCTCCAGCTAAGTCCCCGAGTGGCTAGGTTAACATGCTTTTTATATGTCTTTCTTATAAAAACTCTTTATAATGTGTTCTATTGTCCCTGAAAGGGCTGGCCCAAGACATTCTGCTGCCTGGGGTTAAAGGCACTCTGGTGCTATCCATTCTATGTAGAGAAGCCAACTGGACCGGCTGTTGAATCTTACTTCAGCACTAGCAAAGATGGCGCACTCCACCACATCCCATGGGGCATGCAGGGTAGACCACGTGGTGCACACCTACCTCTATCCTCCAGCTTCTCGCTGCCGCACCACCACCCACACAGCATGTGCTACCTGAGGCGGCTGCCTCACTCTGCCTAACGTCAGATTCTGGTCCCCAACTGCCTTCCTTGTGATCTAATACTACTCATTTCATTTGTAGCTGCATTCTTCTAAAAGCTACAGCGAGCCAGAAAATCTCATTCTGGCTTGGGATTGCATTATTTGGATACAGTAATATTTATGAGCCAATGTAGTGTAGTCGAGAGAGTGTTGCACGAAAACCGGGGAAATCAGGGTTCAAATATGCCCCCCCTCCCAGCTATGAAGCTCACTGGGTGCTGACCTTGGGGTCAGTCGCTGCCTAACCTACCTCACAGGGTTGTTGTGAGGATAAAATGAGGGAGGAGAACTATGTACAGCACCTTCCACTCCTTGGACTGTTGGGATATAAATGTAAAAAAATAATGCATAATAGGAGGGAAGACCCTTCAAAATATTAAAGTATCTTGGAACGTAGAGGACTGGAGTCAGAGAATCAGGCGTGCACTCCCAATTCCCAGTTCATCCCAGAATTCCAGCATTTAATGTGGGGAAGGGAGGCTTCTTTGAAAGGAAAAAAAATGCACCACACCATCCCCATACCATTCAGGGTCAGAGTTGGCTGTGCCATTTTGTGGACAAAGGTGCTTTGGTGTTAAGCATAATTCCACGCAGCGATTAGGTCCAGGTTGGCAGTTTGCTCACGCATCACCTGACATGTAGATTAATCTCTTTTCTGTTTGTAATACATGAAGTAGCCCTACGTGAAACAGCGGCAACAAAAAGGCAGCCTTTTGTAAAAGTTTCCCAGATGTTAATTTTATCAGGATTGATGAAAGCCGGTTTTTTGCTTTCTGTGGACACCTCCTGCCCTGCCCTTCACTTATCTTTGACTGTGTTCCACACATCCATATGGAGGAACAGCTGCTACATGGGTAAAGTGTTCCCTGCTAATCACCTTGAAAACCTGACACCTTCCTCTGTGCAGAGGCCAGGGAGGGATGTTTATGCAGAAGTTAAGCTAATGCTCAAGGCAAATGCAGCCGGCTGGAAGAGTTAGCCTTAAAGCCTGGCAAAAATCACCTTTTGTGTTAAGCTGCAAGTTGAGCACCTTATCTTCCCACTCCCCCCCCCCAATTTAAATAGTAAGGAAATGAATAGATCATAATCTGTTTAGAAATAAGGTTCTAAGATTTCCTCATTATTTCTTTTTTTTTTAAAAAAACCACCTAATTATTTCTAACACCCAAATCTATATACCTGAGAAAAAGCTCTGCATTTGAACAAAGACATGTAGGGCAGCTGCATAAGAGCAATGATGTTGCTGAGAAACCCCTGCCTTTGTTCTTACAGCCTGTGTAGTGTCAAACTGCAGACCTTCAAAGTGCCTGCACAGTGACAAACAGGATTACCACCGTCCCCTTCATGGGGCACCTGCTGGTTCCACCTGCCATCCACATGTTTGACTTAAGGCAGTGTATGCAAAAAAGCTTGCTTGCAATCAACTTAATATGCACAGACCTCTGCACAATCTGTACATGCAAACCCAGAGCTCCCAAACTAAGAGGCTCCTATGAAAACCAAGAAGTGGTACGAGAATCAAATCTTTTAAAGATCTGATGAAGCCACCGACAGAAAGAAAGAATCTGAAGCAAATAATGGGGCCTCTGTTTGACATAAGCATAAATTAATCAGAAAGGGAGCTGTCAAATGAGGCAAAAGCACACACAAGTCAGGCAAAAGGATGCAAGATTTCTCAAAGAAGCTAACTTTAAAGGGCTGTGAGAGAGACAATAAAACAGCAGGAGAAATTCAGCGCTGATAAAGACAAGCGTGGAAGTATATCAAAAGAAAAGCTCAAAAATGGTAAGCAAACATAAATAATGAATTGCAATTTAATTAGGATGCAATCCCATACTGAAGATTTGACAGCTTTCGACTTTGGCAGAAGCCTCCACCTCTCTTCCCAGAACCTTATCTGGTACAGTATCTCACCTTGGAGCTTCAGGCCCAAATGCCAAGTTACCTTCTGCTCCCACAACTGGAGATGCAAGGACACAGCACCCCACACAGGTAAGCAAGTTAAAGAAAAACCCTTGCTGTAATGTATAACCGTTGCAGCTGCCTCCCATGTCTCCCCCACACCTTTCATAGTACATAAATACTGTGTCTTGTTTGAACCGTCTTGCCCTCCCCAAGATCAGTGCTCTCTACATAGAGGAGGTACTCATTCTCACACCCAGGTGAACTCTTCATTGGCAAAGGCCAGGCACTCCTTTCCAACTCTGTTGGCAAGGCTATAAACAAGCATGAGAGGGTTTTGCTCTTCTTTTATACAGAGCAAAAAGGAGAGAGAAAATAAGTACGGTAAATCAAAGGATTTTGCTGAACTTGTTCAAGGAAAAAGTTTAGTTCTTCAGCACCTTCATTTATAGTGCAAACATGATATATTTTTCCTCCTGCTTAACTTAAATTCAGAAGGCTTATTTAGCTTTGTTGCAGAACAAGCTTTGGGGTTTTGTGACATGTTAAACAATGTTTTGGCACTCTATTAGCATTTTCTTAAACTAATAAGAGACAAAGGGCTCATGAAAATATAGAGCCTTTCTCAAACACCATTTAAATTAGATCTAGCTAGTGTGTAAAAAGTGATTTTGTTCCTAGGCTGATGAACAGCAAGTGGTTCAAAATAGCAATTGAAAACAAGCCAAGCCTTTGAAGTTTCACAGCACTTGAATATCAGGGAAGGGAAAAGGTAAGACAAGAGTTATTATATTAAGACTGTTTGACAGGGAAGGTTTTTGAAATCCCTTGATCTTTCTCAGCACATCCAGTTTTTACAGAAAGGTGCAGCCACACGCATTTTCTTCTAGAACAGTATATGCCACTTGATCACAGAAGAACTATCAGACTTTGGAAGAAAATGCATTTTAATACAGGAGAAAATGCTACGGGTTTTGTGCTTTTAAAAAGCACCCAGTATTTTCCTCAACCAAATACAAATATGTGCACCACCAAGGACTGCAAAGCTTTTGCCATGTAAAACTTCTGCAGGGAGTATGTCACTACTCTGCTCCCTGCCCCCGCAACCAAAAAGTGTTGGAGACCTACGGGACCGCCTCTCCTAGTATGCCCCACAGAGAAACTTACTGTCTTCAAATAAAAACATCTTGAAGGTCCCAGGCCACAGAGAAGTTAGGCTGGCCTCAACTAGATCCAGGGCTTTTTCGGCTGTGGCTCCGATCTGGTGGAACACTCTGTCATAAGAGACCAGGGCCCTGTGGGACTTGACATCTTTCCACAGGGCCTGCAAGACAGAGCTGTTCCACCAGGCCTTTGGCCAGGGCACAGCCTGACTCCCTCCCTCAGCAATCTTTGCGGAGCTCTGGCCCAATGGTTGCCAGTGGCTTGAATTAATTAATTTTAGAATGAATGATTTTAGAATGTTGTTTATGCTGTACTTTTGTACTGTTTTATTGTTGTTAGCCGCCCTGAGCCCGGCTTCGGCTGGGGAGGGCAGGATATAAATAAAATTTATTATTATTATTATTATTATTATTATTATTATTATTTACTTGGCTTCATTTTAGTTTCATCACGTCTACCATCACAACGTACATAACAGAAAGAGGTTAATGAATGTGTTCAAGAAGGGAGAGGGACAGAGGCTGAACCTAGAGAGTGAACTACTCAGGAACAGAGCCATGGAAAATTGGGTGTGTAGTCAGAAACAAAACTATGTATGACCCAGTGACAAAAACACACACACTTTTTCAGTACTTGCTCTGTCTGGTGTAAGTGGACTGCACATCTGCCCATGGAACAATGCTGAGTGGAACCCCCAGTCTTCCAAATCACAGGCATTCAACAGGGCTAAACATCACCCTCCAAATAAAGATGTGCAGAATGTCACTTGGAGGTGGCGCTTGAAACTATGGTCAGCAGTGCAAAGCTGGGGGCCAAACTTGGCAACGGATGGTTGAAATTAATGTGCCTAGCTTTCTTATAATTTGTGGCCGAGGGGGGATCAGGATTTGGACCCTGTACCAAGGGGCAGTTAACAGTGTCTGTCAGCCATGTTCCTGGCAAAAATCGTTCTTGCCCCGTGCCCCCAAAGCTGCTATTTGAACCAGGAGGGAAAGTGCTACTGGCATCAAGGGAAGCTTCCCTCCTTGTCATGTCTCGTGTCCCTTTCCATCCCTGTACTGATGTCTGCACGTGTACCCTGCAAACATGTAAAGAGAAATACAAGAATGGAAAAGGACAAAAAACAAACTAACATGGAACAAAAGGCAATCGTTTGGGCTCAGCCCAAGAGATTTGGCCCAGATCCCTGCCCTTATCTGTATGCACAGTGGCACAGAATTCTCATTACTGGTTGAAGCAGAGAACAGGGCAGTGCATTGCTCTCTTTCAGCCTATGCAAGCAATTCCCGGTAACCAGCTTCCAGTATTTTTAAAACATTTCACTGGGATAGTAAAATTCTTGAAGGAGGAAAAATTACGTAGTAAGTACAATTCCAGATGAAGCTCAGAAGGGCTACAAGTGCTACTTTTCTGTAATGAAAGTCAAGTCCAAGGGGTCTCAAGTGTAACAGCTACAAGTTGAGCTTCCAGGCTGGATCCACAGTCTTTTAACTGAACCTGCAGAGGCTCAGCTGCTGAGCACTTGCTTTGCAAGCATGCAGCCCCAAGACCGAGAAAGGCCTCTGTGGGAAAGCAATTCCCAGTCACGGTTAATGATGCTGGGTGAGATGCACCGCTGCATCCCAACCACCTGCACTTGTTTAATGGGTACAGTGCCTTCCCTCCCACCCTTCACTCTGTGTGCCTCATTCAAGCTATTGTCAGAATATCCTCCAGACCTATCAATTTGCCTCTTTGAATGCCAGGGGTTTTTTTGTGGGGGGGGGGGGGTTGGTTTAATTTTTGCTTCAGTCTTATATGCAGCAGCATTCGGCATTTTGAATTAGATATGGAACTAGAGCAGCCTACAATGCTTTTAAAGCTAACTGTTTGTTGGATGTAAAAAAATATGTGGGAACACAAAGTCAAGCACTCAAGTTTCATAGAATCATAGAATCATAGAATCATAGAATCATAGAGTTGGAAGAGACCACAAGGGCCATCGAGTCCAACCCCCTGCCAAGCAGGAAACACCATCAGAGCACTCCTGACATATGGTTGTCAAGCCTCTGCTTAAAGACCTCCAAAGAAGGAGACTCCACCACACTCCTTGGCAGCAAATTCCACTGTCGAACAGCTCTTACTGTCAGGAAGTTCTTCCTAATGTTTAGGTGGAATCTTCTTTCTTGTAGTTTGGATCCATTGCTCCGTGTCCGCTTCTCTGGAGCAGCAGAAAACAACCTTTCTGCCTCCTCTATGTGACATCCTTTTATATATTTGAACATGGCTATCATATCACCCCTTAACCTCCTCTTCTCCAGGCTAAACATGCCCAGCTTCCTTAGCCGTTCCTCATAAGGCATCGTTTCCAGGCCTTTGACCATTTTGGTTGCCCTCCTCTGGACACGTTCCAGTTTGCCAGTGTCCTTCTTGAACTGTGGTGCCCAGAACTGGACACAGTACTCCAGGTGAGGTCTGACCAGAGCAGAATACAGTGGCACTATTACTTCCCTTGATCTAGATGCTATACTCCTATTGATGCAGCCCAGAATTGCATTGGCTTTTTAGCTGCCGCGTCACACTGTTGGCTCATGTCAAGTTTGTGGTCAACCAAGACTCCTAGATCCTTTTCACATGTACTGCTCTCAAGCCAGATGTCACCCATCTTGTATTTGCGCCTCTCATTTTTTTTGCCCAAGTGCAATACTTTACATTTTTCCCTGTTAAAATTCATCTTGTTTGTTTTGGCCCAGTTCTCTAATCTGTCAAGGTCGGTTTGAAGTGTGATCCTGTCCTCTGGGGTGTTAGCCACCCCTCCCAGTTTGGTGTCATCTGCAAATTTGATCAGGATGCCCTTGAGTTCATCATCCAAGTCATTGATAAAGATGTTGAATAAGACCGGGCCCAAGACAGAACCCTGTGGCACCCCACTAGTCACTCTTCTCCAGGATGAAGAGGAACCATTGATGAGCACCCTTTGGGTTCGGTCAGTCAGCCAGTTACAAATCCACTGAGTGGTAGCATAGTCAAGACCGCATTTTACCAGCTTCTTTACAAGAATATCATGGGGCACCTTGTCAAATGCCTTGCTGAAATCAAGGTAGGCTACATCCACTGCGTTCCCTTCATCTACCAGGCTTGTAATTCTGTCAAAAAACGAGATTCATGCAGTCCAGATTCATGCAACCATAGTCTAATGTTACATCTGAACTTGGTCATTGCATTCCCATTTTCTGTAAGGCATACATGATTCTGTCTGCTCACCATCCCTCTATCTGCAAGTATGTGTGCACACCCATCACTCAAGAGCAATAGATTAGCACAGAGTTTGACATTTCCAGGCTATTAAGGAAATTCCACTTTTAATGAGCAAGAACTTCTGTGCGATTCAAGACAATTCTCCTGGACATAAGCTTACTGTACATATCCATTTATTTTCCTTGGCAAGAGACTGACATTTGCTCCTGGCACTTGCCTGAGCTGTTCTTTATTTGGCACATTGTAAGGATAACCTACCCGAGTGCAATGAATAGCAGGTAAGTCAGAAAAAGGGGGAGAAATAAAAAGAATTCTACTGACAAACCACTTTTCCAGACAAGAACATATACGAAATATGAAAAAAAAATAAAAACACAAATGAGGGGTATATTATGAAAAACAATTAACACTCATGTAAAGAAAAGATACTTTTCTTCTGTAGAAAATAGATGGTAGATAAATTTAAAACACACACACACATTTGGTCTAACACAATGGGGAAGGGCTATTGTTCGGCTCTACGTTTTGCATACAAAACGTCCCAGATTCAACCCCCTATGTCAAAGCCTTTTCTTCAGTGTGCGGTTGGACAGAAATGAGGAGTTGAGGGGAAACTGTACCATTAGAAAACTAATAATGTGAAGTTTGGGGGAAAAAGGGGGAAATTAGACATGTGATGCATAAGTGTTTATTAAGCAGTTAATTGACATGAAATGTCAGGGACAGCATGTACCCAAATTGTATCAGGGTAGAATGTGCTCCATTTCCATACTTAAAATAAACTGCCCAAGCCAGATTAAAACATCTTCTTTTGGGCGGGAACCACCTCTTATTCACCTTCACCTTTTGGCAGGTAACACTTCATTTTATCCTTGTAGTTACTCTTAAAATATTCCTGTTTTTGCACCTGTCACCAAACTAAGGCAGACTCATCTACCATATACTGACGGTTCATTTATAAGAACTAGTGGCTCCTATGGAGAAACTGCCATTGATACAGAGTGTAAAGCACACTTTGTGTTTGTTCAGCCTTTGCTATTTTGGTGTGGGGGGGGGTACAATGGGGAATTGGTGCAGTTGCTTTTTAAAAAAACCCTCCCAGTGTCTCCAAGCAGAGCTGGGAAAGACTTCTGTCTGAAACCCCGCCAGACTGTATCAAGCAGGTGTGGCGGTACATTGGAAACTACTGGCAGATCTCTGGGTAATTTCCAGGAGCTTGGTAAGGGATTCCAACTGTCTAGTACAGTGGTATCTCGGGTTACAGACGCTTCAGGTTACAGACGCTTCAGGTTACAGACTCCGCTAACCCAGAAATTGTACCTCAGGTTAAGAACTTTGCTTCAGGATGAGAACAGAAATCATGCTCCGGCGGCGCAACAGCAGTAGGAGGCACCATTAGCTAAAGTGGTACCTCAGATTAAGAACAGTTTCAGGTTAAGAACGGATGTCCAGAACGAATTAAGTTCTTAACCCGAGGTACCACTGTAATAGCAACACCAGAAATAGGTGGGGCAACCCAGCCAGATGGGTGGGGTACAAATAAAAAAATAAATAAAATAAAAATAAAATATCACACACACACACAAATCCTAAATTAGGCTGCTGAAACAAAGAAAGCCTGCAGGGAAATCTAGGCTGAACATATGTTAAGGGGCACCTTGTCCTTAATTCTTAGGGCTTGTCCACACTTCTGCTTGCCCCATGCCTAGAAAGCATGGGTCTAAGCAAGTTTCCCCTTGCCCCACTCATTTCCCAAGAAAAACCTGCTCTTTAGCTTTAAATTGGAACAAATGGCAGTTCACGAAAAACCCGTGCCATTTGTTCTGACTGATAACAAAAGAGCATTTTTCCCCCAGGGGAAAGCAGTGGGACAACAGGAAGTGGATAAGCCCTTAGCTAAATTTATTTTGCACCTGGCTCTGGTTGGGGGATCTCATGAGTTCTAGTACAATAATATGGTAGATCCTGCAAGACCACCCTCCCCTGGTGTACAATGTAGATGACTCTGAGCTGGATGAACAGTGGTCTGAGTTGGTTGGTATAAGGCAGCTTTCCATGTTCTCAGTCCCTGCTTTCTCCCACCTGCGATGATCAATCAATAGTAAAGAGACCCTTTTAAGCAGAAAGTGCTTTCATACTAGTAAAGGTCACTTAGCTGCTGTAAGGAATGCTAAGTTTATCACAAATGTGGAAATGGGTATTTTCAGGAAACTGCAGCATTCTTCCAATGCACTCAGAATAATTCTACCTCCAGAAAGCTGGACCCAGAACCTTGTACTGAATAATAATAACTGAAGCATAGTTGAAATATTGGCCAGTCTTAAAAGCCGTCCAGCTGCCTCTGTAAGGAACAGGTTGTAAAAGCAGCTAAGGAGTAACAAGGAGTTCTTATCTGGATTCACCATGTACTCCTCCTTCGGGCATTCTGAACCAGGAAGCAAACAAGGCTCCAATCTGGCACTGGGAGTATACCTGCCATTCCAACTCCACTTCCTTCTCCCCCATGCCCAAAGTATCTCTGCTGTTTGCAGTGGCTCTCAATACCATTTTACAAGTGGTTTTGTCACTGATGACCATACAAACAAGTTCTATTTCCTCAGAACATTTTGCTTTTTTAAATGAGCAATTCAATCTGTCTTTAAGAGGCATGCGGACATTCTTTGAGAAGATTAGACACATGCCTATTATGAAGCAAAAGTGGTCCGTTTCCTGGAACTGTGTTAGAAGCCCAATCTTGTTTGCAATCTTCTGGTTTCACTGTACTTCTGCTGGCAACTCTCCTCATCCCTCAATTATCAGAATCAGATCTCTTCACTAACTTCCCTGTCTGAGATGGAACAATAGCAAGTTCATGGAATGCTGCTTAACAGCAAATAAAACTGCTGGTCCAAGCAAGCTGGGATTCTCTATCCTGGCTGGCACATGTCCTTCCCAGCCCAGATGCCAGGGACTAAACCCAGATACTTGTTTCACACAAAGCTTGTACTTTAGTATTAACCTGTGTTCCTTCCTCTCTTGCTTTGCTAGCGGGGAAACATTTCTGATGCAGGATTAGGACTTTCCGGGCCACATAGTACAAAACATATCTAGGGCATCCACTATACTCATTTCTCCACACACATCCTCAGAAACCCCTGGGCAACCGTTTATGGATTAAAAGTGGCTTTTCCAACTCAGCTGAGCCTCACAATGTTAGATAGCCTAGGCCCCTGTCGGTTACAAATCCTCCAAGCTACTGGTTTTTCCAGTTTTACTTCGTGTACACATAAACCGCCACTCAGCCTCTGAAACCAGCAGCCTGTAAAAGGCAAAATCAACATTTTAAGTTTCATTTATTGCGTGTTCACCACCTGCTCTCCTTATCAGGTTGATTCTTCACTTCACTTTCGCCTAGCACTAATTTCCAGCATTTTCTTTCTATATGTGTTTCCTCTCTAAACCACTTCTTCATTTAATTGAAGAGATTGAAGGTATGCCATTTCATCTCTGTAGCAACAACTTTGAAAACGTGCGCAAAACATGTGCGAGCACAGTGGTGTGTGTGTGTGTGTGTGTGTGTGTGTAAAATGCATGCACTACCTTGAGATATTAGCAAACTGGATTTTACAAAGGTCAGAACCACCCTTTTCTTGTCTCTACCAGAAGAAATTAGCAAGGGGTCTGTGGTGAATAGGTGCACAAGATGCTGGTCACAGACGCCAACTTGAAGAAAATATTGGGGGGGGTGCCTCTCCTCACTTCTCCCCTCTCTCCACACCACCTCCCTTCACCATGAGGACACAAGCCTGTAAAAGAGGGTGGTGTCCAGCTAGGAGGGAGGTGGCTGTCCAAGGGAGGAAGGTGCCAACTTGTGGAAAATAGGGAGGGTTCAGCTCCCCCTAAATATTCTATTGGAGGACCAAAGGGACCAGGGCCTCACAGAGTTGGCACCTATGTGCTGGGCTGTGTACACTGCACCACCCCACCCCCACGTTGCTCCTATCCCAATATTCACTCCCAATCTCCACAGGTTTAGAACCAGTGTCTGTTGAATATAGCTGGATTCTCCCTTCAGGCATTCACTCTAAAGAAAGGTTAGGAGAAGATGCAGCCATGCACACACTTTGGGCCCTGATGCATTCAGCTAAACATCTGAATAGGGCTTAAGGAAAAATGACTAATTTTTGCTGGAATACACAGGGCAGAAACTGAAAGGAACTGAAATGAAAAATCTAAATGTAGAGACAAATGGTTCTAAATTTAACTCCATAGTGGTAGGATTACTACAATGTGTTTCAGAGTGGAATATTTTTTTTAGGTGAGAAACAGAAGTTACAGCTCTGTGTTGTGCAACAAGGGGGCTAGGTGGGGCAGGTGGATATATCACAGAATATATAAGTATCTACTGGTGAAGCAACAATTACCGCAGACCAAGCCAACCATTGCTACACTTCAGCACAACATTTAAGAAACAGGCGAACTTGCACACGTTTGCCAGTTGCTCAGTTGGTCATCTGTATTGTTCATTCATTGCTACGGGGCTTCAGCTCAAACAATAAAACATTATCCTGGAAAGGACAGTGCCTCATTAATGAGGCAATAATTGCACATATGTAAAACAAAGAAGAGTGCTAATTAGGCTGTTCATGCTATTGTCCATGACAGGCCACAACAGAGTGAATTCAGCAAGATCCATTCTCCTGTTTGCTATCGCTCCATACCTTTTCATACCTAAGCTCTGAGTGTGGATGCAAATGATAAGCAGACACATTACATAAAGAGCACTTTAAACTGGTGTCTCATGCAGAATGTCCAGTGTTGGCACATCAGTTATTTGTAACACTTTGCCTTACAGGCTGCTACACACCTCTATGTCTTGCAATAACGTGGTACACAAGGGGGACCGCACATATTGCTCACCCACAAGGAGCAGCACTCATGTGCCTGGATTTAAAAGCAGCCACTACATGGCTGCTCTTCATTACAAAGTCAAAGACTTGCAAATTATAAAACATTGCATGTATAGCAACGGTGATTGGCAGCCTTTTCAGTTCAGCTTCTTTATGCCAAAACACCTGATCTAAAGACTAGGTGCAGCAGCACTTAAGTGTTAGGAAGGATGTGCCAGCAATACAAAATCATAAAGCATGAAAGTTACATCAGCACTACAGTACTACTGATTGACATCTATGCAGAAAAATGATGTAAATTAGGGAATACCTGTATTATTTAAAATAAATTACCAGGGGATTTTCAGTCCCCTGAGGCTCCAAGACTCATACCTATTTAGAGTTTGGAAGCTGCAGTGTGGCTTGTCTAAAGAGATTCCTAAAACTTGAGAACGGCAAGCCAAATCCAGTTGTACAGGATGCTTTGGCAGCCAAAAGCAGCACACACTGCAAAACTGAGTATAGCTCCCAGGACCTCCTGCTTCTTTTATAAACGAGGATAAGGATTTCCACAGAATAGAATGATTTTAATTGCGGTATATGAACCTGAGTCATCTCAAAAAGCAGAAGAGGGTGGTGCAGTGTAAATATACAGCGATATACATAGTTCCAAAAGGAAAGTAGCTGGGATTATGACTTGAAAAATGGCACATTACCTGGAAAATAAATTGCTATCATTTATCTTCTGCAGGTTCCAATTGAGCAGCAAATTATGTGAAGGAAGTAAAATGTCAGTTTGTGGAGGAGAAACGTTTACACAGGGCAGAGGGGCTTCTGGAAGAGAGCTGAGAAGGAGGAAGCAGGTGGGACAAGCAGCCAATCAAAAAAGATAACCAGAAAAAAACACAACTCCAACTGAAAGACAAGCCTGGCTATTAGTGGAAAGGGGTGAACAGGTAAGGGAGCTGATGAAGCATTGCAGGGGCAGAATGAGCCTAATAAGCCTGATGTTTGACGACAATTTTCTACCTTGCTTTCCTCACTCTGATATATTCCTAGAACCTTGGGCCACTCAATGAGGATGCACATTGGAAATTTCAGGACAGCAAAATAAAATACTTATTCTTACAGCAGATAATTAGAGTATGGTGATGGCTGCAACCAGCTTTAAAGGGGTGATTTGATAAATTCATGGAGGATAAGGCTGTCCATGGCAAACAGCCATGAAAGCTGTATGCTACTTCCATGTCTCTGAATACCCATCACTGAGGAATATGAGTGCAGAGATTGCTCTAGTGCTCATGTCTTGCTTGTAAACTTTCCAACAGGCACCATCACTGAGATAACAGGATGTTGGAGTAGATGGACCTTCAGCCTGATCCAGCAGGGCTCTTCCTATGTTCTTAGCTCTACAGAAACTGACCTCATGATCAAGAATCTGAAGTAGCACTATGTACCGTAACAGATCCCCTTCCTTGTATGTGGGTACTCAACAGCCCAGTAGGGAGCCAGTTATGCCTTCTTGATTTATGGTTGCCACCACCTATTTCAGTCTACAGCCTGTCCTGCCACCCCAAACAAGGAGGGATCTGGGGATGCCCCATTAACTATTAGATCCTGGGATCCCGGACCAATGCACCTTGTGCCTCCAGCCAATCCCCTGCTCCTGGTGTCTCCCAGAGGATAGATTAATGTACTAGTCTAAAATAACTCTGATCCTAAATTCCTTGTAGCATTAATTCCAAGCAGTCTGGACGCATGGGGATGACTAGAATCCTGAGGTTGGCAAATGCACACACTTCAGTGGTCAAGTTATGAAACTCTATTAAGAATAGAAGAAAGAGGAGAGTAGGCAAATGTTCAACAGAATACTATAAACAAAATGAGAGCCTGGTGGCTCAAACCCCTAACTGATCTAACCAGTCAGCACTGTATTTCTAGTTGCTTATGAGTAAGCTGCAAGAATGGTCAGCTTCCCAGTGCATAGCAAAATGCTGTGTGGCCCTGATGCAGAAAGGTCACAGGCCCTGAGGTGGGGAAGCAAGAACAAAGGGAATGATCCTAGAGTACCTTTTCATGGGATTCCTGCCCAATGACCAATCAGACCTCAAGTCACATTTTATAGGTAAATGGGAGATACTTTGTCAGAGTAAGGTGAGAGGCTGAGGAGTCGTTTAGGGTTTAAATTAAGACCCAGATTTTCCCAACTTTCCGTCAGACAGTTTTAATCTTTCTCTTGTGAGATAGTCAGCTGGGTGGGGAAGCTGCGAGGGCTTTGCTCACAGAAATAGAGAAGCAGGAGACCAGTGCTCCTCTGTCACAGTACAGTGGTACCTCGGTTTAAGAACAGTCCGGTTTAAGAACAATTTGGTTTACAAACTCCGCAAAACCAGAAACAGTGTCTTGGTTTGAGAACTTTACCTCAGTCTAAGAACAGAATCTGAACGGTGGAAGGGCACCGGCAGCGGGAGGCCTCATTAGGGAAAGCGTGCCTCAGTTTAAGAATGGTTTTGGTTTAAGAATGGACTTCCAGAATGGATTAAGTTCGTAAACCGAGGTACCACTGTACTTACATATTCAAGAGTTTACTCATACAGCATATGGTGAGGCTAATGGGGTTGGGGTGGAGTGGGAAATGCAGGTGTTTATCTGAATATCAAATAAATCTAGTAAAGCAAGGACAGCTAAGTCCAGGCTTCCGGTAAGAGGAAACACACAGTCATCAGTGTACGGGTGATAACTGTAGCACATAACCAATTACAGTTGCCTTACTAGACCAAGGTTATAAAAGAGTGAGGAGAAGCTGAAAACTCATTGATGCACAAGATGTACAGTGAAAAGGGCGATATTAAGACTTATAAATGCAGCATCAAATATTTCTCAATGTAATTGTCCTATACATCAGCAGGAGCTTTTATCAGTGTTTCCAATACACACAGTTGAGTTCGGTCCATTGTATTCAATGAGTCTTTTAGCAGGGAATTTTCCTAAGGTTGTCTGACCCCACCCCCATCAGTCACTCCCACGGCTCTGGACTCTGGTCCTGGATAAGTTGGGAACATTTAAAACCTGAAGCCACATTTAATTTCAATCATCACATATCACTCCATGTTCTACCAACCAGGGATGCATAATAACTGCCTTTTCAGGAGCTGCTCTTTCAAAGCCTAGGCAGCAAACCTAATGCCAATCTCCAGTTTGTCCGAAATGCATCTAGTCACTTCTAAGGCAGAACTGATTTTGCTGATATTCTGAAAACCTTCAACGACACTCTACCCTTGAATACATTTATTATTCCTTCCTTCTCTCTTCCCCCAGAACACTGCACATTAAAACCAGAAACACTGCTCCAGTGAGGGCTGCAGGAGATTATACATTTAAATAAAACATGCACAGAATTAATAATAAAAGTTAAAAATAGAGAAATTAGTCAGCTTGAGTTTGGCGCTTTTTGAACTTGGCACTTTCTGCTGCTATGCAGGGCAACAGAAAAGGGTGCTGGATTCAGAGAGAGCCCAATTCAAGCAGAGGCTGGGAAGGAAGAATCAGGAGCACCCATAAGAGAGCACTCCTGAGTCTTCCTTTTCAAGCCGGCATCTCAACTTTACCTGTGCAGCACCTCAAATCATATGATGCCAGGTGATTAACTGGCTGACGTGTTTTTCCTGGTGGCCTGGTGGGCATAATTAGGCCCATGAGCCAGAGATCTCCCACTGCTGCTGCAAACTCTTCAGCACCACGATTCCATTCTATGAGAAAGGAGGCAAAAAGCACCACCCACACTCCAGCCTCTGAATGCGTGAGTGGCAACTAACTGTCACTAGCTCCCACCTTGCTTGCTCCATCTTTACTCTGGACACCCTGAAGTGATCTTATTTTAGCTCACCCCTGGGTGATTTCCCCCCTCAGTCCCAAGAGCTGCCTGAAACTGGATTGCAGAAAGGGTTGTGTTATATATAAGTTTAGACAAGTTTGTGTTTGTGAGGTTTCTTTTCATGGCTGTGCTACATTTGCAATGTACTAGTGCAATAAACTGCGTCAAGGTATGATACTTTAAAATGGTAGCAGTGGGCCTCCTGGAAAGATGAGCAAATGAATAAAGTGAAATAAGCCCCACTGCATCTCGGGGAGGAGGGATGTTTTGCTACCTGCCTGGGATGGCAAAAATGTGAGGGTAGTCAAATATCTGGCTGTTGGGTTGCCTTTGGCTGAGTGGGTCATTCCGCTTACTCTTCGTGTTATTGGTTGAGCAAGACTAACTTAAATCCTTTGATTTCAAAGTCTACTCTTGAGTATGACTAGATTCAACCTTCAGTTAAAAGGCAGTTGATTAATCAACTAAACATGATTTAATTGGCTGACAGGCCTAAAGCAGTGTTATTGCCAGGTTCGTCTCTAACTGTTTGGCTATGAGAATAATCCTCCTGCTGGAGCAAGTTCCACCAACACCTATGAGATTAACTTCCAGAAGGGATGGGCCATGCAGCATTTTTTAATACATAATCAGCATTCATTCCCTGGGATTCATGCTTATGAAGAAATGGGGAAGTGCAAAGAACACCTTGGCTTGCCTCCTATAAATATATCATTCAACCATTTCACATAGTTGAAGTCACGTGCTTCTCACTCTACCAAAATCTGAAGGAGAAAGACTTGGGGAGAACATTCATCCTACTCACCTCCAATGACCACTTAGGAACAGAGGCCTATGCCTCCCTTGGACCCCAAGGGAACCGTTGGAGGGTAGGTTTGCTGCTCCTGGTGTTATTTGGGGGAATAAGCCACCTATGGGGTGCTCACTTTGCTAACAGATGGCTCAATAATGGTAACTTCAAATTGCCTGCTTTAGTTTCTTCTCAAGTTCCTTTTCAAGAGTTCCAAAGTAATCAATTTGGTTTGCATTGTTTAAGTCTTGGGAGCTGCAGGCACAAACAATTATGCACAGCACTGCACCCCCAATAGAACACCATTGTTGCTACATTTTGGCACAGACAAAAGCTACAATTAAAACATCAAAATGGTATTTCTTGGTCATTTTGAAGAAGGGATTAGAATGAAGAAGAGCCCTACCCACGGCTATGACAGCCGAAATGGAATTCCTAAGTCCAGAGACTATATGCCACGAAATACCAGCTGATGGAGGGACAATCAGTTGTGAGGGCTCTTGCCTTCAAGTCTTGCTGGTTGGTTTCCAGAAGGAATTTGCTTGGTCACTCAGGGAAAACAGGATGATGGCATTAGATAAGGCCACCTTTGTTCTTAACTGAGAAAGAACTGTCAAGGGTGGAGCTCAGACATATAGTTACACCCACAGCATACATGCAGTACAAGAAGCCATACAAAAATGGAACAAAAACAGCATTCTGGCTGTTGTACCAGCTCTTTGCAGGTGCAATTTCGGGTGTAACAAGATACAAAAAAAAAAAAAGATAAACCAGTAACAAAATTGCAAGAGAGAAAATGTACTTTTACAGACTACAAGTTAAATTCGGAAAGCCTTGACATTCCCAGATCTTTAAAAAGCACACACAACACACAAATGCAAGTACTGTATATGGCAAGCGTGGTGAACTACCTCACCCATTTCAGCCAATGGAATGTAACAATGGTCTGTACAATGACCAGAGATTAAAAAGTATTAATACCCATGCACCTGGCAGATATTTATGTGCAATTTTCCTCTGCTTTGTTTCATTGCCTTTGATTTTTGTTTCCATTGTCTATACTGTTCATATCAGTTTTCATTAAGGAAAAACAGGCATGCACAGGAGAAATTAAAGTCACTCTTTGTTGACATACTAGAAAGTTACTGCGATCTGACTCGCAGGCAACCTGCCATGTTACATAGGAGGGGGGGGGAAGGAGCAAACACAGTCAGTTTCCCAAGGTAGATTCCAGTCAGCGGTCAATGCGGGTCGGTGCAGAAAAGGGAGTACTACAGTGCCAGAAGGTTGGACAGCACTGATCCTCCAATTTAAAGACAGACAAACACTCTTCTTCAGGTTTGTGAGATGGGTCTTTATCGTTACTCCTTAGTTAAAGTGAAATGCAGGTGGTGGTGGTGCTAGAAGTCCCTAAGGGACAGTTTAGAACTACAGTGGTGCCTCGCAAGACGAAATTAATTCGTTCCGTGAGTTTTTTCGTCTTGCGGTTTTTTCGTCTTGCGAAGCACGGTGTCAGAAAAGTTTTGGAAAAGCTTCAAAAATCACCCAAAACCTCAAAAAAGGCTACCACACCACGTTCTATGAGTTGCTCCTCGAAGTCAAGTCGCAACTGTATTAACGGTGTTAAGAAAAAGGAAACAAACTTGCAAAAAACGCAAGACGTTTTCGTCTTGCGAAGCAGCTCAAAAACCGCAGAACCCTTTCGTCTTGCGAGGCATTCGTCTTGCGGGGCACCACTGTAGTTAGAACAGATCTGGTTTGATAGCTACTAAAATAATAATCCTGTGGTATCTTAAAGACTAAAACTGATCAAAGTGTAAGCCTATGGCACACCAAGTGTGTTCATCCCATAAATGTACCTTTTTTTGCTACAACAGAGGCTACCCTCTGGAATGGGTCACTAAGAGGCACCAACAACAAAAAGAGCACCATGTCCAGCATATAGGAAACATGGAGGGTAATGATCCAACAATGAAAATCACTACCCACTACAGTACTGCCCTGGCTTCAGTCTCTTCTAGGAAAACTAGAGATTTCCTCCACCTTCCCTGGTGGTGGCTTGAAGTTAGCCTCTCCAGCCCCCATTTAAACATTCCCACAAACGGCCTGCCAGCCCTCCAAGTAGGTTTTGCTCACAGCAAGCTGTTGTTAGCATGCTGGCCCCCACAAGACCCCCTAGGCGAAAGGCAGCCAAGTGCACTTCTGAGGTGTGCCTGCCTTACTCCAACCCTTCCTGGGGCTACAGCATTCATTGATGCCGAAGAAACAATGCTCTTCTAGCGTGCCTTTTGCTCCACAAGCATCGCAGACTACTTTGGCGTCGAGTTTTATTCTAGTCAACACAATTTGATTTGGCTGAAGCCAAGTGTTTTTTCTAAGGCGTTTCAAATTTAAACACACACCCCCTCCTCTGCTCCAGGACATGAAAGCCCCCTGCTCTTCCCCGCCGATACCTCTTTGCAGGCGTGCAGCTCCTCTCCCGGAGTAGCGGCGCCTGCCCAAAGCAGCAACAGCAGAGAAAGCAGCAGAAGCGGCAGGCGCCTCCGCCCGAGCTCGGCACCAGGGAGGCACCGCCAGCACCCAGCTGTATCCGGCCGAGGAGGATGGACCCCGCCAGCGGCCCCAGCCATCGTGGCGCAGGAGCGGCACCGAGCAGCTTCCCCGCGCGTCTGGATGAGGCGGCCACCGACTCACAGGTGCGGCGGCGGCGGCGGTGGCAAGAGCAGCAGCAGCAGCAACAGCAAGCAGCGCTCTCAGGCGGAGATGGGATGCGGGAGCCCCGCCCCCTGCCCGCCTCGCGCCGCCCACACCTCGCTGCCTAGCAACCGCAGCTGCCTCCGCCGCGCCGGCCTCTGGCTCCCGCGCACCTGAGGCGGCTTGAAAGATGCGCCCGGGGGACAGAGGCCGTTTGCTGCCGGCGCGCGCGTCTTTCGAAGGGCGCGCGAGCCTCTTGGCGCGCTCGCCGCCGCCGCGTGACAGGCCGCGCGACCATAACAAACAAAAGCCCGCCTAATTTTGAACAATAGGAGACGGCGTAGCCGGAGGGAAAGAGGTTCAAGGGTTAGGGTGCGAGCCTAACGTCGTTGGCCTGGGAGTCAGCCGCGCTGGATTCAGCAGGAATTGCTTCTGAGCTGAAGCTCGCTCTGGGAACGACTAGGCCACACCACCTACTCAAACCACTCCAGGGGGCGAACAACTTGAATTTGGGCGGGGGGCGATTAAGCCCCACCCCACATAATCGATCACATGGCATACACACTATTTGAATGACGACGCCCATCAACTCCGCGGGGGCCCGTTCCCAGTGCCGGATTTGCGTAGAAGCCAAATAAGATACAGCTTAGGGCCCCACTCTGTTGGGGGCCCCCCAATATTTAAAGGGGGGGAACTGGATGTACATTTCCAAAATATAAGAGAAAAAACATAAAATAAAACCTACATACAGCAAGTGTTTCGTGTTGTGTAGGCTTCTATGATGCAAGCAATGGGCCCCCAATCATTTTAAGTTAGAGCTTAATAATTATTTCATTATTAATATACTTCTTAAATGTGTTTCAGTTCAACTATTGCTTTGATTAAATACATATTTTGTTATGTGCAAATGACTTTAGATACCTATTAGGTCCATAAATTACCATATAGCATATATTCAACACAAAAAAGCGACAATTTGTTGTTGACAAAGGACAGCTGCACATATAAAGGGCCCCATTACCTTCAGTAGCTTAGGGCCTCGTCAAACCTAAATCCGGCCTTGTTCAGCCCCCTCAAATATCTCATTGGATAGGCCGAAGGAACCTCGGGGCCGGCCCCTGGGAACTGTCTCCTGTGAATCACTCGCAAAACACTTCCGCTCTTTAGGCTTACGCTAAAGGACCTTGAATATTATAGGTTTGTTGTGACAGCTCAGATTTTTCCTCTTCTTCTGTTCTAACGGGCCTCCCAACCACGTTTACAGAACGACTAAGCCCACTGATGTGGTTGGTGTAAATGGGGTGCTTTCGGTGTGGGAAGCTTAGAACTGGGTACCGATCTATTTGCAGCGCAGATGTTTCATGATCTTTCCCTGGTTTGGTGGTTTATACCACAGAAAAGCAGAAAAGCCAGTTTAAAACAGCAGCGAAACTGAACATTGAAATTTTTTTGGGGGGGGGTTTGTTTTAAAAATCAGTTTTTGTCTGGAAAACAGCAAGGAAGAAGCCTGACCACTCTGCATTGGAAAAGTATTTCTTTTTTTATTTTTAATAAATCATTTTTATTGGGTTTTACAAATGCAAAGTACAAATAAACACAAATTAGGGAAAAAACGTATCTATAGTGGAAGAGTATTTCCCATGCAGCTGCTATTTGCCACCAGCGAGGAGGTCCTGTTTCTTGGATCTCACCAAAAGCCCGTCGTTTCTAACTCTCCATGCTATTGCACGGCCGCGTGCATCTGTTGTACAAGCGTGCTGCTTGGAATGGCGCGTGTCTTTGCACCAGGCCCTCGCGGATGTCTCTTCCTTTCTTTTCCCGGGAGGTAGGCGGCCGGGATGTTGTTTTAAACTTAGAGGGCAAATGTTCCTTCCCGCTTTTAGCATACCCACGCGGCTGTTATAAACCAGTTTTCCTCGCAAACGTTATTAACAGGGAGCCCACTTGCAAGTCTTTAAATAGGAAAACTACATATGCAATTAAGAGCGAGATTAACTATTCAGTGCACTTGAACCACCAGCTATATAAAATCCTTAAAAAAACCAAACCTATTTTTGTAAATAAAATAATAATCCGCCAACATCTTTTATTTCTGGGGATTGCGGCGCCAAGTCTGGAGCATCTTCTCTCCTCCCCGCCCCCGCCTCTCCCGATCTCTGTGCTGACTAGTCAGCTAATTACACGTCGCTCTCTCAGAAGACCAGTAGCCTTGCGCCCTCCCATTTGCACCGTCCTCCTTTCCTGCTGCTGTTTATCCCTCCGGGAAAATTCTGACGTTTCCTTCACTGCGCCGCTTTTTGTGCTACCATTTCCAGCCATTAGAGGGCGCCTTAGAGACTGTGCTGCGGGCTCTAAAAGCCCGGGAAGACGGTCGCTTAGCAACCGCCGCCGGTTCCTAAACAAACCTGACACGCGGCGAGAGGGAACCCGCGATCTGCTTTTGCTGCCGCCACTGGATCGCCCATCCTCTGGAGCATGCCAACCACCAGGGACCCCTTTCCATTCCCACACTATGAAAATGAAGAGACCTGCACGGGCAACAACAGATGTACCCAGGTAAGAGGGTCACCTATTAAGAATGCCCTCACCCATTTAAAACATTTTTAAATGCACCCCTTTACATTTATATTAACAAAGCGCCTAAAGTCATCCTCATCGGAGGGCTCATGCTATTGAACCTCTTTGGTATTAATGCAACACTTGCTTCTACCTGACCTCATTGCTCTACCGTCAGGTGGGAAATGTTATTTGATTGTATTTTTTTATCCTGCTTTTCAGACAAATATTGCCACCTAAAGAAGCTCAGGTCAATTGTTTGTTTCATTTTTCCGTAGCTTTTAGAAGAAAAAGTCTCAAAACAGTTTGAAAATACAGCATGTATAAACTATTTAAAAGCAGAGGAAAAAACACTAGCAGAGAAGTCTGAACCTGGCAACTAACAGATTTTATTGCTTGGTTTTTTTGTAAATTGCTTTGAGGTTTTTTACGATCAAGCAGTGTACCAATTTTATGTAACAAACAAATAAATAAAAACTGATGAAAATGATGGCAGGCATCTCTCCCTAGCAACAGCATTCCATAGACAAGAACACAATGGAAAAGGCCTTTTGTTGTGTTTGAATTTTTTTTAGAGACACAAGACTTTACCTCAGGCTTACAAACAACAACAAAAAATAGTTTCAAACCAGGCATTTATACGCACATTTGGGCCAGGCCATTCTTCGCTTGTGGTGTTTTTCACAGAAATGCAAAGGAAGGATGCAAAAAGAGAGCCCATTTATGCTGAAGTTCAACCAAACTATTAACCTGGATTAAAAGGGTTTTGAATGGGAGGAATGTTATAGTCCTGCTTAACTTTCACTGGGTAGAGGAAACTTCTTATAAAAAATAAAGATTGATAAAAAGGAAACTGAGAGGGAAAGCCAAAGCAAGAGGGTTAAATATCTTCAGAACACTTGGGAATGAGGGAGGAAGGGTTATCCAAAACTACAGTAATAGAAGCTGAGCTAGTACATATACTGCAGATCAGGAAAGACGTCACAAAATCCAAAATAAGGCCAGAGTGATTAGCAAATGAGAACAAAAAAGACAATTTTTTGTAAAACAAATGCAAGCAGACAATGCAAAAGTAAGGCATTGAGGAGCAAATAACCAAAACCATTAGGACTAACAATAATAAAATGCTTTCAATACACCAGAATCTGGAAAGCAACTAGAGAAGACCCTCAGTTTACAGATTTAACTGGCCCTTGGACCTCTCCTCAAGCCACTCCCCTCTCCTGGGCCACCCCCTTACTTGGCTCCCTGAGCATTTCCCCCTGATTGCAGTTTGTCCTGGAACTCTGATAATGCCTCTTGCTTGCTTGTGTGCGCAAGCCATCCTATTGTAGAAAGGTAAAATGTGCATATGTTGCTTTGCCTACTTTTGTCTCTGCCTCCAGCCACCACTGGCATATGGCCCTCAGAAGGTTCCAGAGAAGGGAATGTGTCCCTTGGGCTAAGAAAGACGCTTCCCTACTCCTGCCAAGGAGTATTTGTCCTGATTTACTGGCCGCACTGAGCCAATCTTTGACTTTGCACAAAAATGCAGGCTCCCAGAGAGGAGCCTGCAGCCACTTTCTTCGTCCACACTCTTTATTTATTTGCTGCAAAAGAAAAAAAGGGGGCTGGGAGAAGTGGCCCAATGACGCAGGCAGCACTTTCCTTCTTCTCCACTGTCACTCACCAGGAAATCTATTTTCATGTGGTCATAAAACTACCTCTCCGCATCCTCAGATTAGGATGCACATTACTGGTAGCCCTGGGAACATCTAAGAGAACCCCTCTGACCCACCTATCCCACAAATCTACCTTAACTTCAGTTGCGTTTGACTGGCTGGCTCCAGGTGTGAATCAGCAGTGACTTGTATGTTCCTGGCCAGATTGACTGGAGGGCACATCAACATAAGGAAGCAGCTATTTAAACTGGCTTTTGAGTGCCAGGTGGCACTTTGGAAGACAGAAGGCAATACTGGAAGATGTTGTCACAATGCACTAACCTCAGATAAGAATGCACATTATCAATACATTCCTTTTCCAAGCAAGATAAAGGACTCCATCCATTCCCTTTCAACAACTTGGGTGAGGGAGCACAGAGAAGCTCCCTACCCCATACATTATACTCTTTCCAGTAATGGAAGAAAGTGTAAGTACATTGCAAGGAGGATTGTGGGAATAGAGAAAATACCAAATTTTATCAAAGGATGGTTCTAAAATCTCAAAGCGCCACAATATATTTTGGGACTGCTGAAGCCACTAATTTTACACAAATGCACTTTTATGAAAAAGTACTTTTAAGAGTAACTTGGAAACTCTAGACGACAAGACTACTAGTCTCTACAAATAAATGTAGCCTCAGCAATATATAAGTGCTCCTCGCTTAAAACACTTCTCGCCCTTCTCTTTAAACCAGAGGCTGCTTCCTGGTGGCCTGCACACAGCAGCAAATCCACAGCACGTGGTCCATCTGTTGCAACCTGTTGCCATGCCAAGGCTGTCTTGCCAGGCTTTGCTCACTCCTTTTGAGGAAGAACAGTGGCTCAGTGGTAGAGATTCTACTCTGATTGATTGACTGGTTTTATTTCTACCGCTTAGTATATTAAAATATATCTAAGTGGTGTACAAAGGATGGCTGGCTAGCATCCATTGCCACAGCTGTGTCCCCTTCAGCTGCATTCTCCACCCCAGTTCCAGGTACAGTAAGTTTGTTGAGTTTCCCAGGGTGTCTAGAGAATGGAAAAAGCCCCCCCCCCCCCGTTGTTCCTTCACCCTCTTGCTCTGTCCTACTCCTCCAGCCACTTTGCATGCAGAGGGTCCCAGGTTTAATTTCCAGACAGAGACACAGACCTCTGCCTAAAACACTGAAGACCCTCTGCCAGTCCATGTAGGCAATGCTAAGCTAAATGGACGGAAGGTCTAATTTAATATAATGTAGCTTCCTGCGTTCCCATCTCAGAGTATAGAAGAGAAATGATGTGAGGTGAAAGAACTCATGATGCTGCCTCTTCTGCCAATGTGCTGTCCTCTACTCTGAAAATATGAGAACCAGCAGGTTGGGAGTGTGTGTGTGGTCGTTGATAGGAGGAAGGTCATTTCAGCTACAGGTCAGAAGACAAGAACTCATTTTTAACCTCATGTAAATCATCCCATAGACCCTAATCTAGCACAGGCAGCAGTGTCAGGCATATCAATTTTGGCTTTATAGATTTGATTTTATGTACTTAGCTTACTCACAGCCATGTTCACTCTTGCACGAAGCTTTATGAATGAGCATGGGTTACTGTTCACCCAGAAAAAATACTGATAATGAGCGCTAAAATGCATCAACTGTTACCCAAAATTTGCTGATGGCTGAAGATTAGCAAATGTGGCATCAGTTCCCCAGAACACAGACACAGCATCCATACCAAGAACTTGTGGAAAACAGAAATGTCTAAAACAGCGTAGGGCCTGGGTCCAAAAGGCCGTGGGAGAAAGGGGTAAAAGCAGCACCCAATATACAACCTCTTCTACAGCAGCTTCTATATGCACTTAACAAGAGCTCCAAATGCACATCCCAACTACTTTTGTTGCTCACTGGGTAACTATGAGAGAGAAAGGGGCATAAGCGAAAGTGTTACTTTATAATTTGAACAGTAATACTACTCAGTGAGGCACAATGCCTCATTTTGGTTTCAGATTGGTCATTCTGAAATAGCACTGCACAGGGTTGGCCCACCTCACAAGTAACTTGGCTGGCAGGGTCCATCTCCTCAGGCTGAACAAGTTTGCAATCACTCCTTTAAGTCTCTTATACTTCTTATTGATCCAGAAAACTCCCTACTGTATGCCTACTCATCTTGCACAGCAACGAGACCCCTGGAATCGACTACATGGAACACCTACGCTAGCAAGCATCAGAAGAGAAATCTGGTATACAGAACCTGAGGTACGGTAAAAATATTCACCTAATGCTACCATCCTTTGCTTGTGTTGCAAGGCTCTTTTGCTTTGCCCTTAATCGAAATAGGTTGGCTTTCATACACTGTCAGATTTGCTTTTAAATGGGCTACACTTTGACCCATCAACACTTGTAGTTGCACTGTGTACTTAAAGCAGACTTATAAAAACATCAATACAGTGGTACCTCTGGTTACGTACTTAATTCGTTCCGGAGGTCCGTACTTAACCTGAAACTGTTCTTAACCTGAAACACTTTAGCTAATGGGGTATCCCGCTGCTACCGCAGCGTGATTTCTGTTCTCATCCTGAAGCAAAGTTCTTAACCCGAGGTACTATTTCTGTGTTAGCGGAGTCTGTAACCTGAAGTGTATGTAACCCGAGGTACCACTGTAATGATTTCCCCATCCCTCCTTAAATGCCTAGGTTTCCAAAGACAGTCTGGATTTTAACCTCAGTGCCCTGTACAATCACCACGAAGACCTGCTTAAAGACAAGAGCAAGGTAGTTCTCCATAAGGAGACCCTATTTGATGACCATGGGTAAGTGTAATTCATTGCTCTTGTAGAATTCAGCAAACAGCATGACTCTCCACAGGATTTGCATGAGCCAAAGGTGCAACATTTGTAGCTATGAGGCAGGTTGTTTCTGTACTTTACTGAAAACGTTTCTTCATCTATGTGCAGATGAGACACACCATTCTCCTGCCACAGTAAAACAGTGCAGGAAGTGCTTCTGCTTTGGCTTGTATTGCATGGGTATCCCATATCTTATCCATCTGCACTTGCAGTAATAGGCACGTACAGACAATGCTGAAGCAAGCAGCTTTGCACTGCACACTGGAAACCCAAGCCAGTGAATGTTACCTTGGCAAAATATGGGTCTCTACTTACTTAGCACTCTATATTGTCTTAGGGTGCTTCTCAGTGAGAGCACACCTACAGATCTTAAATCACTTTAATGCTTACAGATACAAAACAAAATTCATACTCCAATGCAAAAAATATGGAAGTGATGGCCTCTGCCCAGAATTTATTACTTTCTTGCATGTTAACACATGTTCTCACTCTTGTTTTTGAGACAACTGAAGGGTTTAGAGCCTGTGAAGGAACGCACAGCATCTTCGATTCAGCAGCCTACTTCCAAGGGTATATCTGTGAGACACTGGGTCAACCCAGTAAGAGAGTCAATCCACAACATTGAAGGAGCTATTGGTAAGCACAAGTTGTAGACATTCATTTTACCTCTCCTAAAGAATTACCCCAAATCCCCGCGATGGGGTGAGCTCCCGTTGCTCAGTCCCTGCTCCTGCCAACCTAGCAGTTCGAAAGCATGTCAAAGTGCAAGTAGATAAATAGGTACCGCTCCAGGTGGTAAGGTAAATGGCGTTTCTGTGCACTGCTCTGGTTCGCCAGAAGCGGCTTAGTCATGCTAGCCACATGACGTGGAAGCTGTACGCCGGCTCCCTTGGCCAATAAAGCGAGATGAGCGCCGCAACCCCAGAGTCGGTCACGACTGGACCTAATGGTCAGGGGTCCCTTTACCTTTAAAGGGAGTAAGATCATAAATCCATAGTGACCAGCTCGTGTTCAGCAAATCTAACTCCTACCTAGACACCCTACTCTCCCAGGTCCTTTTTAATTATTTTGAATATCAAGCTTCTTTTATTTACATTATATAATCATATTCTTCAACCTATCCCTGTGTTAAAAACTAATACATTCAGAGTAGATGTACTTTTAAAATCAGGGTGATGAAAGCTCCTCTACATTTATATTCTGCTTGAGAAACCACTGAAATGAATGGTGTGGATCACACTTTAAACTAGACTGGAGAAAAGTCTTTAAAAACATTGTTGGCCACTAATTGATAAGAAATTTAGAGCTAAGCAGAACACGTGCAGGTTCTGTGCATTCATTTAGATCTCCATTTTTTTTTTTCTGTTATGCTGCTTAACATCATCTGGAAACTTTTGAATTGATGGTTTTCAATTTAACACAAGAAATTAAGAGCTTCCTCTTAAATTGATGTGTGGTACTATTTAAGCTCTGATTGGAAAATTTCTCAGTGTATGGAATACTCAGAAAAAGTTGACTGTGACTTTTGTCTTTTCAGAGTCTCATCACACTGCAGCCACTAACAGTGGATACTCACGCAAAGAGAATGGTGGGATCTTCTACCACTAAGGGTTTGGCACGGCCATGATTGCTGCTTCTGTCCTTTCAGCCTGTGTTTACGTGTACCTGAGTTAAGTCTTCAATGTTTGCTTTCCTTTTAGGATCCTTGATTAAACCATCCAGCTTCACTGAATTCTAGTAGCAGCACAGCTATACTGTTCCCCAGTACTGTACTTGAGAGGAACAAACTGCTTCTTGCCTATCAGCAAAGTCCAAGTTATCAGGCCTAGTAAATCCAGAGATTTTGGTTAGGAATTGAATCAGTTACAGTAATCTGAACTGAAGTCCAAAAAGGACAGCATTTAGAAACTATCACTTTAGGCAGGCAGTGCATTGCACTCTCACAATGAAAAATGCCAAGGTTAAACTGTTGTAAAAGCCATTTCTCTACTAATTCAGGCGGCTAGCTAGTTTCACTATGTTTAAAAAGGGCACTGCACATATGGACAGGAATGCCCATCTTTATTACTACTGAGTCTTTATTACTACTGAGTCTTGTCTATGGAAACAAGTCCAAGGGCTGAACCCTTACAAGAATTAAAGCCAATAGTACAGTGGTACCTCAGATTACGAACTTAATTCATCCCGGAGGTCTGTTCTTAACCCGAAACTGTTCTTAACCTGAGGTGCGCTTTCACTAATGGGGCCTCCCGCTGCCGCCCTGCAACTTCCGCTCATATCCTGGGGCAAAGTTCGCGACCAGGAGCATGTACTTCCAGGTTAGCGGAGCTCATTACCTGAAGTGTTCATAAGGAGGATGGTACATAACTAGAGGTTCCACTGTATGTTTAACATTCAAGAAAAAATACACTCAAATGAGAACAGGCCAATTATTTCTCAATTTAGCCTAGCAAGCAATCTCCCTAAGCATGTCTTCCTCCTCTTGACTCCAAAAGTACATGAAAATGCTGGCAGGTAGAAGGAATTGTAGATTCCCTTTGTCATTTTGAGAACTTAAAATAGGAGTCTTAGGCGAGGCCTGCTTTCTGTAATTTTAACCCCCAGAGGCCATTTTAATTGTTACTGTATTATCAGCCTCCACATGGTGGCAACAATTTGAGAAGCAGCCCTATAAGCCACGGGCACAGCTTGGGAAACATTGCATGGTTCCACAGAAGGAACCACGGAACATGCAAGCATCATGAACTCTTTGAACAGAGCCTGCAAGTGTCCGTTTATAGCACAAGGAAGAGGCTTATGGCACCTTAAGGACTTAACGAAGAGCTTTCTTGGACTACAACCCATCTCACCATCAGTCCACTAGATGGAATGAAGTCGGGGGTGGGGGGAGCATGCCAGAATTAATTGTTCCAAGTTGTTTTCGCACCGCGAATTCCATTAGCATTTATTGGGAAGGCCTTTTCAGGAAAGCCAGCAGCCTTGTGCGAGGGACGGGGATGGAGAGCGGGAGTCGTTGTCGCAGCAAAGGAAGACGCCCGAGGCAGGAACAAAGGAGCGGCTCAGGCGGAGCTGCTGCGGTGGAGCCGGATCAGAATCGCTCCGATACACATTGGCCAGGAGGAGGGGGAAGGGAACCCCCCCGCAGCCTCCAGCCTCGTCTATCTGATCAGTTCATCACCTCCGGCTTAAAACGCCGCCCGCTCGCTTCACCTGCTTCACTGCACAGCGCCCGAGGGCTTCGCAGGGAGAAGGGTTCTTCTCATCTCAGGCCTGGGGAGGCGGCAGCATCCCGGCCCGATCAAATAAGATCAACGTGTAAATGAGGAAAGAAGTGCCGTAGCGCAGGGGCTCCACACGCGCGCCACTCAACCCATGCACACGCCTCACGCAGCGCACGTACCCCCTAGCATCCCCACACATACCTTCCGCGCCCCACCACAGCCACACACCACTCGCTCTGCCCCTGGCTATTCTCTGAAGAAGCGCCTCGCGCCCCGCCTCCGGCTTTTATACCCCAGCCCCGTTGCATGATGGGAACCGCGCAGATCGCGTTCTCGCGGTCCCTGCTGAGTGCCCCGCCTCTTCCGAGGCACCCTCAACTATCAAGAGAGGGGCGGGGTTTGTGGATTCGCACATCCTGTTCGCTCATAGCCTCCCCAACCCCGGAGACTCCGGGATGCAAGTGGGCAAGTTCCCTGAAGGAAATCGGGGTGACATTCAGAATTCTGGCGTAATCTGTGGCTGGGCAGCGGCTTGTGTTCCCTCCCAGCCCCCAAAACAGCAGTAAAACTTGGAAGCGCTCGTGCTGCTTAAAGAATGTTTCCCCCCCGCCCTTCGCCAGCTGCTGTCACCACCGAGGGCAAAATAACTGACCTTTATGGGAATAAAGTTATGGTAGACAAGCTAGCCAGCCGCAGATTCGCTGCCCTGCATTTTTACTGGAGACTCGAGGGCAAACTTTAGAAATCTTTTTCTTCGTCCGTTGCCATGCTACCGAGGGGAAAGCCATGGTCTGGGTTATCCTTGCATCCAAAACCAGCTTGTGATTTGTCTCCCATACAACGCACTGTTGTTGTTTAGTCGTGTCCGACTCTTCGTGACCCCATGGACCAGAGCACGCCAAGCACTTCTGTCTTCCACCGCCTCCCGCAGTTTGGTCAAACTCATGTTTGTCGCTTCAAGAACACTGTCCAACCATCTCGTCCTCTGTCGTCCCCTTCTCCTTGTGCCCTCCATCTATCCCAACATCAGGGTCTTTTCCAGGGAGTCTTCTCTTCTCATGAGGTGGCCAAAGTATTGGAGCCTCAGCTTCACAATCTGTCCTTCCAGTGAGCACCCAGGGCTAATTTCCTTAAGAATGGATGCGTTTGATCTTCTTGCAGTCCATGGGACTCTCAAGAGTCCTCCAGCACCATAATTCAAAAGCATCAATTCTTCGGCGATCAGCCTTCTTTATGGTCCAGCTCTCACTTCCATACATTACTACTGGGATCCCTTCATGGATCACTGCCTTGCCGTGGCGAAGGGGCTTGAATAACTCAGAGAAGCTATGAGCTATGCCGTGCAGGGCCACCCAAGATGGACAGGTCATAGTGGAGAGTTTTGACCAAACGTGATCCACCTGGAGCAGGAACCGGCAAGCCACTCCAGTATCCCTGCCAAGAAAACTCCATGGACAAAGGCAACAACGCACTGTTAGCCAAGAACAAATCTTGGCTTTGGGCCATGGTTTGTCTGGCGCAAGAAAGCCCTGTTTTATTTCCAAGCACACACACACTCTCTTGTTCACTTAGCCATTGTTTGCCTTAGCTGCAAGAACTGGGCTTGCTTTCACCATTACAAGAGATACAAGCATAATCAGAACAAAAGTCCCATTATGTTATATAAAATTGGTTTCCTAGTAAATTCTAAAAATAAATGTACTTGGGCTTGCGGCTGAAGTCTCTGTAATAACAGTAAAATATATTAGAAGCTACAGCTGTTTTCATAGCCATTCCTACAGAATACCACTTTCCAATTATCCACAATGGGAAATGGAAAAAGACCCACTGCATAAAGAGCTGAGGGGCTGTAAGTGGACACTTAAATGGTATGCAGTGCAATACTTCATTTGCTGTAACTAGAGTTACAATTCTAACAATACTCACTCTACTAAATTTAGCAGCCCTGGTTTAGTATTATGAGATATTCCAAATCCTCCTGAAATCTGCCTCCAGGGACACTAAAACCCTCCAGACCAAATTTTGAGGTCACACAAAGGACTGCCACAGGGGTAAAGAAAGACAGAGACCATTCTGATCGTGCATGGACATCTTTGGATAAAACTCATAGAATTTTGCAATGCAGTGCTAGCTTTTCAATGGAAGGGCAGATGGAATAACACCAAAATAAAGAACATAAACAGACGGCCTCCAATGGTGAACCGGGGATGGTTTATTTGCCCAATAAACCATTGCCCAATGATTTATTTGCCCAGCTTGTTGACTTTCTCAGAGGCAGCTTTTACTCTTGTAAAAGCAAACAAACCAGAAGATCAAAAAGACGTGCTACCACCATCACAAATGCACATTTAAGGTCTCTTCTCAATATTCTTGCATTATTTTAGTTAAAAAAAATTGAGTTTAAAAACAATTTTAAGGTAAAGGTAAAGGTCCAGTCGTGACGGACTCTGCGGTTGCGGCGCTCATCTCACTTTATTGACCGAGGGAGCAGACGTTTGTCCTCAGACAGCTTCCGGGTCATGTGGCCAGCATGACTAAGCCGCTTCTGGCGAACCAGAGCAGCGCACGGAAATGCCGTTTCCCTTCCGCCGGAGCGGTACCTATTTATCTTCTTGCACTTTGACGTGCTTTCGAACTGCTAGGTTGGCAGGAGCAGGGACCGAGCAACGGGAGCTCACTCCGTCGCAGGGATTCAAACCGCCGACCTTCTGATCGGCAAGTCCTAGGCTCTGTGGTTTCACCCACAGCGCCACCCACGTCCCTAATTTTAAAGTAGTACACATTAATTGCCTAACACCATTTACATACTCACCTTCTCCTGCTAACAATTAGTTCCAGCTTAGGACCTGCCCTTTCAATGTATGCTTGTGTGTGAAGTTGACATTCCACTCCATGCAAGAAATCAGGAGTATAAAGTCAAGCAATAAAAGCTTTTCAAGAGTAATAGAATGGCTCACACAATGATCTTGGTCCACTCTCCCAGCCTGAACTACATTGCAGGGTTCTTGTGGAGAACATCCTTGTCATACTGAGCTCACAGAGGAAGGCTAGAATAAAGATTTGATAAAAGAGATACATACTGATCATACTGATTTTACAAATCACACTATGCAACATGAATGACATGATAGTTTAAGCCATAATACAACTGTTAGTCTTTAAGGTGTTAAAGACTACAGTATTTAACTAGATGGAATTCAATATGTTGAGCTATAAAAACCAATTATTATTTTTTTAAAAGTACAGACATATTTAGGGATGCTCTCACTGCTGTATCAATTCATGCTCTCTTGAAGTGAACATGTCTTGAATTTCTTGAAGGTTTTTTTCATGAGTAAAGATTCCAATAAGCTTTCCTGATATACTGGTTGAAAACTGAACAGAAAATACAGATGCAGCTGAACAGGCTAGAGCACTGTGAAGAAAACAGAAAAACACCATCTATTCCCATTTTTATATAATTTTGTATTTACTTTTTCACTAAACACATGCCTACAGTATAATTGTGCACATAACCTTTTCATACAGTGGCAAAGGCTGCCAATTTCCTCTTACCAAGAGATTTGGGGAAGCTTTAACCCTCCAGATGTTGCTGAACTACAACTCTAATTATCCCTGGTCATTGCCCATGTTTGCTGGGTTTGATGGGAGTTGCAGTTCAGCCAGGTGTGCCAACACCTAGGGGTGGAGGGGGTCTTCACCCCCCTCAATATTTGCTGGCAGGGCCCCCTTGATGTTGGGAAGTTTGAGGAAGCAGACTGCAACACTGTCCAATGGCTAGCTCCTCCTGAGTACAAGAGAGGAAGCCATGCTGCTCTGGGCTCCCCACTCAGCCTCCTCCCAACAATGTGACATCACAGATATACATTGTGCATGTGACATCACACACACATGACACATCAGACACAAGATGGCACCTCCAAGTTCAGCAACATTTGGAGGGCCAAATGATTCCAACACCTGCCTTACAGATTCTGCACCTCTTTAAGCAGGCTTACTGGATAGGTGGCTCTTCAATTTATATTTCCCTTTCTTGCATTTTTATGCAACGAAAATTAGAATCAAAGCAGTATGCTAGGAAAACTATTTTTCCTGTAACTTTAACTGCTTGGAAACTCACACAATATTGACAACTCAACAGCACTTTCTGTTAGCAGATCAAAATGATTTTGTACATAGCATGGCTTTGTTCATAAAGTATCACACTTTGTTACTAGGGATAAATTTTGAAAGAGTACCAAAACTTTACATTTTCTTAAGAGCACCAAACAGATCTATTTCAGTTATGCTTTCTTCCTTATAAAAACACTTGCAAAACCACAACCCATGGCATCATGACTCCTTTGGCATGGTTTCTCTCAAGTTGGACACACGAAATATATTGGGAAACATAAATTCTAATGTAATATTAAACTACATTTTTTTACATGTCATAAATTATTATATAGCACCATTAGTATAAAAATACTGTTTTCTAAAAGCCTGACAAGCTGAATGCTGTGTTCAATTCCTACACTTCATGTCCTCTCAGAAGGAAAGAATAGAAGTAAAGGAAGACAGGATATTTCAGATTTGTCCCTGGCACATTTATGGAACACTCCCACCAACAGCAGTCTTTGCTTCTTAGTTAGATTTTTGGTTGGTGTTATGATTTACACATCCCTAGAACATGTACGTATTAACTAAACTTGTTATTATGGATTCTCAATCTCTTGTAAAGTTACTTACATTCCTTGGAAAAAACAGAACTAGAAAGCAAATGATCATCTTTACAAGGACTTAAGGCCCAAATCTTTCCTCCAGTCACTAGATAAATATAGGTATTTGGCTTACATAGCAGAAATTAGAATATTGATTAGCAGGCAAAGAAAAAACTTGCCTTATTTGCAGCACTGCATCCTAAACTGCAGCAGAAATGTTTGGATAATAGTACTGTTTTATCAATTGGTAGATACAATTGATACACGGGTGGCACTGTGGTCTAAACCACTGAGCCTCTTGGGCTTGCTGATCAGAAGGTCAGCGGTTCGAATCCCCGCAACGGGGTGAGCTCCCGTTGCTCGGTCCCAGCTCCTGCCAACCTAGCAGTTTGAAAGCACGCCGTAAGTGCAAGTAGATAAATAGGTACTGCTCCGGCGGGAAGGTAAACGGTGTTTCCGTGTGCTGCTCTGGTTTCGATGTTCCGTTGTGCAGAAGCAGCTTAGTCATGCTGGCCACATGACCTGGAAAAACTGTCTGCGGACAAACGCCAGCTCCTTCAGCCTGTAAAGCGAGATGAGCGCCGCAACTGGACTTAACTGTCAGGGGTCCTTTACCTTTTTTAGATACAATTTTATTTGTTCTGTATTGCATTGAGTCTGTGCTTTTATACTTATTTTGAAGTTGAAAACATCTTAATTTTAGTATCAGAAAACCACTCTCAAATCAAACACCACTCTAAACAGGAATTGAACATTATGTGAGCACTAAACTTGGTTTTTGCTTTCTCAGTTCCCTGGAATATGCAGCTGGTAGAATTCATTCATATTCCTTCAGTTCCCACCCACGAAAATAAGAAATAAAATGTCAAGAGGCTATTAGATACAAAGTATGGGGAAGAAAAATAAGGCAGGTTTATTCACACACATACTTCTGAAATACCCAAAGGCCCAGTTAGGGCTCCAGTGTACTTCTTGCCAATTTATAAAAATGCGGTAAGAGACAGTTCCTGTCTGTGATGACATACAAACTTGCCTTTTCAGTTTTATGCAAACTATGGATTTAAAAAAAAATGCCCCAGTCCTGAAGTTACTTGTGAATTTCTGTCCATCAAGTGTTTTCAACATTGAAAACTTAAAATAAAACATGCACTTTTACTGCTTCTACTGTAGCTGCTTTTACTCTAGATGATGACTTCCTATAATGTAAGGACAAGGTTAAAAGGGAGTACAATTCAAATAAGAACAGTGAAGAAGAAAAAGAACATAAAAGGGAATCATTAAAAAAAGAAAGCAAACATAAATCTTTCACCTTTAAAGTCTATACACTTTCCAAAATATACAAGTTACGATCTTTAAATGTAATTTAAACATTTTAACATCTATTAACTTATGTAACAGCATATGTCCCCATTGCTTTCTCCTACACAGCAACATCCAAAAACTGGGTATGTTTGAATTGTTGTCAATTGTTAATTGTGTGCTACAGAACTTGCAGCATTTCAGCCATTCTTGGCTGTTTGCAAGAGGTGGTAAGGCTGTTAATTATGCCAAGGTGGTGCAAATATATCACCAAACAGCATTTTATTTCCTTTGTGATTCAGATTGTTTTTTTCCTTCAAGGGTAAAAAGTGCATAAACACTTCTTTGAACTGTGCAAAGATTTTACTCTATTACTAGCTAGTTTACCATATCCAGTTACTAATTTTTATGATAGCTTTATCCTCCAATCTTAAAAGTGCATTAATAAAAGAAAAAAAGCCAATGAAAGCAAAATCCACACCTGTACTTTGCTGTTCATTATTACATTTTTGGGATTTAGAGCAATTCCCTTTAAAACACCAGGAATGCAAATCCTTCCCCCCTCTATACTGTGCCAGACTCTGGAAACATAATTATTCACTTCCATTTGCCACAAACATTTGATGGTTTTCCTTGTGCAAATTGTAGTATTGATTTTAAGAATCTGCACATAAAACAATCTTTGTTGATCATTTTCAAGCTTGCTAGAAGCACAGACGATGGTTGCTGTTATAAAAGCCACTCCCTTGGTCTCAAAAAAGGCTTGGTCATAGAAGAATTTCCCCTTGACATCTGTGCAGGGTTCTGTGTCAGTTCCTCTAAGAGATATTTTGTCCTCTGAAGCAAAAGAGATATGCCTTCTTTAGCATCTTCATTCAAACAACACTGTCCATCTGAAGTGCTGAGATTCATTTTATAAAGAGGACATAAAAAGCCATTACAATGCAGGATATTGCCACTGCTGCATGGAGTCTAGTACCAATCACTGCCGCTGGAAAACAAGAGAGACATTTACAAGTTGTAACAGTATAGAGCACACATTACTTCTTAGAATTTTTGTGAGAATTCAGCATAAGCACTAGATCGTCTTTATTACCACATAAACTAAAGCAAGGGCATCAAACTCAACTATGCTGGAAATCCAAATTCCCCACCAAGTAATTGCCTAGTGACCATATTAGAAATGGTTAATAGGGGTGGGGAGAGATGCAAATTCTGTCTGAATTGAACAGTAAGAAGTTCTACCTCACTGAGTACTTGTTGCTTACCACTTACTAAGTTCTGTTCTACTGAAGTTAGTATTTTTTTTTTACAGCAGCTTTAACAATTTTGTTTGCTCTTAAGCAATTAAAAGAATGAAGCTGAGAACCAAGATTTATTATGCACTTGTCCTGTTGTAACCTAGAGATCCTAGGAACAAGTGGTTCCCCACGCTCCTCAAAAAAACAGCTATCAAAACTCACCATAGAACCAGTCAACAAACCCCCACTCTCTGAAGCGACCGATCGCATAAACAAGCCTGTTGTGATGCATCCCAAGTCACAATGCAGACGCTTCCTAAGCTTAACTCCATTCTACCAACTGTCAGGAACATTTCCTTGAAGGTTTGTTCGTTTGTTTAACATTTTATGTCATGAACATTTTATGGCATGAAATAGGCAAAGAACTTCTTCCTCTCCTGGCAGTTTGTGAAGGCTGCCCAGACTTGTTCTGTTCCCACCCATTTCGCCTTCCCTCCCGGTTGATCCCTGGGGTTGAGAGCGGGAGGCTTACCTTTGTAGAATACCCCCCAGACGCCCCTCTTCTCCGAGAGCAGCCAGACTTTCAGCCGAGGCACCTTCCGGAAGTAGGCGCAGGTGCACACGAAGAGCAACCCGAACACCAGCAGCCCGTCCAGCGAATACACTGCAAGGGAAGAGAGAGAGAGAGAGGCCGTCTTGAGTCAGGGCCTCCCGGCTCTTAAGGGTGGCGGGCAGCAGGGGGGGGCGTCTAGCGAAGATGCCCCCAGGCCAGCCTCTGGTCCTCGCCCCGAGGGCGCTGCCCCGCTCTGGAAGGTGGGGGTGGCAGTTAGTCAGGGAGGAGGAACAAGGCGCAGGGTCACCTTGCGGGGCAGCCCCCGCTGAGGCAAACCCCCACCCCACCCGTCTCACCGTTAGCCATGACGGAAACCCGCAAGGCCCAGACCAGGTCTCGTCACCGCATCGCCCAGAATGAACGAACGGCCAGCGCGGCACCGGAACTTCCAGTGCCGCCAATAGAGCTCCGGCGATGGAGCGCTCTCTATGGTTCGCCTCTTCCTAGAAAGGTGGGTGCGCGTGTCGCGGCATCAAGGCAGCACTAGCAGAAGGACGGCTGGTCGATTTGTTTCGAGAGCGCCCTGGCTTGTCAGCGGCGGGTCTCGCGACCGGATTTCCTGCTATCTTTTGTTTTCGTGCTGTCTTTTGTTTGCAAAAAAAGTGCAGAAATCCGGGACTGTGTTGTTGAAGTGCTGTTTGGCAGCCACACACACACAAGAAAGGGGACGGGAGTATTTTAAACTCGATCTTCTTGTGGGATGCGAACATGTGAATGGGGCGGGCTCACCTTTCTTCTAGCTATTTTTTCTTAATCGCCATGCAGATGATTCTGTAGTAGCAGAAAAATAAACTGCTCAATATTGTTATAATTTTCTCATAGCTAATGCGGGGAGCGACGCTTACAACAACCCTGCCATGTAGTCCAGTGTTACTTACCTCCATATTATAGACAGGGGAGTAGGAGTTACAGTGCATTATAATCGTTCCTCAGACAGGGACTTCTCCTGTACTTCCAAGAGCTGTCACTTAATCGAGCACTACTGATGAAATAATCTAACAGACTGCAATGCTGCTCAATATTCACATATAATTAAAGCAAAAACAAAAAATATATAAACCATTTACAATACAATACAAATCTTTATTATGGTCATAAGGGACCTCTGACTGTTAGGTCCAGTCACGGACGACTCTGGGGTTGCAGCACCCATCTCGCTTTATTGGCGGAGGGAGCCGGTGTACAGCTTCTGGGTCATGTGGCCAGCATGACTAAGCTGCTTCTGGCGAACCAGAGCAGCACACGTAAACGTTGTTTACCTTCCCGCTGGAGCGGTGCCTATTTATCTACTTGCACTTCGACGTGCTTTCGAACTGCTAGGTCGGCAGGAGCAAGGACCGAGCAACAGGAGCTCACCCTGTCGCGGGGATTCAAACCACCAACCTGATCAGCAAGCCCTAGGCTCTGTGGTTTAGACCACAGTGCCACCCGCATCATAGACGTCATAGACCAGCATAAAAGGGTGGGATACTTAAAAAATATAAAACTAATTAATTAAAAAAATTAAGCAGTGTGTAAGAATAATAAAAAGTAATTACTAATAAAAAACAAAATCAGGACACACACACAGTAATGTCTGGGTAGGCTTGCTGGAATACAAACATTTTCAGCAGGTGTCTAAAGCAATAAAGTGTGTCAGCTTAAATATCAATAGGGAGTTCCAAAGATTCAGAGCAATCTCAACCATCCAGTCAGCCCCATTCCCCAAATCCACTGCTTACTTGTATGAAGATACAGTGCATTCTTACCATTCTAAAAGAGGTCAATAGGGATCCACATCATTCCAAGATTGACTGGTTTTTTTAATGATGTTTTTAACTAGGCAAGGCTGCTTTCTTATCTTAATGGGGTAGCGTAAAGGGCTCAGAACATGTGAAACCTTTTCCTCATAGAAGTTCTATGGATAGGGCAAATACTAGTGGGAGAAAAAAGAGAAGGGATAATGGACACAATAGAAATTATGCTTTCACTAGAGGGATGGGTACCGGTAATTGTGCATCTCCAATTTAAGCCATCTGGCCAAAACAGAAGGCTCATCTGGTAGGGAAATGGTAAGCAGACACCTCCCCCTGCCCCCGCCATACAACACTAAAAATAGTGCTGTAGCAGTAGCATTCTAATCTCTAGTCACACTGCTATGCTACCACATGCACAAAACTACTAATGGAGTGTCCAGTCTTATCAATAAGAACTCAGAAGGAAGTCCCCTTGTGAATAAGGTTACAGCCTTACTGTGACTTTTGAGTGGGTGTGTATAGGAATGTGCTATAAAATAAAATATGTGGGTTATACAAGCTGCTTCCCCATCCTCTCTTTATTGAGAATTTTATTTGTTGAAAAGAAACTGGAGGCAGTTCCAGAATTCCAAAGATTCTGGATTCATTTAGGAATGGCAATTTTTCATACACTGGTACAGAATCACAAAATGCAGTGTAACAGAATGTAATCTTCATAAATGGCATGAACAAAAAAATCCTGCACTGGGGTCACGTCCGTAGTGAGTTAATTGGTAGCCACTGTATGGGGGCAGCAGGTGGGCATTGGCAGCAGCACTGGTGAAGCTTCTAAAGATGCTATGGGCATGTCTGCCATGTTCCCACCAATTTGGTATTTTCTACCCGTGTGTGCGCCCCTTTCTCAGCTGAGCTATAGCAGTAATAGCAAATCATCAGACCCAGCAATGTAATAGGTGTTTAGGATTGCTCTGTTAAGATGTTAACCCAAACAACTTTATCTGATTTGTAATAATCTAAAGGGTGCATAATTCAATAATCCATTTTCTGCTGAACCTTGTTGATACCCTAGGAAATGTTTCAGCGTTCCAGACTTGGAAAATGACATCCTCTGCTTAATCAGCCAAAGGTTCTTAAAGGAACGTGTCACATGACACCTGTCCCCCCCCCTTTTTTTTTTTTACATCCAACAACACACCCAGGGATTAGTCTAAGGGCTTTAATAGGTTTTGTGAAGAGCCTGCTAAAAGAAGCAGGGCCCATCCACAATCACATTACCGTCTCCACTGCCAAGAAAATCAACAGGAGGACTTAGTTCACAGGTGTTTTTCTAGAAGAAAGTGAAGCCAAGTGCTAAACTGTTCTGGCACAGTAAGTACTTCAGAGACAACGTTCCACAGCTTTAAAGGAAAGGAGAGTGAGGAGGCAAAAGCTTCCTCCCGTCAGTGCCATGGGGGCCTCACAGTCAAAACGGGTGAGTAGCTTTCTTGTTGATGGTCTGATAAAGGGGATGAAGCCTGTGTCTGTCATATCCCTGACATCATGACGAGATCTTTTTGATCAGTTGGCCACATTCTGTTGCGTGTACAGTCTTTGAACTAAGTCTATATGACAACAGAAGCATGGCAATACGGCAATCTATAAAGCAATCTCTCGAGAGGCAGAGGTGTTTCTGATGGCTGACAACTGTGGAATATTCATCTGCTGGGGGCTCTTGGAAGCTTAACCCTCAGCTTTTCTTAGAAATACTATATGACCTTTTTATTTGGGCTTAATCGTTTCATCTTGACTGCTTCTAAACTGATGAGTGGATGGGCTTTGTGTAGTATGAATGATTAAGTAAGTATAATGGTTTAAATCTGAAATGAACAACATACTGTATATTAGACCTCAGGGCTGGCCCAAGTCATTTTGCTTCCTGAAGTGAAGGACAAGATGCCATCCCTTCTATTCCAGGAACAGCAGCCACCCAGCCTGGCCACTGAATCTTTCTTGACCACTGGGGATGGAACAGGCACCATATGGGGTACAGGGCAGGCTGTACTCCCTATAGCTGCACCATTTCACTATTAGAGCTTCATTAGGGGCTAAGTACTCCTCCCACTGGTGTCCTACAGTGTGAGAGCAAATACATTTTTTTTTTAATGTGAGCACCAACAAGGCTGCTTCTGCCTTAGAAGCAATTTCTCTTTATATTTCCTCTCCTCCTCTGTCTCCTGTTTCTCCCTCTCATGAGTGCCTCACCCCATAGTCGCCTTTGACTGGACTTAACCGTCCAGGGGTCCTTTACCTTTACCCTCCTCTAGCACTGACCCACACATTTCTCTTACATTTAATGAAAAGCCAAGATAGGGAATAAACGTATTGTTCGATTGTTATGCTACTCACAGAAAGACTAAACCCTCCATTACATCTGGACTATGTAGAGGATGTGGCATCTCACACACTAGAAAACGGTGCTGTCATATTTCTCAGAAATGCAAAAGATGGGAACTGTTGTTCACCCACAGTGCAGATGGACATAGTGTCATACACATGCTTTGTGTTAATCCTCTGGTAACCTCTCTTCAACACAGGGCTGTTATGGTGCAAAAAGTAATTGTGTCAGACCTGTCCTGTTACACACAGGTGAAGGAAACAGTTCTTGCCCCCGCAAAACAACCTCCTGCAGGGATAAACTCCTAGATTATACTGTACTTAATCCTGCTTCTATGTCTAGTCATCATTTTCACTCTTACGTTGATCCACTGAACCTATCCCCTTTCCTCTCCACAGCTACCTAACCAAAATCCTAATTGAAAAGGATAAGGTAGATCTGCCAGAAAGGCTACTTTTAGAGATGGTTTGTTCACACTTCAGCTGAAGCAAGATGAAACTTTGTATTTCTTAGGGCTTGCTCAAACTGTCGCTTAATGTGGGTAGTAAGTTTCCTGTACCTCCATGAATTCTCCACCATCCATAGGACTATCTCCGTATCACTTCCTTCCCACAAGTTCCCCTCCCTCAACCTGGATTTGCTCATAGGAATGCTCTGAAAAGGAGAGGGTATGAAAAAATCCAGATCAAGGGAGGGGAAAGTGTGGGAAGCATAACATCATATGGACAATGGAGAATTAATGAGGGCACATTATCCACATAAAGCAACAGTATGGATGAGCTTTTAATCGGCGCAGAGCAAAGCAACACTGATCAACATTTCAATAAAAGGGGAGAGATTGGGTCTAAAGGCAGAAGGAATACTGATGAAGCTGCATTTATGTTCCTGAACTTCATAGGCATGGAGATGATGGTTTTGAGGACAACTTTAAAGCAGCTGAGCTAGTTTTCCAGGGAAAGAGCCACATCAGGTGAAGGGGAGCAGCACATGCTATTCTTTAAGCATAACTGCTAAAACGTGGCATCTAAGAAATCCCTAACAGGAATGTTTGTCTTTTCCCTGAATGATGCATTCAATCTGCTGCTGCTGCAGTACATTCCTCTAGCAAATGTGTTGTCTTTGGAGATTTAAACCTGTAAGGATCAGGCAGGGCCAACCCTACGATTAGATGGAGGGAAGCAGCTGTCTCAGGTAGTGAATGCAACTGCCCCACCCCCAATTGCTCCTGAACCCCCCCCCCCCAGCCATTTCTCCCATCCTCCTGAACTGACACTCTGGCAGTGGCCAGCAGTCTCACCTAGTTATCTCCCAGTGCAGAGCCTTGACCTAGCAAACAGGAAGAGAGGCAGCCAGCCCAGGCTACACACCCCAGTAGGCACTATGTTTGTGAATGCATTTCTTGACACACATGACTGATGCTGAGGCATCCTTTGTCTGAGCAGGCAGCAAATGGGTACCAGGCAGGGCAGTGACTGAACAGGCAGCAGCAAGGTTTTGGAGGACAGAGCATGCTCTGAGCTAGCCTGTTGCCCTCAGTTTCAATGGTGGACACTGCCTCACCACAAGTGTTGAAGTAAGATTTGACTGCCTGTCTGGTCAGCTTCTCTATGGTGGAATATGTGGTGGGGAGATTGTATGTGTTATCATATCCTTTGCCTCAGGCAGCAAAATGTATTGGACGGGCCCTGGATATGTGTTAGGGATGTTCTGCTTTGCCCGCAGCTCCATATGATTAGGATGTAGAAGAAATAGAGGTTGGTTTTGTCTGACCTGCTGAAAGTCTATGTGCAGGTACATTAACAGAAGTACTCATTTGCTCCTCTGTAAGACCATGCAGGGGAAAAGTAATGAGGATGCCAGGGCAGAAGCTCAGAACGCTCTTGTATAATGCCCCCCCCCATGTGTTGTTAGTATCTTCTCAGTGTCCATTAAATGCCTGGGAACAGGCAGGGTAGGCCTGCTGGCATCTATGCCATTATAATAGTCTTGCATTGTTTACTTTGGATGAGGCGGCCACAAACCTGAGCCTGACAGATGACAGGCTAATCAGCAGTGGCTTAAAAGGGAAATCTCATCGGAGATGGAAAACCTAATCTTTCAAAGCTGCACAGAGAGACCGAGGGATCCAGAATAGCTTCATCAGGTTGAGATGATCCTGTGTGAATGATCAGAGCAAAATAGAAGAGTTGGGCAAATTAATGTCATACAGAAAGTAACATGGGGTTAGGAAAATGCACAGGCACCAGACGTATGGCAGCCTATTAGCACTGTGGATGACGGAAAAGCTTGATTTGCAAAGGAAGGAAGGTCTATGAGCGGCAGCTGGGTATTCCAGAGCCAGAAGCGAACTGTAGTATCTGGACTCCTTTCCAATAGAAGGCAGGCAGGTGATTATGAGGGTTATTCTAATTTTGGGTTCAGCTAGAGGGTATGTTATAGTGACTGGCCCAAATATGGTCTGCATTTTATTCTGTCTGGCTCCTTTCACCTGCTAATTTCACAGCACTTTAGTAACATTGGCAAAGAGCTTTATTTTTCACAGAGACTTTGGTATAAAACCTCCATGCATTGGCCAGTGAAAGAGCTGGAGATCGAGCACCAGGCACTGGAGTGTTTCAGCTGTTTGCCTCCACTTGTATATTTGTAAACAAACTGCAATATTATAAAATGTCATAAGCCTCCCATGATCTCCTTTCAAAGGAAACCAAACCAGGGTGAGCACTATACCCCTGGAACGCAAGTGTGGTGAAAGCAGAAGTGCAAGCATTTGTTGATCCATTGCTTTTTGAAATGCTGCCTTTTCTGTTCCAGGGTGAATACAGAACTCAGAAGACCAGTCTGAACCCAGGTAAGAGTATTTCACAGCAGGCTGGGGGTACCTTCTTCAATCCAAGGGCTACATTCTCTTATGTGGGGAGTGCATGCCAGTGGTGGGTGTGGCCAAGGATAAAAGTGGGCAGTGAAGTGCATGTGGCGTTTACCTTTATGCATGGGTGGAGGCCAGCTGTCTGTCCTACAGTCCTAAGCAAAAAGCAGAGGGAGTAGTTATAAATATGGGGAGAAACTATGCAAGCATTACGACCTGGGGGGTGGGAAAATGGGGGTTGTGTTCCTCTTACTCACTGAATGTATTAATTGGCCATAGCAGCAAAAGTCTGTTGTATGATGCATAGAAGGATGGCATCTATTCAGCCTGTGACTATTGGAACTTGCCCCAAGTACTCTTTTGGAGTCTAAAGGGTTTTTGCATATGATCAAAATAAGTGTGCCCCTTTATTTAGCTTCTTGTTAGCTCTGTGCTAGTGGGGGGGGGGGGCTGCCTTGTTAGAGGTAGGGAATGCTGGGTGATTCTCTTCCAGGTCCTTGCCAGTACTGCGTGTGTTCATTCCGTTCTGTTCAGCTTTTCCATCACCTTGTGAAACCTTTTCAAAACCCACATAAAATTTCCTCTTTTAAATGTCATTCACATGGTCATTTTTTAATGGAGTTATATAGTGTGGTTGCTGACCTTGAGCCAGACATCCTGGAAAGTGAAGTCAAATGGGCCTTAGAAAGCACTGCAAATAACAAGGCCAGTGGAAGTGATGGTATTCCAGCTGAACTGTTTAAAATTTTAAAAGATGATGCTGTTAAGGTGCTACACTCAATATGCCAGCAAGTTTGGAAAACTCAGCAGTGGCCAGAGGATTGGAGAAGATCAGTCTACATCCCAATCCCAAAGAAAGGCAGTGCCAAAGAATGCTCCAACTACTGCACAATTGCACTCATTTCACACGCTAGCAAGGTTATGCTTAAAATTCTACAAGGAAGGCTCAAGCAGTATGTGGACCGAGAACTCCCAGAAGTGCAAGCTGGATTTAGAAGAGGCAGAGGAACCAGAGACCAAATTGCAAACATGCGCTGGATTATGGAGAAAGCTAGAGAGTTCCAGAAAGACATCTACTTCTGCTTCATTGACTATGCAAAAGCCTTTGACTGTGTCGACCACAGCAAACTATGGCAAGTTCTTAAAGAAATGGGAGTGCCTGATCACCTCATCTGTCTCCTGAGAAATATCTACGTGGGACAAGAAGCTACAGTTAGAACTGGATATGGAACAACTGATTGTTTCAAAATTGGGAAAGGAGTACGGCAAGGCTGTATATTGTCTCCCTGCTTATTTAACTTATATGCAGAATTCATCATGCGAAAGGCTGGGCTGGATGAATCCCAAGCCGGAATTAAGATTGCTGGAAGAAATATCAACAACCTCAGATATGCAGATGACACAACCTTGATGGCAGAAAGTGAAGAGGAATTAAAGAACCTTTTAATGAGGGTGAAAGTGGAGAGCGCAAAATATGGTCTGAAGCTCAACATCAAAAAACGAAGATCGTGGCCACTGGGCCCATCACCTCCTGGCAAATAGAAGGGGAAGAAATGGAGGCAGTGAGAGATTTTACTTTCTTGGGCTCCATGATCACTGCAGATGGTGACAGCAGTCACGAAATTAAAAGACGCCTGCTCCTTGGGAGAAAGGCGATGGCAAACCTAGACAACATCTTAAAAAGCAGAGACATCACCTTGCCAACAAAGGTCCGTATAGTAAAAGCCATGGTTTTCCCAGTAGTGATGTATGGAAGTGAGAGCTGGACCATAAAGAAGGCTGATCGCCGAAGAATTGATGCTTTTGAATTATGGTGCTGGAGGAGACTCTTGAGAGTCCCATGGACTGCAAGAAGATCAAACCTCTCCATTCTGAAGGAAATCAGCCCTGAGTGCTCACTGGAAGGACAGATCCTGAAGCTGAGGCTCCAATACTTTGGCCACCTCATGAGAAGAGAAGACTCCCTGGAAAAGACCCTGATGTTGGGAAAGATGGAGGGCACAAGGAGAAGGGGACGACAGAGAATGAGATGGTTGGATGGTGTTCTTGAAGCTAGCAGCATGAGTTTGATCAAACTGCGGGAGGCAGTGGAGGACAGAAGTGCCTGGCGTGCTCTGGTCCATGGGGTCACGAAGAGTCGGACACGACTAAACAACTAAACAACAACAACATAAACAGTTTATCAAGGTTTTCATGGTTAAATAATGGTATAAATGTGCCCCGGAGTGGTGAAAAAAGAGGTAGCAACCATAGATTTCAGGTACTGAAATGTTCGGTGGTGGAATTTGTGGTTTCGCCACATGGGGGTGCATTTGTATAATAATCTGTGTGGAAGACTTAACATAACAGAAGTCTTGGTGGACCATCTGTGACTGACCTGATGTGTCATTTGCATTACAATGCCAACCCTGTCTTAAAGGATCTCAGAAATGGAAGAGCATTCAAGCCCGCACTTCAACTGCATGTGAATTGCCTTGTTCTCAACCAAGTCATTCAGTAAGCCCCAGGTATTGAGGAAGATCTACACCATGGGTAGGCAAACTAAGGCCCGCAGGCTTAATTGCCTTCTCAATCCGGCCTGCAGACGGTCCAGGAATCAGCATGTTTTTACATGAGTAGAATGTGTCCCTTTATTTAAAATGCATCTCTGGGTTATTTGTGGGGCCTGCCTGGTGTTTTTACATAAGTAGAATGTGTCCTTTTATTTAAAATGCATTTCTGGGTTATTTGTGGGGCATAGGAATTCGTTCATTTTTTCCCCTTCAAAATAATAGCCTGGCCCACCACATGGTCTGAGGGACGGTGGACCAGCCCACGGCTGAAAAAGGTTGCTGACCCCTGATCTACACTATGATATGCCTACCCAAGCCATTTCATTAACATTTAGAGATCTTTCCACAGCTCACTACTGGAATAGTTAGGGGACAACATGCCTCAAGAAAACAGCAACGGGAAGACCAACCTAGCCCCACCCACGGACCAGAGAGGGAGCAGCTTCAGTGTGTTATGACGCTGGGGGTCAGACTCCCCCAACTTCAGTAGGTGAGGCCAGGGATTCATAGGGGAAGAGAGAATGACTCTCTGTGGGGAGAGTGCTGTTGACATTAGGTCCTACTTTACACAAGTCTGGAACCCTTAAAGAAGAGCAGGTTAAAAATACTTTCAACAAATTGATGCTGAACAGCTTTGTAGCCAATTTACAGTATGAAAGCAGAGAGGAAAATTTGTAATGAATTTTCTGAAGGCTTCAAAACTGCTGTCATGCCATTATGTTCCAGAAGGAGACAGCAGAAGCTTTGAGCATGGTACCTACCAGGCATCTGAAAGCCACAGGAGCCTCATTGAGCCTAAGAAACTGCCAAACCCAGTGAGGGAGTCCAAGCACCATCGGGAGTTGCACCGGGAACTGATTTTCACTCAAAGGAGGTGAGAGTGTCTTTAATCCAGGAATTGCAGTAGTTTAGGCACTAAAGCTTTGAACAGAGAACATACCATGCATTGGCCCCTGAGGTGTACCACAAAATGGTGCCTCCCTGGCCAGGGAAGAAAAGTTGAGTGAAGATCTGCATTGGGAACAAGGCGGGGAATCAAATCAATCTTACATGACCGTTGGCGTGAGAATCCAAGGCTGCCAGAGGGCAGGGGCTGCTCTGAATCATACCAGGGTGGTATAGAACCTAGGAGATTCCAGAGGGTTGCCATATGTCCTCTTTTTCCAGGATGTGTCCTCTTTTTCATGGGTAGAGTTGTCATAGTTATAAGTAAAGGTAAAGGTAAAGGTACCTCTGACCGTTAGGTCCAGTCGTGGACGACTCTGGGGTTGAACGCTCATCTTGCTCTATAGGCCGAGGGAGCCGGCGTTTGTCCACAGACAGCATCCAGGTCATGTGGCCAGCATGACTAAGCCACTTCTGGCGAACCAGAGCAGCGCACGGAAACGCCATTTACCTTCCCGCCAGAGCAGTACCTATTTATCTACTTGTACTTTGATGTGCTTTCGAACTTCTAGGTTGGCAGGAGCTGGGACCGAACAACGGGAGCTCACCCCGTCGTGGGGATTCGAACTGCCGACCTTCCGATTGGCAAGCCCTAGGCTCTGTGGTTTAGTAGCACAATCTCTGTTGGGTGTGGGTCCATGAGATATCTCTCAAAAGCACTTAAATCTAGCATCTAGTATGGCGACTCGGGGTATCCACTAAGCCAAATAAGAAAGGGATTTTTGCCCAATACACAGGAGAGAAACCACACTGGGACTCCCAATCGACTTGACTGGGCACTGGAGGAGGAGGGCTTGGAATATAACAGTCCAATTCTTACAGAGCCCATATTTAGTTCTTCATAGGTCTGATAAGTTAAGCATGTGCCCAAATATAATATTTTGTCAGGAGAACCCTGGGTTATCATGGAATCTGGTGAAAGTCAATGGGATGAAGGAGGGGGTGTAGAATAACAGGCATTGTGGAAGAGAAGAAAGGCTCATCAACTTCTGCTTTTGTGCTGCGTTGTACTTTCTGTAGGGGGATCCTTCCAGAACACAAGCCTGAGCTTCAGAGAGTTCTAGAAGCCAGAAGAATCAAGCAGCTGAAGCAGCAGGAAGAAACCCAAAAGCCCTTGACAGATCTGGAAGAAGAGCTAAGAAAACGACAGCAGAAGCTTGACCAGGTCTTTACCATCCGTTCCCCAGTTAGTTTTTCTGGATGTATCACAACATCAAGTTTGTCTTATAACCTCCTTCATCCTACTGTGATCAGTCCATATTATTAATCCCTAACACACACCCAGCTCATCAAGGCTTATTTGTCTTCCTAGCAAAAACAGCATCTAATCACAAAGAATCCATTTTACCCCCACAGAGATACAATTCCCAGCACCCTTAAACTACAGTTCCCAGGATTGTATAGAACCCTTCTCCCTTGTGGCAGCCTTCCCCTCAGGTGTGACCAGCATCTCCTCTCTCAGTTCCTTCTCCATCGTTCATCTTCAGAAGTAAAGATAGCCAGTTCTCCTTCCAGGCCCAAACACACACACAGTTTTGATATTACGCAGACCCTGTCCTCCAAGCACCTCTTCCCTTCTGGTAAGCAGATATTGCTGTGTTTTTACTGTTTCAAAAACATACCAAATCAGTTTTAATCAGAAGTGACAATGGGACACAAAGGTGGAGAGCAAGTATAGAACCCACTAAGGAAGAAAGGAAGTGTAAAACGTTTGAATATGCTGAACTGGCTGGTCTGACGAACAGGATAAGAAAAAATGAAGATAAGGAATACAAGGAGGAATGGACAATGTTTACTGAATATGTTAAGAACCAATATAAGCAAAAACATAGCTTAGCAGGTCTCAACTAAATCCAGCAGAGTTGAAATAGAGTATTTAATAGATAACAAATTGGATGATTAAAAAGATGCGTATTAAGCGGAGTAGTAGAAAAGCAAAGGAACCAGGAAAAGGGTGGAAGGGAAGTCATATGGTGTGTGTGTGTGTATACACACACACACACACACACACACACACACACACACGTTGTAAGTGGGACAGGGGGAGGGGAGGGAGTTAAATATGCTGTTTTTGAAAATGCAAAAAATAAAATAATAAAAAGAAGTGACAATGGGACAAAAGCTGTGTGTGTGTGTGTGTGTGTGTGTGTGTGTGTGTGTGTGTAAACCATGGGGAGCAATGCCTCCCTCAAGCATTTTCAGTCCTATCAAAATTGCTGCTAAATCCAGTGTCAATGAAGCTCAGGTGTGAGTGTACGACTTTCATTTAATCAAACAATAGGGGCGTTGGTTTTGCAATAGCCTGCATCCTCATATTTGTGCAGAATTGTCTCTCTGGCTAGAACCAATGAAAAGATGTTGAACATTTTCCCTCCTTTACAGTATGAAAGGGAGCTGGTCTTGAAGGGCGAGCAAGATGGCCGGCCTGAGTTCATCCTTGTCAAAGAGAGCCTGAGGAAGATAAAGCTGTCTACAGAAACGGACATCAGGCAGACATGAGAGCCAGGTGACCGCAAGTGCAGTTTCTATCCGAATGGCTCCTTGATGGAAGATCACATGGAGGAATCCTAGGATGCACCACAGCCTCCCCTTGCTGGCCTGCAGAGCCCCTGCTCAGGTTAACCTCAGGCACTGGGCAGCAGGAGAAAGTCGGAAGCAAGGAGTAGCCTCGTGGTGGCTTTGGGTGGAGGCTGGCTGTCATTCAGCCATGACAGTTAAGGAAACATGGAGATGAAAGGGCAGATTGGAATCTGCAGTGGAGGCGGTGACTTGGCATGGCTGCCTTTTTAGTTTTTTAGGGGGGGAGGGTTGTTTGTTGTTTGTTTTGCTATTCAGTAATGCATCATTACAAAGAAAATACTCTTCTTCTTTTATTTTTTGCATTCCAAGCCTTACTAGGCTCCCACCTGATCCAGGCCTCTCTTTTCTCTTTGTAAAAAAGTTGATAATACTCTTACCTGATAGCTCCAGTGTCAAATTTTCTATGCTTAGATTGAGATATAACCCACCATTAAAGCTAACTTTGGCATGGAGAAACATGAATGGTCTAGTGGGGAGATATATGTTTGCAGCTGTATTAGGATCATGGATCCATAATATACACCAGATAGTATTTTCTGGTGTCCTCAATTTCCTACCTATAGAATTAAGGGAACGATTTCAAGTGTCTCACAGGTCACCATCCAGGAGAAAAGCATTAAGGATGGTGAGATACTCAAGTAGAGGCACAAATAACAGGCGGATGAACTTGGGATGGTTTGAGATGGTGGGAAAGGGTTGGGAAGCTTCCTTAGCCTGGCAAAGAGTTAAAAATGCAAGCTTAGCCTGGCAAAGATTCAAAAACGCAGGTGTGGAGGCAGGACTGGTTGTTTATCTTATCTGGAAGTACTGGTAAGAACCACAACGAAATTGCTAGCAGGAGGTGAGTTACAGTTCATGATGCTATTTGACCTGTTCATCTGGAGACGCTGCCATCAGTTGGTTTCAGCAAACGTTACACTTATTGCTCTCATTATTATTCATCATTTATATAGATCTCTCTTCGAGACAGGCTGCCCATGCGCCCTTTCACACTCCTCTCTTTGAAGGCATCCTCTGTTGGGTGGGCTGGCCAGTCCAAGCCCAGTTTGAAGACAAAGCAGGGAGAGAAAGGAGGAGGGCATTGAAGTTGCCCGTCAACAGCCCCCAGGCAGCAGACTGAACAGGCACACACAGGCCACCTGGCCACAGCCTTCCTCATTATGGTGGGGTGGATTGTATTTCTATTTAAATAATAGGAATTATTTATATATTTACATAGGAACTGCCTTATGCTGAATCAGGCCATGAGTCCCTCTACCCAGTATTGTCTACATTTACTGGCATCAACTCTCCAAGATTTCCGACAGAGAATCTTTACCAGGCCCACCTGGAGAGATGTCAAGGACTGGATCTTGGACCTTCTGCATGCAAAGCAGATGCTCTACCACTAAGCTAAGGTCCTTCCCAAAAGGGAATGCAAATTAACACATGCAAATCGATCTTTGTCCTTTGGGGGGGGGTGACAAATTTCATCCACTTTGGCAATGTGTAAATGACCACCATACTTCTAGATGAGCTCAAAAAAAAACAAACATCTGTCCAAGGATCCAATATCTGGGGTGGGGCAAAGGGTATGCTCATGTATAGGAGGCACGTGAACACCTATATTACACTTAAATCATGTACAGTGAGGTCACACACACACACACATGGGTGGGGAGAAGAGAGATTTCCCAGCTTTAGTTGTGGAAATAACCAAAGGAAGTGCCTGTCCTGAAGCAGAGCAGATGTGTTAGCCAACCTTAGCCCCACAGAACCATAATGAGTGGTGGGCTTCAGTGGTTATCTGAATGGGCAGGAATGTGGGCCAAAGAGCCAATGTTGCCTTGTCCAGTGCTTCTTTCCTCATCTTAATTACATTCTACAGCTGGTATTGTTTGGTGATTTTGTTTTTTTAAAAAACCATGTAACGGTTTGGATATGTAGTATACATACATGAAGTATATGTAAATCCTCTTTTCTCAGTGCAGACTCAGCCTTAGGTTATTCCTTTTCTAGGGCATTAAAATACACTAACAAGCAGATTCACTGGGATTCACTTTTAATAGGGTACCTGCAGTTTATGCCGTGGCAGCTGAAACTGGAGTGCCCTTTCCTTGAAGCTGATAGCTTTCGTTTTGTTGACGCTAAATTCAAACACCACAGAAAACTAATCTGGTGAACTTAAATGCTTTTGAGTTGTTGGCTCTCCAGTACCTTAAAAGGAAAACAAACCAGCCTCTCAGAAATGTTTGCATTCGTTAAAGATGCTCTTTCAACCCTCCCATAATACTATGGGAAGAAACCTGATGTTCCCAATGGGTAGTCAGCCTCAGACCTGTGTCCCACATCCAGTGGTGCCATCAAGGCAGGATTTGGGGACAGATGTCCAGGGCCTTATTTTAACATAATGAGCAGGAAGCAGGAGAGGAAACATGAAGGATTTGTGGGAAAACATAAGGTTTAAGAATGGCATTTTCTTCTGGTGATTTCAGGCAAAACTTGTTTTTTTCTTCTTCTTCATTACATTTCTATACTGCCCGTCCTCTGAAGATCACAGGGCGGTTGACAATATAAAAACACAAAGCACATACCCTAGTAACAAAGAAAAGCAATAACTTCACCCTTACACACTTTAAAAAGCCATAAGTTGTTTAGTTAGCCAAAAGCTTGGGTTTTTGCCTGGCACCTAATTTAACACTAGTAATTTAATAGATTTGACAACTCAGGTGGAAGCCCTATTGCAAAGAAAGCAGTAGTGTCAAAGAGCAGAGCCTGACATTATACTCTGTGTGAAGACAAACAATTTTGTATATGATGATCATTTCGTTTAAGAATCACTTGAGACATCCTGAAAACAATGCTATTTAATAAAAACATATATAAAACTATATATTCAAATCCATTATAGATACTAACATCTCCATCTAAAAGGCCTGTTTTATGCATGTTTACGGCCAGTGATTCATCGCACTTAAAAAAATAAAATCAAAATTCAGCAACTAGAAAAGCAGTTGTCATTGAGTTTGCACATCGTGGCACACTCCACACCACTGAGTGCGTATGTGCCCCTGACCACACCCAGGAATGCCAATACCCACTTTCTGCAATCTTGGGTTTCCAAAATTAGGTTGATCTGATACCTTCTAGCTTGGCCCCACCCTTTAACTCTTCTTGAAAACAAAAGGAAGTCACCACAGATCGTTAAAAGCAACAAGAAAACAACTTCTCCATTTTTTTTTTTAAAAATAAAGACACCCAGCCTGTTACAGATCATAGTGCTTTGGCCAGCCTATGCAATAGCAGCAACTTAATACTCTTTGGTTGGTCCTTGACAAGAGATGGAACCTGCTCAGATGGTGACTGGATCATCGATGACTGAAACCTGGAGTGGAGATTTTGAGTCATCCGCTATAGACAATTATGGTGACCTGGTGAATTATGAAATTTGCCACCTGCAAGAACTGCCATATGCCTATATCTTTATCCCCACCGTCTACTACATTACTTTCCTCATTGGTTTCTTCGGGAACCTCTTTGTGATCCTGTTGATGGCACGAAAGGAAGGCCGGAAGAGGCTCGTGGACACCTTTGTCCTCAACCTGGCCGTGGCTGACCTGGTCTTCGTATGCACCCTGCCTTTCTGGGCTGTATCAAAAGCCCTCGGTTACTGGTGCTTTGGCGAGGGGCTATGCAAGTTGAGTAGCTACGCCATCACTGTGAACCGTTGCTCTAGCATCTTGTTCCTGATGGGCATGAGTGTGGAACGCTTCCTTGTGATGACCAAGCAGTGGGATTCCAGGACCATCAGCACCAAGAAGAGCATAGCTATGAGCTGTGGTTGCATCTGGGTGTTCTCCCTTCTGCTGGGGATGCCATCTCTATTCTACAGAAAATTGAACCCGGTGGATGACAAGTATTTGTGCCATGACGAGCCCTCCCCCACCTTCAGCTTGATTATGCTCATCTTGACCTTCCTCCTGCCTTTGGGAGTAATCTTGTTCTGCTATTGCTCTATCTTCTCCAAGCTTCAAAGCCATGTCCACCTAGGCAAGAGGAGAAACAATGCCCTCAAGATCATCTTTGCCATCGTTGGAGCATTTATCTTTTCTTGGCTGCCCTTCAACGTGTTAAAGGTATTCTTCGTCTTCACCATGGCCCAGGACATCCATCCCCGCTGCTCAGCAATGATGGCTCTCACGTGGGGGCTGACCATCAGTGCTTGCCTGGCATTCGCAAACAGCTGTGTTAACCCTATCATCTATGTCTTTATGGATCAGCAATTCCGACAGCAGGCCCTGAAGCATTTCCCTGATTTCTGCAGCAAAAGGGGAAATGTGCAAAGTTCAGCCCTGTCCTTTTCATCCACAGACACAAGCCTCCTATTTGCCAGCAGGAAGAAGCCCACACCAGCAACATCAGCTCGGGCAGGAGACCCAGAGAGCAAAGGGGTAGGTTTGTAACCCTCCAAGAGTAGTATAATGTTGGCTGGACTGCTGCAAAAAGCCAGCAAGATTTCTGGGCTATGCTAGTTGGGGAAAGGAGCGCAGGGAGATGAGTTAGAAGCCTGTACTAAGTATGCCAAAGGAATGGGTATAAAGATTCTGACCATTTGATGTAAATCACAGTAATATCAAGGAGGTAGAATTCAGTTATCCATACATGTATATCAAATGCATAAAATCAACTCCCACTTATGTAAATTGCCTACCAATTGCTACTGCACAATAAGCAGGCAGATTTAACCTATGTAAGACTTCATAAAATGATTTCAGCTGTCTAAAATGGTGGTATTATAGATTTAAATAGTTGCAATTACAGTAATATATGCTGGTGAAAAGTGAATGCTTTTAGCTGTATGTACAGTTGCTTGCCATCTGCTTATCTCCCCATATCTAGATTTCATGTAGCTTTTACTAGTTTGATGAACAGCTGTTGATCCTTGATTGAAAATATGCTTAAATGAATAGAGAAGGAAGATGAAAAAAGTTGTTGTGTAATTCTATATCAAATATTCTTTGAAGCAATAATGTGAAAAACCACCTGCCAAAAAAGCAATAAACATTGTATGTTTAACTAAACAATAACTATGCATTTTATTTTATTTTGTTTTAAATGTCCTGTTGCCATGATGAAGCTGTTCTAATTTAGTTTTTCAAACAGTTTTGTTTCCCTGAAGTATGGGTTTCTTACAGTAAGCTTTCTTAATTTTGATTAAGAAATATATAACTCTGCAAATTTGTGAGACCTTGTTCCTTAACCAAAAACAGGAAAACTCTTCACACAACAATAAATTCAAGACTACCTTTCACATAATTCAAGTCTATGGCTGAGAGCAGCTAAGTCATGAAATGTTGAAGGTGTCAACTAAAAGGAAAATGGGGTGGGGTAGGGTAGGGTAGGGTAGGGTGGGGAGACTGGCCAGCTTGAAGCCATAACACAAGGGTGAGTGTTTTTGAGGTTGAGGACAATATTACCGCAGTGGACAGCTGCTTGGGGGCACATTTCAGGGAGGGCAAGGCTAGTCCCACATGCAATTACAACTTCTTCACACATAATATGCATACACCTATTTCCTATTGAAACAGAGGCACATACTTAATTCTTAAGCTATATACCTTTAATGTACCTTTAAGGTATATTCAAAGCTCCCCCCACCCCAAGAATCCTGGGAACTGTAGTTAAAGGGTGCTGGGAACTGTAGCTCTGTGTGGGGTAAACTACAGTTCTCAGGATTCTTTGAGGGGATGTGCTTGAAATGTATTTAATATTCTTGTTGTTATTCATCACCGTATACACAAGCATCTCAATGTGATGTACAATTAAAACAGCAAAAAGTGTTTTAAAAGCACCACAGATATATTTAAGAAACAATACAGTACAAAATAGGCACTCATGCCAGAGACCCATTCATCTAGCTGGGAAAGCCTATCAGGCAAAAAGGTATTCAGTTGTTTCCGGAAAGTGCAGAGAATAGGTGCCTGATATATCTCATACTATTCTGAAGAACAGAGGCAGCTGCACCAAATTTGCTGCTTCCAGTTACTGTGGAACAGACTTCTGACATCTTTTGAACCTGCAGAAGCTCTGCCGCAGACCTCACTGACTTACTGGGTATATAAGGGTTACCATAATAAGGTGGTCTCTCAGCTTGCCTGGTCCTGAGCTATACAGGCCTTATATGAGATAACTCATTTCATGTTATGATGTAACTCCACTCACGTTACGCTATCCCTTTTCCTAACAGACTTCAAAAATAAAACAATAAAACAAGTTTTGTAAATATAAGGGGGAAAGCTCTTCAACTCTGGCACAATTCCCAGCAGCTTTAACAAACTGCAGTTCCCAGGATTTTGGAGGGGCAGATATGCTTTAAATGTACTGTGTGGCTGCAGCCAGGCTTAAAAAAACACACAGCAAGTTTCTATTGCCAAAAAAGAAAAAGAAATGACTGGGCTCCGCTGGGGTGTGGGAGAAATGCCGCTTCTTAGACCTGCATTGACTAATTATGAAACACAGTCTTTCACAGAGACTTTGATTTTTTTTTTAACAGGTTCATCATAAGGTTTGCTGAAACTTAGGTTCTTAGCATTTAGCTCTGAGGCTAAATGCACTTAGAGAAAAGAATTAGCCCAAATCACTGCTTGTTGAATGCAATGCAATGATCTCTCGAAAATCTATTACTGTATGCAACAATCAATTTCAGCTTTGTTGTTTGCATTAAAATAAAGCTGCATTCCTAAGCGTGCTTACTTGAAAGTTACGGAAACTTACTTCAGAGCAGGTATGTTCAGGATGGTAACATTAATGTAAAATATTTTCCCTTAAGAAATCTAAAGTACACTTTCCCTCACTCAAACAAACAAAAACCCACGCACTTTTCAACCTCTGTGGCTTTTCTGGTAGCGATAATCCCACTACAACATCAAAGAGAATATACGCTCGAAGACCCTCTTTTGTTTTTTCTATAACAAACACGGCCACCCGCCTTAAATTTAGGAGCAGCACAGATCTTTAACGGGACGGCGAGGGGGGGGACCCAAAAAAGAATTCGAAAACACTCAAATATGGATAGGGTTTTTTAAAAAAAAAAATAAACGAACAATTTCGAGGAGAAAAGCCCTGGCCGCTTATCATCATGGCACGTTTTTCTGCTCTCCGTGTCTCTTGAAGGACAAAACAGCACAAAACAGCAAAAACCTCTCTGTGTAAAACTGCGCGTCAAAAGGCTCCGCGGGGATGAAGGCGCTGCGCCTCCGCCGCCCAGCTAGCGCGCAGCAGCGTGGGCGCTTTGATATACCGGACAGGAAATATCCTGGGGGGAAAGAATGGAGATGCTGCTTCTGCGCTCGGACATGTCCTGCCTTCAAAATCTCAAAGCCCACGGGGCAGATGCACAGCACCATACTTTTAGAACCAGGGTTTATTTTCTTTTAAAAAAATGTTTAGGGGTACTCTCATTTTGACTCGAGAAAATCAGCATTTTATTGTTCAAATCGGGGAAAATAAATACAGTAAATGAACAAAAGTACAAAGATTCACAAAATGTCTAGGGGTAAGTGCGTTCCCCCCAGAAAAAGCACTGTTTAGAACACATTCAAGGCTTAGTTCACCAGCAATTTCTCAGAAAGAGAATTTTTTTAAAGGAAGATATGACCAGGGCCTCTGAATAATCAAAGCTCCTGAGATACTGCCACCCTGGCTGAAGCCTAATCTATTATCTTCAGATTTTGAAGCATCTGCAAGAACAGGCAGCATTATTCCATGAGATGCCAAGGTATGAATGAGCCCAGTCTCAAGTTTCAGAAGTTTGCTAATGATATTCATCTAAAACTTACATCCTGCTTTTTATCCCCCCAAAAGAGAAATTCTAAGCTTCTTGCGATAAAATAAAACCCCACAAAATACACTGACAACCATCAGAAAATAGCAACATCGTAAGAACAGAAATGCAAAATTGACAAAACTAACAAACAACTCAACACCAAGGAAAAACGAAGCAAAGGTAAAGAGAAAGGAAAATAATTCTAACATATTCATAGTAAGCGGAGAAATGTTTTTCAGCTGAAGGCCTTCCTAAAAACTCAGATTTGGGCCAAATCCCAAAACCAGAAAAACATCAAGGCTTGGTGAATTTAAATAGGAAGCAGACTCCATGGGCTGTGCCATCATAGAGAAGGCACTACAGTGGTACCTCAGGTTAAGAACTTAATTCGTCCTGGAGGTCCGTTCTTAACCTGAAACTTTTCTTACCACTGAAGTACCACTTTAGCTAATGGGGCCTCCTGCCGCCACCACGCCGCTGGAGCACGATTTCTGTTCTCATCCTGAAGCAAAGTTCTTAACCTGAGGTACTATTTCTGGGTTAGCGGAGTCTGTAACCTGAAGCGTCTGTAACCTGAGGTACCACTGTATTTGTAACTACTTGCTTGCCCTTAGACAGCCACTCTCTGTCCTCTCTGTGATATCAGCTTTGCTGTCCTCCACACATTAGGGGTTGGACTTCTGCCGCAGGGGGCTTCTATACTCATGTTAGTAAATCATGTAGGAATCCCACATGAGCAGAGAAAAGGTCCTGATGCAGTAGTTGGGCCCCAATGCAGGATGTAATGGTGATGTGACAGAGGTGAAGCCAGGGCCGTCTTAAGCATATCTGGCGCCGTGGTGCAAAGATCCCTCTGGTGCCCCCCCCCCCGGCAACTCCAAAACAAGGGAGGGGGGCGATAGAAAATGTCCTCTGCCTCCCCCACCGCCCTGATCCCCAGCGTGGTGGCGGCGATCAAGCAGGAAAACGTGCTGGCGGACAAGCTCTCCAGCATCTGGGTGTCCGAGAAGGCAGCCTGGGAAGGCTGCGCGCTGCCTTTTGCCAGGAAGCAGGAGGAGGACAACGACCAGGAGCAGGGCCATCTTTAGCAGATGCAGAGGCTTGGGAGGGAAGCTGCGCACCCGCCAGCCATATAGTTGGTGGGCATGCAGGGAAAGGGGAGGCTGCCGGCAAAGCCGCGCAGCTCCCCCACTCGCTAGGGCGCCCCTGAGAGGCCAGCGCCCTGGCACAACGAACCACTAAGACCAATGGGAAAGACGGCTCTGGACAGGGCTGGCACACCACCTTTTCCTGCCTGCAGCAGAAGACAGGATGGCACCCACTTTGCGTTCTGTGCACAGAAGGTAACCAGACTGCCAGCTGAATCTTATGCCAACACTGGTGATAGGGCAGCATCTCCCACCACACCTGAGAGTAGCAGGCTAATTTAGATGAAATTAGGATTACTTTAGGAAAAAAATAGGATGGGCCATGTGGCACATGCCACTCTGTTCTCCAACGTCCTACCACTGCTACTTGCCCTGCAGCACCTGATCCATCTCACCCTGCCCAATGGTAGAGCTGGCCTGTGAATAGGTCTAGAATTGTACTTGGAACAGCCAGAAAGAAACCAAGAAATACGTCTAAAATGAATCAACA